GGAGAGTTACAGAGATGGAAAGACAAAGATCTTCTATCCTCTGGTTCACTCCCCAGATGATTATAACAGCCAGAGCTGGGCCAGACCAAATCCAGCAGCTAAGAGCTTCTTCCCAGTCACCCACATGGGTGTAGCGGCCTGAGTGCTTGGGCCACCCTCTGCTGCCTTCTCAGGCTGTTAGCAGGGAGCTGGATCAAAAGTGGAGCAGCAGGGATATAAAGTAGGCAGCATGTAGAATGCCAGCACGGCAGGCACTGCTCTACGTGCTACAACAATGCCTGTTCCTCCCCCGATTATCTTCTTCCAGTGTGCAATGATTTGCCCTGCAAATTAAACTGTATAACATATTGCAGAGTGGGTGTGGTAGGTTCACCTGCTGCTTGCGATGCCCACGGTCCCTACTGGAGTGTCTGGGTTCAAATCCCCTCTCCTCCGCTTCTGATCCTGCTTCCTGCCAATGCATCCTGGAAGGTAGCAGACAGTGGCCCAAGATGGAGCTATGGGCCCCGACTTTGTTCTGGCATAGCCCTGGCTGATGCAGGCATGTGAGAAGTGAACCAGGAGGTAGAAGTGCTTGCATGTGCATGCTCTCTCTCGCTCTCTCTTTATCTGTCGCTCTGCCTTACAAATAAAAAGCAAAGGCAGGGCCTGGCGCAATAGCATAGTGGTTAAAGTTCTTGCCTTGAACGCACCAGGATCCCATATGGGCGCTGGTTCATATCCCAGTGGCCCCACTTCCATCCGGCTCCCTGCCTGTGGCCTGGGAATGCAGTCAAGAATGGCCCGAAGCTTTGGGATCCTGCACCCACGTGGAAGACATGGAGGAGGCTCCTGGCTCCTGGCTTTGGATTGGCTCAGCTCCAGCAGTTGTGGCTGCTTAGGGAGTGAACTATCAGACAGAGGATCTTCCTCTCTGTCTCTCCTCCTCTCTGTATATCCGCCTTTCCAATAAAAGAATAAATAAATAAATAAATCTTAAAAAAAGGGAAAATGCAAATGCTTCTAACAAAACCAACCCCTACAATCCCTTGTTCAGCTCAGCCAACTGTACTTCCCTTTCAAGTGCTCCCAGAGCTGCCATCTCCGTGAGTGTGGAGTGGCCCCTCACGCACTTTCTGGCTGCATATTGCACGTGGGAAAGTATCCACGCGTCTTGAAAGAAGACACTGTCTTGTTTTTCTGTTTTACAAAACTAGAACCACACCGTGTGTCGTGACCGGCAGAGTTTTCCCAGTTTGCTTCTTGGTTTTGTGTTCCTACAAGCTCCTGCCTGCACGTTGCCAAGGCTCTGCATTCCAGAGGCAAGCCATGTGGAGGACACAGTTTTAGGACTGGGTCATGGTGTGCAGAGACCAGCCTGGAGCCTCAGAGTCTGGGGTTCAAGTCCTGGCTTGCGCTCTGAGACCCTGAACAGGAAGGACTGTGAGTCTCTGAAACACTGTGAACTGGTAGACACGAGTCATGCCACGTGTGTGCTCACGTGTGCACCCCTGGTGCCTGCAAACCCAGCATCATGGGGGGGGGAGCCACGAGGTCAGGGCCTTGTCAGGGTAGCACTCAAGTGCCTTCTGCCCAGGGCCTAGTTCTTAGTGGTTCATCGTGGTACTCAGTGGTACTTAGTGGTCCTGGTAGTAGTAGTTTATGGTAGTGGCAGTCACTGTGGTACTTAGTGGTAATTAGTGGCAGTGCTTGGTAGTAGCACTGTTTCACAATAGTGGCAGTAATAGTAGCAAGAACCATGTTCGTCATTTCTAAGGGCTGCCATGTGCCAGGTGCTGCTGACGCACATCACATTCCTGGTCTTCTGTAGCTCCTGCCACATGCTGGTGCTGCTGTGCTCACCCTGCAGAGGAGGTGACTGGGGCCCCGAAGGGGAGAAGGATGCACTGGGCACTCGCTCAGGCCATAGTGCAGCTGGGACCTGCTCTGAGGCCCCATCCCGGCAGCCTCGGCCTGCTGAGCAGCTGCTGCCCTGCAGACAGGGCCCTGGCTCTCACCCCATGACATGCGCTTGCCACAGCACCTGGCCTCAGCCCTCTGGGGATGTTTCCCATGAACCAACCAGGCAGTAGGGCCAAGCCAGCGGGGCCAGGGCCAGGGCTCCTGAGTTGAAGTCGCTGCTCTAAGCATGGGGAGATCCATTCAGCTGGGCAGAACTCAGCTCCCTCTGCAGACACCCCCCTGGAATGTGAGGTCAGAAGGTAGCGGGACCCTCCCTGTTGCCCTCCCCAAGACCAGGCACCCCAGGTCTCACTGGAACCCAGGCTGTTGGCCTGAAGACCCCTGTGTGGGAGAAGGCCCTGCCCAAGCCCATGCCCCTACCCCCGGTCACCAGCACAGAATGTCCTGTCTAAATGTCCCTGTCCCCCTCCTCATCCTCACCCCTACCTGCCCGGTTTCCATAGCGATCTCCATTGTGCGTCTGCCTCCAAGGAGGCGTACAGACGACAGATGTTCTCCCATGGGAACAGTTTAACAGGGGGAGAGGATCAGCAGGATGGAGGTTGCAGGCACAGCTCAGGCCGCTGGGCCCTCTGGGATGGACAGAGGTTCCAGCAGCATCCCAGCACACAAGGGGAAGAAGCCAACAGAATGCAGTGTCCAGGGAAAAGCTGCTCTCCCCTGGATGTGTGATGCTGTGTAGGGAAGGTCGGGCTCTCCTAGCCTCGACCCAGCATCTGCTGCCTCCCAGGTTGTCCAGCAGTGGGAAAGCACAGAGCTGGAACTTCCATGCCAGCACTCTGTGAGATGGGAGGTGTCTTAATTGTCAAGCTCCTGCCAGGGACGGGGAAGAGTTGTTCTTTAAATTGAGTCTACAGTGCCTTTCCACACTTGTGCCTGCTCCCCAGAAGATGCAGGAAGGTGGGGTGTCCACGAGAGCTAGCCCCTAGAAGGAAGGACAAGTGGGCTAGGGCAGGTAAGCAGTTGCACCTGTGGGTCTTCCAGACCACCATCTGGGTACAGGGTCCCAGAGCCAGCAGCGTGCTTGCCACCCACATCCTCAAGTCACATGTGGGAAGCTGAGCCCCTGAGGGGCAGCCACCTAGGGCAGGCACCAGGCCTCTCTCAGGCCATGTACCCCCCAAAGCTCTGGACCAGGTTCCCACACAGCCTAAGATCAGACAGGAAGCCCACCACCTTTCCCTGTGCCAGCCATGGGCCTGTGATGCTCTGTAACCACAGAAAGCAGGCCCCACCGTGGCCGTGGGATGGCGAAACCAAGGCATTGAATGGCTCCGAGCTGGGGCTGACCCTAGCCAGCTGAGTTCAAGCCCAATTGGTGCTCTGTGGACTTGGTTCCAAGCTCCAGGTTCTCCTGTGTTAAGAGAGGGTGAGGATGACCCCAGCACCTGGCCTCCCACCCTGGTCTGTGTTCTGGGGTGCAGGCACCTAGCATGGGACAGGGGCCTCAGCTTTGCCATGGTGCTGGGCTGGCCCCAGATGTCAGGGCCCAGCAGCTGCAGCTTGACCTCATGGAAGCCTTACTCTGTCCATCTGTGAAACAGGCACAACCCAGCCCTGGACCCCTTATTACTCACTCACAGCGCAGGCAGGATGAGGGCACTGTGGGGCTTGCCAGGAAGCAGACAAGGTCCAGACAGACTTCTTAGGGAATGAGCTGGAACTCCCTGATTCAGCCCCAAAAGGACTGGGACCTTGGAGCCCCAGACCGGGGAGGACGCCTGGAACAAGGCTACTGGCCACCAGGGACACACAGCTCCACAGGCCGCTGAGCCCTCTGGCCCCCCCCAGAAATGAGATGAAATGAGTGGATGGGTGAGGCAGCAAGCGACAGGTGTCAGGACAGTGGGACGCTTGTTCCTTTGATAGTGAAAGGTTCCACTGCTGGGAACCTTCTGCTGGGGGTCCCACCAAATCCTCCTCCTAGGAGGGGCCGTAAGCCAGAGGTCCAGGAGGGTGGGTGTCCCTCCCCGAGGCACCCTTCTGGAGATGCAGGCAAGTTCTGTGGGCTGGCCTCAGTGACGGGATTGGGGATGACCCCTGCATTGACACCCCAGGCCAGTCACAGTAGGGAGGGACAGTCCTTAGCCTCCAGGATCAGACCCTACAAGGCAGGATTCAGACCAGGACTTGACCACAAGGCCTCAAGGACCAAGTCAGCTGTGCACCTGTGAGGGGCCAGCTTAGCTAGGAGTAAGGGTTGTAGCCACGGGGCGGGGGGGGGGGTCCTGTGGCTGACCTTGCTGTGTGGACAGCAGCAAGGGCCATGGCTAGCTCAGCTGGAGTGTGGGCAGCAGTGGTGGGATGGTGATTGGGTGACATGGGTAGCATCAAGCACAGGCGAGCTCCTTTCCTTAACAGGCAAGGGCCATGAGGAGCTGTGTCCCCAAGAAGGACAGCATATGGTGGGCGGAGTTAGGTCAGTGCCAGCCGGGGACTGCCTAAGCTGGGCTGGTTTGTGACCGGATTGTGAAAGGTGGGGTTGCAGGTGTAGTCCTGAGACCAGCGGTGAGGGCTGCACGGGCCACACCGCCTGCCAGGTACATCAGAGGAGTGGCTTGTGGCCTGGGTGGGAGGTGGGCTACCAGGGTGGATGCAGTGTTTTGTCTATGCTGCTGGAGGCTGTGGCTTGGGGTCTGCACAGAGCCAGATGCTCTGTGGGTGCTTGCAGGTTGAACCTTCGCCCCCTGGGAGCCCACCCCGGCTTGTGGCAGCCTCCCTGCAGACTCACATGGGGGTGTTTATAACTAGGCTCCAGGCTGGCCAGGGCAATCCGAAAGAGTGTCACTTAATTCCAGGAACAGAGACTTTCCAGATGGGGACTATAAGGCTCAGAACCCTGATGTGTTTTGGGGGGCCGCTGTTAGCCCCCTGCGTCATGTCCTGGCACTCAACAGGAGGCACCATTGGGGCCTGAAATGCGTGGAGGTGCTGGGTGCACCCCGCTCAGAGCCTAGAAGTCACCTGCTATGTCTACTCCTGCCCCATGTCCATCCGTCAGGTCCCCCATCCAACTCATGAATGTGCCTTGTCCATAGGTTTGCCAGGCACTGCTCCAGACCTGGAGAAACGGAAGCAGATTTTTGGGCAAAACTTTATACCTCCAAAGAAGCCAAAAACCTTCCTGCAGCTCGTGTGGGAGGCACTGCAGGATGTGACGCTCATCATCCTGGAGATCGCCGCCATCATCTCCCTGGGGCTGTCCTTCTACCACCCACCTGGCGAGAGCAATGAAGGTGAGATGCCATTCAGCACTTCCTGCAGCCCCAGCGCCCACTGCAGCCCCAGCTCCCACTGCAGCCCCAGTGCTCCCCGCAGCCCCAGCTCCCCCTGCAGCCCCAGCTCCTGCTGCAGCCTGAGTGCCCATTGCAGCCCCAGTTCCTGTTGCAACCCCAGCACCCATTGCAGCCCCAGCTCCGACTGCAGACCTAACACCCACTGCAGACCCAGTGCCTACTGTGGATCCAGTTCCCACTGTATACCCAGAGCCCACTAAGACCAGCTAGACCTGGCAGTTAAGACCCCCAGTCCTTCTACCTGGGCTAGGCTCTGGCTGCTGCCCTCCCTGTGCCCCTGGCCATCACAGGCACAGGCAGAGCCTGCCCTGAAGCACACATGGCATCAACTCCCAGCTCCCCATCTTCTCCCATGATTCCAGCCCCTGTCCACACCCACTCTGTGCTGGGACACCCCTGGGACCTCACCCTGCTAGGATCAGCACCCACAGCAGGTCCTTGATGTGACAAGTGACTGACCCATTTGACAGACAAAACAATTGAGGCTTGGAGAGGAGAGGCCCTTTATCCTAGACCTCATACCTGGAGCAGTGACAGGAAACCAAGGGGCTCAACCAGGTGATTTAGGCACACAGCCTGGCTCCCTCCTTGCCCATCCTGTCTGGGGAGCAGGCTAACAGTGTGCTCTGTAGGGGACCCGTGGTTTGGCTCTAGGCACCGCAGGCAAGCCAATCACAAGTGCTTGTCGCTTGGGCCAGCTGGACTGGAGATCCCAGTCTGTGAGACCCTTTTTGTCCTCCCTCCCCCCACCACCACCTGCTCCCTTCTGCTCCCTGCAGGATGTGCCACGGCCCAGGGAGGGGCAGAAGATGAGGGCGAGGCCGAGGCAGGCTGGATCGAGGGGGCTGCCATCCTGCTGTCGGTCATCTGCGTGGTGCTGGTCACGGCCTTCAATGACTGGAGCAAGGAGAAGCAATTCCGGGGCCTACAGAGCCGCATCGAGCAGGAGCAGAAATTCACAGTGGTCCGGGCTGGTCAGGTGGTCCAGATCCCAGTGGCCGAGATTGTGGTCGGGGACATCGCACAGATCAAGTATGGTGAGTGTCCCGTCTTGGGGTCTCCGTGGGGTGGAGTAGGTACTTGCTGGAGGAGACAGGTTCCAGATTCCATTTCAATCAGAAATGGCAGCTGCACGGCATGCATGCCACCAGTCCCCAGATTGCTGCCCCAGCAGACATTACTAATCAACACTTCTCCAAGGCTCCCTGGTGCCCTAATGAACTCTCGTTCCCATCCTTGGTTTGGCTGCTGACAGAAGGCTGTAGAAATAAAGGAGGTGCTAGAGCAAATGCAAGTAGAGAACCAGACAGCGCTGGGTCAGTGCTAAGCATGGCCACAGCCTGGCTCCTGAAACCCTGAACAAGACTACAGAGGGAGTTATTAGGGAAATTGAGCTCTGAGTGCAAGCTGTATGGAGCAGAACACCACCTGCGACCCAGCCGCAGCCCTGCCACATACATGCTCTTTCTGCTGTGAACCTGCAGTGGCATCATCTTGGGTCTGCCACCTTGGGTGTACCTAGCCCCAAGATTCTCACCTGGAACGGTCTCGGGCCCGCTATGAGCCTGCTGACCCCTCTCCTTCCTCCCGCCAGGCGACCTCCTCCCTGCTGATGGCCTCTTCATCCAGGGCAACGACCTCAAGATTGATGAAAGCTCACTGACCGGGGAGTCCGACCAGGTGCGCAAGTCCGTGGACAAGGACCCCATGCTGCTGTCAGGTGAGCCGCGGCCAGCGGCGGGAGGGGGCCCCGTGAAGTTCAGCAGCTGTGGCCCTTTTTGCTGGCATCTCTGGCCAGCTCAGCCCTGGGGGACAATGCTCTCTCTTGTCTCCAACTAGCAAGCACTAGGCCTGTGATGCCCACTCCCATTCCCAGGGCTCTGGGGCTGCGGCAGCAAGTACACCTGACCCTGAAGTCCTGCCAAGTGGAATTTACCCACTCGGGACCGGGTTTGCTGAGAAGCCAGTGCTGGGGGCTGTCCAGTGACAAACATCTCAGCTGTCCATTGTATGCCAGATGCCAGGGCCAGGGCCGCAGCCCGGAGGAGCCTCAGCCAGGAGAGGGGAGAGGGATGACATTGGGGAGAAGAGGAGAGCAGGACAGGCTTCTGGGAGAGGTGATGGCGTGAGGCCATGTGTGCATACTGAGGAAGAATGGAGCAGGGCCATGCAGGAGCAGAGTGCAGCAGTGAATGAGCTGGCCGAGAGGCTGTGAGGGCCACGGTTGAGAGCGTGTGGTTACCGCAGGTGAGGGGGACTCTGCTGTGAGCTGGTCATGTGTTGGCTCTTTTAGAACTTCACGCTGGGAGCAGAGGGCAAGGGAAGCAGCAAGGAGATCCTGTGGGTTGGGGTGTGGGAGTGGCCAGGTGCAACACCTCCCCAGAGGGCCACCTTGGCCACCCTCCTCCTGCCTGGGCACTGGCAGCCCTCTGCTCATATTCAGTGCAAGCTCAGCTGGCTGCCCTTGGAAGCCCCTAGCCGGGATGGTGCTGGTCTGCAAACAGCTCACCACTACGTGATCAGTCAGTCAGGTGAGAGGAAGAGGTTGTGAGAAAGGCTGATGGGGAGCAGGCGCCCCAGAAGGGATGGCTCTCGTGGGACATAGGAGAGAGCCAGGTGGCAGCTCCATGAACCTGGTGATCTAGACAGGTGGGGCATACTGAGGGCAGGGGAGACATAAGGAGCGAGCCATGGCTGGATGCCCAGGGCAGGCAGAAGTGTCCAGGCAGTTGGGAGGCAGCAGGACGCTGGGCAGATAATGTCTGGTTCAAAATCCCTGGGTAGCTGCAAGTACAGAGTGCCTGGAAAAGGCGGGTCAGGCAACTGGCTTGTGGCAGATCATAGGGTCCCTGGGCAGGGTTGGGAGAGCTGAGCACATAAAGATGGCCTGGCAGAGTGGCCGGCCAGGGAGTGCAGAAAGGCCGAGAAGGTATGGGACAGGAACTGTCAGAGCCATTCAAGGCCTGCCAGGTGGTGAGCTCCTTGTCCCTGTCATGTGAGCCAGGGTCTGTGGAGACTCCTCCTTTCCCTCTCCCCCTTCCCAGTGGTCTTCCTCTGGCCACTTTACTCACTATATACCGGGCTGTGTGGTCAGCCTCCCTCCTCCAAAAAGGTCTTGCTGGCTGCTGGGTGGAGCCTGAGCTTGGGGTGCAGGAGGTCTGGGTTCCAGTCCTGCCCCCTGCCCTGCACATCTTCCTCGGTGTGGGTCTCTGTTTCTTCCTGTTGATGTGGCAGCAACCCAGGCACATGAGCTGTGTGTGTATTTATGCAGGAGCTCCAGAGAAATGCGTTTCCCTCCTTGTTTCTTTACGAGCATCTCCCATGTCCACCTCCTTGAGCGGTCCCCTCTTTCCCACACTCAAGCTCCTCCTCGCCTGCCCCTAGATGGGCTGCCTGCTCCGTGTGGCTCCCTGGACTGCAGTCCCTGCCGTGCTCTGACCGACCCACGTGTCACAGGCTTGCTGGGGCTCGTGCTTACCGTGGGCCTTCACTTGAGCTCCATGAAACCCAAAGGGGTGGGCTGGGGCCTCGTTGGGTCCCTGTGGTGGATCATCTGTCATTGCCCTGGCTCAGCCAGAGGTCAGCAAAGGATGCTCACACTGTGGCTGTTGCCCTAGAGAGGCTGTCCCCTGGGCCAAAGCCTCACGTCCTTGTTGGAACCGTCATCCAGATGCCTTGGGGACCCATGGGATACTGGCTCAGCCACCGTCCCCACTGTGCACTTAGAATTGGCATCATCACAGTGCTGTCCCCTGACAGCCTGGACACTGTCCCCTTGCTCAGGGTTCCCACCCTCCCAGAGCGCGCACAGCCCGAGCTTCTTCCCTTTTTAACCCCTCTGGTGCCAAGAATTCATCTCTTCCAAGGGACTATTGGGTTTTCACTCCCTTCCATGAGCATCCCTCCAAAGCCATGGCCCCTCCTCAAGAAATGGGAATGAGGAGAGCCCAAAGCAGGATTCAGATCCCCTAAGAATGCTTGTCTTGTTTCAGAGTAGGCATGTGGGAGCTCCAGGAACTGGGGGAGGGGACAGAGCCATTCATGAAACTGTGATCTGGCAGCCTAGAGTATAAACAACGCACACCTGACCATTTGCAACACCATCATCCTCTCAGGACCACCCGTAGCCCAGAGCCAGTGACCCAGCTCCTGCAAAGGAAGGGCTGTCCATGGGAAGGAGCTGGGCCTGCCACCTCTGCCGCCGCCGCCGCCGCCGCCACCACAAAGGGAGCCTAGAATGACTCTGTGACTGCCACTCAGCCCGCACTCTCTCCATTACACTACCCTGCCTCTTGTCCACGAGAGGCCGCGGGGTGTAGTGGATAGAGCACGGGTCCAAGTCCCAGCTCCAGCACTCCTGACCATTTCACCCTGGGCTCCACTGCACCTCTCTGAGCTGGAGAGGCTGCAGCTGGGCACTCGGGAGGCCCCTGCCCTGCATCGTCACTGCCGTCCACCACCGTGATACTCCAGCCTCCAGCACAGCCCTCCTCCACCCAAGAACACTGAGCAGGCCCTGCCTCTTCGGTCCTATGAAGTTGCAGCCAGAACAAGAAGGGCCTGGGACCCCTGCCATGCAGCCCCTGCAACCTCAACAACCCAGGGTGCTCTCTGGGCTCAGGAACCCCAGCTGAGCTGAGGGGTGCGCCTGCATCTCTGCTGCCTGGTCCAACACAGGGGTGGGGACAAAGGGATAGGATGGTCCCACTGGCCCCTTCTCTCTCTCAGGACTCCCCCTCCCCGACTCTGGCAAGGGTCACAGCTTGCACCCTGCAGCGCTGCTCACAGGCTACCATGAATCTGGGTGCTCTGCACACTGCCGCAGCCCCAGATGAAGATCCAGCTCAACCACAACTCCTCGGGAGCCTGAGCTTTGGCCGTGCTTCCTGGCTCTGTCTACCTGCCCTTTGCCTGGGCCCTGCCTCCCAGCCTGGATGTCTACATGCTGCTGCTGAGAGGAGGCCTCAGTTAGCTCCCACCCCATTTTACAGAGGGCAAAACAGAGGTCCAGAGAGGATGCCATGTGACCTCAAGCTCTACAGCACATTGAGGTCCAAACCTAGCCTGGCTCTTCTTTCCAAGCCTAGTTCCCACCCCTGCCACACACCACCTCCCACCTGCCCAAGCCTCAGTTCCTTCCTGAGCAACTTGTACACTGGTGTGAGTATTGAGACACATTGGTGGGGAAGGGAGCCTGGCTCATTGTTGGGGTGCCTGGCTAATTGTCAGGGTAACTCAGCATCTCCTGTTATTCCTGCTATCTATGCCCTGTGACCTCAGGCAAGTATGTCCCTTCCCGTTCTCTGTGACCAGCAGGTCCCCTTCCCCATTTGCCGAGCTCTGATGTTTGTACCCCTTCTGCCCAGCCTCACAGGCATTGGCCAGGGTGCCCCTGTCAGGCCTCTGGAGGGGTGGTGAGAGCTGGTCAGCCCAGGGCTGCTCATCCAAGAGTGTGTGGCTCAGCCTTTCGATGCTTCACTGCACCTGCCTGGGGATGGAGGAGCACCATCACCCTGCCCTGGGAGTGGCCAGGGAGCTCATTCGGTACTGGGAAACTGTGCATCTTTGCAGTGTGGTCTCTGAGTTTAGCCATCTCAGAGGCACTCCCTGTAGGCACGTGTGCATCGCACATACAGATTGCAGCCCCAAAGACCATACTGCTGGAGCAGCATGCCCATGTCTCTGTGCCCCCGGCATGCATAGCCATGAGAGGAAGCAAGCCCTCACGGGGGCGCAGAGCCTTGGTCATACCAGAGGCCTCGGGTGTCATTGTTACAAAAACCACAAGCCAGAGAGCCCAAAGGTGCTGGCAGGAGTCACACAGAGCCTGGGGGTGGGGAGTACAGCGGAAACAGGAAAACCGAGTTCAAGAAGCAACCATGGAGCATCTAGGCATGGCTTTTGTCGCTGCCAATGGGAGGCCCCCAAACACTGCCCGACAAAACTGGCACAGGACCTGCTTGGCACACAGTAGGAAGTGGCCAGAGACCTTGTGCAGGGCCCAATGAGAATCTCATGGATGCCTTGGAGAGAATTTTTTGCCTAGAGCAGTAAAAGTTGAAATCAGAAAACCGTGGGTACCAGTGAGCCATTGCTGATGGAGCAGGTTCTAGCTGGCCTAGGGGCTCCCAGGGTGAGCACTGAGCCTTGGCAGGTGGCTCCACCTGGGCTAAAAGGACTGTGCTTGTGGTAATCTGTGTGTGTACATGTGTGTATGTGTGTGTGGTAGGGGCGCTATGGAAAGACATTCCCCCACACACAGCCCTGAGACATGGCAGTGGGGACAGGGCTGTGTCTGCTTCAGGCAGAGACAGTGGATGGAGGTGCTGGCCACGTCCTGGGCAGGGCCCCTGCTGCCCATCCTCAGCCTACCATTCTCTGCCCATTGAGGCCAGAGCTTCAGCAACTGACATCTTTCATATTCTTTTCTCAAATCATGATCAAATGCACACAAGATTTTCCATTCTGTCCACAGGGTGCACGTTGACCTTCACTTTGTTGTCTAATGGCTTCCATCCTCCTCAGAGAGCCCCCAGGGCCTGTTAAACCATGGCCCCATCCTCATCCCCAGCCCCCATTGCAGGGACATCATATGAGTGGAATTTGTGCATTGATTTGCCTTTTGTCAGTGGCTCATTTCATAGATGCCCATGCCCTCAGGACTCCTTCATGGTGGAGCATGGACAGGGCAACACTCCACAGGTGCACATAGACCTAAGTAACATTCCCCCTTGTTTATAGAACTGAGCAGGATAGACAATGGCAGCTGTGGATGGCTCTTATACTCTGTGGGGCATGTAGATGCCTAAGTAGCATCCCATGGTGTATATGAATGGCTGAATGACACCCCACAGTGCACGTGAATGACTGAAGACACCTCACAGTGTACATGGATAGCTGAGTGACACTCCACAGTGAACATGGAGGCTGAATGACACTACACAGTGAACATGGATGGCTGAATGACACTACACAGTGAACATGGAGGCTGAATGACACTACACAGTGAACATGGAGGCTGAGTGACACTCCACAGTGAACATGCATGGCTGAGTGACACTCCATGGTATACGTGATTGACTAAATGACACTCCACAGTGTACATGGTTGGCTGACAACCTGTGATGTTGCCATATCTCCTTTTTTCATCTTTTCATCTTGTCCTCTCCCTGCTTCAAGTTTCCAGGTTGTCTTGAACAATTTACTTCCTAAGCCTGCACAGGGGAGGACCTGTTCTCGAGCTGCATCGAGAGCATAAAGAGAAATCAGAGACAACACAGAAGCTGGACTTCTCTGGCTGAGGGCCCGTGCAGTTGTCCCACAATCTGCCAGAAGAACCCAGTACTCCCAGTGTAGGAATCCCAAAGCCCTGAGTTTTCCTGCAGTGTCCCTGAGGAAGTCTACTGTGGCCATATGCAGAACCCAGCTTTGAAACACATTAGGCAAAGCAGTCAGAAATGGGCACTTGTGCAGCAGTAAGGACACACTTGAGATGCCTTCATCTCACGTTGGCATGTCTGGGTTTGTGTTCCAGCTGTTGCTAATGTAGCAGTGCATGCCACAAGGGCCTGGGTTCCTGCGTTGCTCATGAGAGACCCAGATGCAGTTCCCAGCTCTTGGCTGTGGCTTGGCACTGCCCTGGCTTTTGTGAGGTAGAAGGTACTAGGAGGGAAACCAGAAATGAGCTCTCTCTCTCTCTTTTTGTCTCTCTTATTCTGTCTGTTCCTGCCTTTCATGTGAATAAATGTATTTTAAATAGTAGAAAACATTATTTAAAACTTGGGGTGTCATTATGTGTGTGACCCTTTATTTACATACTGAACACAGCCTCAGTAGCTGCTTCTGTTGTAAATCAGCAGAGTCCCAATAATATCAGCAGCAACCACACGTTGATTTAAAAAATACCTGTAATATGGATGCCATGTGGGGTCAGCTCTGTCATGCTCCTGGGTCCGTTGCCTGTGTGCTTAGTGGGGGTGATGGGTTTTACTGGTTCTCACCCAGGCCCACAGGTCCCCCTGAGGATCCTTCCACTGATATTTAAGGGTAGAAAGAGATAGACGGAGCATTAAGCTCGGTTGGTGTTGCTCTACTGGCTGTAGAAGAAGCATGGAGACATCTTATTCTCAAAGCCATCAGTGAAGAACATGGGGAATGAGCTCCCTGCTTGGCTTGTGAAGGTGGGACAGGAGCCCCCAGGGCAGGGTAGAGATGGCATGTTTCCCTGCCCGACGAGCAGCACTGTCCTGAGGTGACAGCAGCTCAAAGAACCCCACCCCATCCTCAGTGTGACCTTGAACCAGAAGCCGGCAGAGGCCTCGTTTCTTCCACCACTCCTTTGGGGAGGGGGCTTCGGCTGTGTAATAGTAACCTGGCCTTCATCTCCTCCCCCAGGGACCCACGTGATGGAGGGCTCAGGACGGATGGTAGTGACCGCTGTGGGGGTTAACTCTCAGACCGGCATCATCTTTACACTCCTCGGGGCTGGCGGTGAGGAAGAAGAGAAGAAAGACAAGAAAGGTAAGCCCAGTACCTCCCTCTGTGACTTGGAGATGAGCTTTTAAGGCCACAGTTTTCCTCTTTGTTTACTCAACCAGAGAGTTACCGAATGCCTGTTATGTCCACACCCTGTTCCAGGAGCCATCTCCTGTCTGCCTGAGGCCCTGCCTGGGCCAGTGGGCTTCATCTGTTCCATTCCAGGTTTTTGTCCCAGTCTCTGTCTTGTCTAGTCATGTCATAGAGAACCGCCCCCCCACACACACACACTTCCCTTGTAGGCAAAGCCAGAGGAAGCCGAGCACCTTGTTGCATCTCCTGTCTTAAGCAGTAGGAACAATCCCCATCCTCACCCAGATGATTCTTCCTCTTGAAGATAACATTCCTGTTCTGTGGGCTCCGATCAGCACAAAGGCAGGGGTGCATATTCCAGAAAACCCTAATCCTATCACCCCAAGGACCCTGCTGTGAGCTCCTCACCCCCATACTCCATCTTGGAAATAGCACCTGCTCGATCCACGAAAGGAAACCCAATACTCCAAATCAAAAAAGGAAGTCAGGGAGCAAAGGAGGTGGCCGTTCCCTGAGTTTTCAGGGCAGCCCTCCTGCTTGCAGCAATCAGAGCACACTGAGACACAGATCCAGTCAGAACTGGAGGTTTCTTGTGTTCTGAAGGCAAACCCCATTTCCTGGTTCAGTTCCTACTGACAGGAGCAGTGGAGCTGAGCTGTGATCTTAGGAGTCAAGAAGCTAGGTTGAAATGAAAGAGGGATTCCTGGCCAGAAGTCCTAGAAGGTGTCAGGACAGTGTCTATGCACTCAGAGAAGCTGTGGCCGGGGTGGCCAGTTCTGCCCTGGGGTTCATGCTCTTGGGCAGATTTTGAGCAACCAGAAGGGTACAGCACCTGTACCCTTTTCCTCAGTCTCACTGAGCTCCAGGGGGAATGTCAGGGGACTCAAGCTCTCCCAGGCCAGATGTGGGCTGTGAAAATGCTTGTTGAGGCACAGGGCCTCTGTGGTCCCAGAAGTGTGGTTCTGGCTCCCTCACTGAGTGGGTACCAGCACACTGAGGGCCAAGGAAGACTCAGCCTTGTGTGGAATGGAGGTGGGTTGTGGAGGGGCTTGCAGAGAAAGTAGGGGTAGGGACCAGGGCTTGGGCTGCACAACCAGAGCCGGGTGCCTCCTCTGGTTTTCATCACATGGCTCCAGCAACATTGCTCAGCCCAGCTGCGTGCTCAGGTGTGTAGCTGTGTGTGTGCGTCTATGTGTGTGTGTGTGTGTGCATGCACACGTGTGCAAATGAGGCTGCTTGTGCTCCTCCTTCATTAACGTGTCTCAAACATCATCACACAGGTGTGAAGAAGGCGGATGGCCTTCAGCTTCCAGGTACAGTAAGACACCCTTCACGCAGGGTAGGCGGGGGCGTTAGGATGAGCGGCAGCCCCTGGACACCTGCACACCTTAGAGAAAGGTCCACACCTGCTGGAGGCTGTACCCCCAAACTCCCTTCAGTGTCCACAAGCAAGGCTGGCCCTGCAGGGCAAGCCAGCTCCCCCCACCTGCCAGCCCTCAAAGCACTCACCATACCCAGCTGCACCACCATCCCCATGACACCCTGAGCCCCACCTGGGGGCATGCATGGCTTCGCTTGCCACCATAGAATCCCTGTGCTCTAGCAGCACCAACAGAGCCTGTCCCAGCTTCCCCTCGCCACACAGGAAGGATCCCCTCACCCACCATGTCTGTGACCCAACCAGACCCAAGTCCCCTTTCCCCTCCATCCCCCACCAAGGAAGAGCTGCAGGAGGTTTTGGTCATCACATGCCATTTTACATCTCACAATTAAAAGCCAACTCCCCAGCACCTGTACTGCCTCATGTGCAAAACATGCCCTACTTGATATCACCTTGCCGTGGTGGGGTATCCTATGTGGTCACCAAGGCAGTCTGTGGTTTGCTTGGTAGGGAAACAGGAAGCAGCCAAGAGTAGTGGCTCCAGGCTATGGGTGGCTGGATCCCCAAGCATATAGTTAACAGTGACAGTGGCCTCAGCACATGCCACTCTGCATGGCCCCTGAGGGCTCTGCTGGACTGGTTCTGACAAGCAGCAAGACCCCCACTCCCGCCACAACCCCCACTCCCTACTTTCTGCAATGGGGAGCCCTGCCACTTGGCTGGAGCCCCCCAAGATCCAGACTTCACCCCATCACCCATGCAGCCCCCCTGAGTATCTTCAGTGCTTTAGAGCCACTCCCCAGTGCATCTGGGAGCACTGACCAGCACCCTGCAGCCCATCTCTTAGCTTCTCACTCTCCCAGGCGGAGCCGCGGGGTGGCACTGCCCGTGGGATTGCGTCTCTGTCGTAGTTGTTGGTCTCCATTGTGACGCCCTGCATTTCCATCCCTCCCACCCACAGCGGCCGACGGTGGGGCAGCAGCCAATGCTGCCGGTAGCGCAGATGCTGGCCTGGTCAATGGTACGTCTCCAAAAGGGTGTACCCAGCCTTGGGTAATGGGCATCTTGGGGCTGTCTGTCCCCCATGCTGGGTCCACTGTGCGTGGACCACCCTGGGACAGCCACCCTCTTTCACATTGGGTCAGTGCTTAGGAGCAGAGCTGTCACAGGGGAGACCACACTGGGCCCTCTTGTGGCTGCAGTGGACATGATGTTGTCTTCTGATTAGGACCCCACGAAGCAGCATCCCTCATCCTTGGCTGACCTTCTCCTAAGTGCGTGTTTTGGACCCTGGCTTTGGGAAGGTGGCGTGGGGGCCAAGACCTAGGCTGACCCTGGCACTTGGGTCCCCCAGCCCACACTTCAGACATTGATGTTAATATTCCCTTGAGACGGGGGACCCAGACCAGGATTCAACCCCTTAGTCGCCTATTCCGTGCTGTCCTCCAGCATGGCTGAGCCACTGTAGAATTATCTTCCTCTTCTCTTTCACGGAGCAAGCAGGCAGAGGGTTGGCTTGGACTTGGGCCTCGTTCTGTTTCTGGGTCCGGACTGGTATTTCTTGCTGTCGCCTGTGCTGGAGCATTTGTGGGTCTGTACGTTCTTTTCTTCCTTGGGGTGGCAGGTAGGGTTGTGGGCCAGGGTTGCCTCTGCATCCCCAAGGTCAGGGTCTTCACCTCCTTCTACATAGATTTCCACATCTCCGCACCCTCCCACCTGCAGAGCAGAGCAGGTTCCTGGTACCCAGGCACCCTCCCTGGCCCCAGCATCCGTCACAGGAGACATGTGAGGCCAGGAGGATTCGGGCAAGGGACAGCAAGCCTGTATCTTCCTGCATCACTGTGTCCCGGACCCTGGGCAGGGTATTTCTCAACCTTTCTGTCCTTGACTCCTCACCTGTCCTGCAGGTCACACAGACTCTCGTTTCATCCCAGGGAGGGCTGGACCATTTGCCTCCAAAGGCACCTAGCAGGTGTCAGTGTGGGTGGGGGATGGTTGCAGGCACAGGGCCAGGAGGGAGGCCAGCTTGGGGGATGGGAGGCAGGCATGTCCACTGCCAGGCTGGAAGTCCCCAGTGAGTGAGCACACAGACCTATCCACCCTTGCCAGCTCCCAGACGATAGGCACTTTTACTTCCAGGCTATAGCAGAAACCACAGGAAGCTTTCCAGAACTGCGGGGAAGGCAGGAGGATTCCGTTCCCTGAGCCCGAGGCTAGGCCAGGTGCTATTGCCGGCCATCTTGCTGTGTCCTGTGACCACCCTGGTTCATTTCTGGGCTTCATGGAGCTTCGGTGCCCTCTTGGCCAGCTCTAGGGGGATGTGCATGGTTGCCTCTGGGAGGCAGTGGTCGGTGCCATGACCCCTCACAGTGTGGACTCAGGGCTGGATACCTGGCATCCCCTAGCAGTGGACACAGGATCTGACGCCTAGGCATGCCCTGGCAGCTATAAGAAATGCAGAGTCTCAGGTCCCGACACAGTAGCACTCTGTCCAGACAGCGGCCAGCAGCCTTGACAAGGGAGCAGGCAGTGACAGTTGCCCACTCCCTCCTCACAGACATGCTGTGCTGTGAGGAGAGAAGGGGACATGGAACAGAGAGATGTTCCATTGGAATGCACACACAAAGAGATCCATGCATAGCTTCTTGATCATACACATTTCCCGTGAGCGTGTAGCACCCTGTCCTAGAAAGAGGCAGCCTGGGAGCAGGGGTCACAGTGCCCCGACTCCCACCTTGGATGGAGAACACGCGGGGCCATCATCACTGCTTTGTTCCCAGCATGTGTGCCACGTGTGTGGGGAACCCCAACCTCTGTCATGGTTCGGACAGACAGCATGGCTGTTGGCTGCTGACCTCTGCACACTGCTTGTCCCACATCATCTGCATTCCATCCCATCATTTCACAGAGGAGGCACAAGGGCGAGAAAAGGCATTTCTCAGGTATCCAACCAGCAGTCTCTCTCCTCGGTGATGGCCGACTAGGCACCTCCACCCCACATTCCTCACAGCCCTTGACCCTCGTGGTAGATCTGTGTGGCACTGGGAGCCATTGCATCAGAATCGAAAAGTGACCTGCCCAGCATCCCCAGCTCCCTACAACCACAGCCTACCCTCCAGATTTCCCTGGGGTGGAGCTGGCTATCCCACCGTAGTTTGCAGCCACACAAGCACCACTTGGGCCAAGGGAGTCCCACAGAAGTCCTTTGCTCTTGAGAGCCCAAGAGCCATGTGCCTGTTTGGCCACACAGCCACAGTGGGCATGAGAGAAGACGCTGCCAGCTTAGTTTGATGGGTGCTAATACCTGGGAGTGTTGGAGCCGTTCGAGGTAGCTTGCACATCCAAGTGTCAGAGTACGGGTGCCCCTGAGCCCAATTAGGAGAGGTTTTGCTGAAGGCCACAGGTAGCTGTTGGTATCCTCCCATCTGCTCTGAGCAGCTCTTTTCTCCTGTCTTTTAACCTAGCAGAGTGTCACAGGCATGGGCAGTATGAACACATGCTCTAATGAGAGGGGCAGAGCCCAGGGAAACTGCTTCTCGTCTAAGCCACCGAAAGGCGGGGCCAGGGAAGACACACTGTGCCCCTCCGGTTGTTCCAGAACATTCCATAGATGCCAGCTGCTTCAGGGACCCTCAGACTCAGGGACCTCGAGAAAGTGACACAAGCCCTTCAACAGATCGAGGCTGGGCAGAGCAGGTAGTCAGGACAAGACCATGTTCTGGGCTCAGAGGGACCAAAGGGGCCAGAGGTGGCTGAGAGCCTAGGAAGCCCAGATCCTGCCTCTGTGGGCCTGAGTGACCCAGAAGCACCCCTGGCCACGGAGCCTGGGGGAGGCCATGAAGGCAAATGCATGCTGGACGCATGCTGGGGTCTTGTGGACACAAACTCTGGCCTCTGACTTCCACCTTTGGCACAAATTGTCTGAGTGAAGCCTCCCTACTCCAACCCCCTCCCCAGGGACAAAGCCCTGCAGTGGGCCCCAGTGAGAGGGGTGGGGTGCAGTTGAAAGAGGTTGCAGCTGGTGAGGGGCACTCTCCCTGCCCTGACCCCCATGCCCATCCTGCTGGCCAAGGCTAGAGGGAGGAGGAAGTAGAATCAGACATCTGGGCTAAGGGATGTCTGGGCCTCGGACCTTGTCTGAACTGCCCTCTGCTATCTCTGTCTTTCTGCTCTTTTCTTCCTTGGGAAAATGAAAAAGCAGGAAGCACAAACCTCCCCTCAACCCCAGACCCTGTAGGCAAAAGGGCTGAGCACCCCAGGCAGTCTGAGAGCTTGTGGGCTCTTCTTCCTGCCTCCTGCAGCAAACACTGCCCTTTGACCCGGAAGAACTCCAGCCCACAGCCACCCCAGCAGGAGCACCCTTTCCTGCTCTAACAATCAGGAGTTTCTTGCCACACCACCCCTGGCATTGGCCCAGCTCTCGGCCCCCAGGGCTGGTGCGCTGGGCCCTACCTTCGTCTGCTGTCCGTGGCCTGTTGCGTGTCCGTGCTGACGACTGTGTGCTGTCTGTTCTCTGTTGTCCGATTCTCTGTCGTGTAGGTAAAATGCAGGATGGCAATGTGGACGCCAGCCAGAGCAAAGGTAACTGCCGCCTTTCCCGGCCCGGGCCCCCGCCGCCCTCCCCTCCGGGGCAGTCGCGGCCACTGGGTGTATGGCTGTGGCTGACAACATCCCGGCATCTCTGTTGCCCATCCTGCTGGGACTGCAGTCTGGCTCCTTGAGACCAGAAAGAGGAAGGAGTGGCCAGGCAAGGGCCAGTAGGCTCTGTCCAGAAAAGTCACAGAGGCCGTCCTAGCTGGGAACCAGGACATGGCCGTCTTGGGGAAGAGCCATGCCTCCTTGGGCTTGTCTAAATGTGGGACCAAGGGGCCCTTGAAAAAGGTAAAGAGTGGAGAGGTCCTTGCCCACTCCTGCTGGCCAGAGCATACCCAAAGGATCATGTGTGGCCCCTGCTGGAAGAGGCAGGTCCCCATGTCCCACTCCCATGCCAGCCATGCAAGAGCCCAGCAACAGGGGTGGGTGCCTGCATGCCAGGAGCCCTGAGGCTGATGTGTGTGTGTGTGTGTGTGTGTGTGTGTGTGTGTGTGTGCGCTGTGTGCTCTGCCCACCGCAGCCAAACAGCAGGATGGTGCAGCCGCCATGGAGATGCAGCCCCTGAAGAGTGCAGAGGGTGGGGACGCCGAGGACAAGAAGAAGGGCAACATGCACAAGAAGGAGAAGTCAGTGCTGCAGGGCAAGCTCACCAAGCTGGCCGTGCAGATCGGCAAGGCGGGTGAGTGCCCAGCAGTGGGCAAGCCCTGGTGCCCTGGACTTCCAGCAGCTGGTCCAGTCCTGTATACAGGCAGCACTCTCTAGTGCTTATGCACAAGGAGAAAGCTGAAGGCATGGGCTCTGGGTGTAAACTGTCCCGACCGCACTCAGCTGCAGCTCTGAGAATGTAGGCCACCCCCTCACCCAGCGCCCCGTCTCTGTTCCTTCCTACGGCAAACACGCTTCCTGGTCGTCCCTCCTCTCCCCACTGCTGTGTGCCCAAAGTGCTCCGCACTGGGTATGCATGGTAGTTATGGAGAGGCCAGATCCTGCAGCCTCAGAGCTCTGGGCTGCGACAGGTTCTCTTAGGTGTGTGGGAGCCATGGAAGAGGTTTGAGCAGGGGAGGTCAGAGGTATATGTGGGCTTGGTCACAACCTCCTGGCTGCCATGCAGAGGAGAAGCCGTAAGGGCACCCCGTCTGCCCCAGGGGAGCCCCAACCCTCCCCACACAGCCTTGGCCACCCCTCCTGGGTAAAACCATGCCGCCCATGGAGGCTGCCCCACCTGGCTGCTCCATGGCTGTCTCTCCAAGCTCTAATTATAGACGCCACAGCATGGAGAAAGGAGGCAAATTACAGGCTCAGCCGTCTATATTTAAACATGGAGGGAGGGTCTGGTGACAGCTCCCCAGCCCCTGCCGCTGTCACACAGGGACAGAGCTGGTGCCTGTCCACAGCTCCACAGCTGGAGCACAGGTGGGCAGTAAGGGGGCCTGAGGATCTCCACCATCATCGGCAGCGGGCTGCACCTGGCATGGGACAGGCAGACAGTGAAGACCCCCAACAACCTGCACCGCCCACTCTTGCCCCACCCTGGCCAGGTCTCAGGCTGAAGTCTGTGAGAGCAGCGTGAGGCAGGCAGAGGAGGGCTTTTTGGAGAGATGTCCTCAAGGGGCCCAGGCAAGGTGGTCGTGGGGAAGAAGTCAAGCGCTGACCCCATCTCATCCCCGGGGAACATCTGCGCAAGGCACCCTGACAGCCACTGAGCTTCAGGGCCACCACCGGGCCCCTCCTGACAAGGGGACCCCCACTGCCCATGCTGTTCCTACTCCAGCAGAGGCTGCAGGCATATGCCTGCACAGGTGACGGGGGATCCAGGCTGCAGCATGTCCCAGGTCCCCTCTCTGCTGGGAGCAGTTCCCCCAGATGTCCCCTCCTCCGAGAGGGCTTCTGCCACCCCAGCACAAGGGGTCCCTGCCACCACCTCATGCCACTTAGTGGCATTTTTTTCACAGAGTTCCCCTGTCTGTGTGTATGCAGCTCTTGTGTGCCTCAGGGCAGGAGCTCTGCCTTCAGGACTGTGGAATCCCGAGTTCCTACACCGGGAGCCCCAGGTGGCCTCACACATGTTATAGGGGGCCCCAGAAAATAATTGTGCAATCAAGGAACCCAGTTTGTGGTCATTGCTGTGTGAGCAGTCCCATTACCCACTGAGGTGCTGGGCACATGCTTCCCAGGCACTGTACTAGGTACTACGGCTTCATTCCCATGCCTGAACCCCTCAAACCCATGGGAGGGAAATGCTGGGCTAGCCAGCATGGAGTCTGGGTGGTAGGTGAGAACCTTGCCCAAGGAAAAGGAGATGGGAGGGCTGGGGAGTGAGGTGGGGTTTGGGGTCACTTGCCCCCACCCCTACCTACCCTGCCTGGAGTAGGTGTCCCCCTGTTGCAGGCCTGGTGATGTCAGCCATTACGGTAATCATCCTGGTGCTGTACTTCACCGTGGACACCTTTGTGGTCAACAAGAAGCCGTGGCTGCCCGAGTGCACACCCGTCTACGTGCAGTACTTCGTCAAGTTCTTCATCATCGGCGTCACGGTGCTGGTGGTGGCTGTGCCTGAGGGTCTCCCGCTGGCCGTCACCATCTCACTGGCCTACTCGGTCAAGGTGAGAGAGATACACATCTGACGTTCCCTGGCACCCAGGGACCAGTGCTGGGTGTGGGAACGATGCTAAGACGATGTGTGGAGGCATGACAGGGGTCTCAGAGCATTAACCAGCCCCTCACCCCAAATCCAGACCCCACTGCTCCTCAGTCTCGCCCGCTGTTGCCTCGTCCAGATGTGGGCTCAGCAATGCCCCATTTTTATCATTGTGAAGAATGCGAAAATGTGGGCGGTATGCAAACGCTCCTGGTTCTTACTACTGACGAACAAGTTAGCTTTTAAAATGAAAGAAAATGCAGGCTGCACTGTGCCACCCAAGCCCACCCTGGCCCAGCAGCTACTGGTGAACCAGTGATCCCACAGTTCACATCCTGGAAAGAGGGAAGCCAGAAACAAATGGGCCAGTGGGTTGCAACAGAGGCCCCACCCTAGGGCAGGCACTGACCAGCACTTCAGTCTGTATCCTGGGCCGCCTGGGGCTGCAGAGCAAACCAGAACCTGCCCTCCAGTTGCTTGGGCCACAGCTGGAGCTCAGCGTCTCACCCTATGGGTCACCTCCAGTTCCCACCCCCAGTCCCATGTCTCCCTCCCACTGGCTCCTGCCTCCCTGCAGGGGCCCAGGCTTTTCCATGGCATTTAGAAACTGGCAGAGCCACCGGAGGGCGTCAGTTTGCAAGCTGGAATTTGGGCTGGGCTCGCCCGATGTAATTTCAGCCAGAAAAGAGATCTGCCGGTGGGTGCCAGAAAGCGGCAGCTCTCTGTAAGGGATACAGCCCTTATCACCACCCCACCTTGGGGTTTTCAAAGAAACTCCATCCTCCAAACCAGAGCCCACACGGGGCACATCACAGGGCTCCCCAGGGAGCCTAGGGGCCTGGGGCAGGCAGCTGCTCCATGGTCATAAGCAGGGGGTGCCCCACAGCTGCCCACTGAGAGTTAGCACCCCTCAGCTCCCCAAGAGCCGGTGGGCAGATCAGGGTGGATGCTGCGGCGGGCCTCTGCCTCCACAGCTCCTGGCACCCTCAGCATATTTGGATGGTGTCATCCAAGTAGTCACGTGACAGACTCAATACAGTGCCTAGCTCAGGAGTGACAGAGGGGCTCTGGAACTTGCTGAGGGCCCAGACGGGACCCCTGCAGCCAGTGCTGCCTGCTAGAGAGAGAGAGAGAGAGAGACAGTGACTGCATTTTTTTTCAGAGTAAAAGGAAACAGGTGAACCCCTTGGCTGATAAGCTTTTATTTCAGTCGAGATGCACAGATTATTATCAATGCAATGTGGAATCAACTTGGAAAACTGGGAATGAGCCATTTCTTTTAGATTTCTCTTTTTCACACCATTTTGTACATCCAATGTGTACATGGATGCTTCAAAACGTTCCTGGAAAATAGAATTAAAAGACAAACTTGTTTGGAACCCCCCCCCAAAAAAAAAAAGATTATCAAGAATTTTTTCATTACACTTTCTGTGAATGTCCTAGGGACCCCTTATGTGCATGGATTGTAATGTTTTGATCCCAGAATAAGCTGAATTCTTTGTTCGATTTCCCCACACACCTGCTGAAGTGCCCTGGTATTTCATGCCCAGCCCTTGGTGGCCCCACAGGGCTGCTGTCTCAGGCAGGTGCTGTTACTCCCAGCAACTAGAGGAGCCCTCTTCCAAGGGGGCCGTCCTGAGGCCAGGAGTGATCCCGGCTGTGAGGCTGTGTTCAAAGCCCAGCTTAAGAGCTCTTGCTGGGAGTTTTTCCCTGATTGAGTCCCTTCGCCTGAATGCTATCCAGGGGTCAGAGTGAAACACCAAAACCCCCTCAGGTGTCCCAGAACCCTTCGAACATCGAGACGATGGATGTGTGAGCTTTGCTGAACATCGAGACGGTGCATGCGTGAGCTTTGCTCACGGTGGTGTTGCCCATTCAGAGTAAAACCGTGACATGCACTTACTCCTGCTATGATCACAGAAGTCTAATAAGAGGTGTGACAGCAAGGCTCATAGGAACGTAGACCTCAGTGCAAAGTGTTCTGATTGCACTCTTAAGAACCCTTGTTAAGGGGCCAGCATCAGGCCTGTGGGTAGCACGCCCATATGCAGCACCAAAGTACCTGACTTCCAGCTCCGTGCGAATGAGGATCCTGCGGGGCCATGGCTATAACGCCAGTGGGTCCCTGCCACCGGCCCGGGAGACATGGGTTCAGCTCCCAACTCTCAGCTTTGGTCCACTTACTCTTGAGCAGGCATGAGGGGTAAGAACCAGCAGGTAGGAGTTCTCCTCCTACCCCTACAACCCTCTGAAACTCATAATTAAAACATTTTAAAATGCATCATTGTCTACAGTTCTAAAGAGCAGTTCAGGAGGGAATCCTCCCCCACCCACTCCTGTGACATGCAACAGAAGGCAGCAAGATGCTTCGAGCCCCTGGCCCTGCCCTCTGCCCACAGCAGGACAGGCTGTGGGAGAAGGTCAGCTCTTTGGGGTTCACCCATTGGCAATTGTGCTGACACCCAGAAGAATCTAGGAGTGTGAGAAGATTCCATTTCGATGACAGACTGTGAGGGCTCTCCAAAAAAAACCAGTGGGAACTGTTTTAGGAAAATGCCATATGGATTTCAAAAGCATGTGTGGTGAAGTAATTGCCACCATTTTTCCTGCTCTTCTTCCTGCGTGCCTTCCAACCCTCATAGAGCAGGAATTCCTTCTGGGTTGCACCTGGTGGTGGGGCTTTCTTTTTTGTTGCGTATTTGGATTGCAGGGAGCAAGCTGTTAGATTGAAGAGACAACAGAATCCATAGATGTGAAAAGGCAGTCATGCAAACCTGGCTCTGTGGAAGCACAGACGCCCCAGGTCCACTTAGTGTTGGTGAAAATGAATTGATAGCGCAGACCAGGCAGCCAAGTCACTTGGGAGAAGCTCCGAGAAGACTACCCAACCTTAGCTGTTGTCCTTGTCCCTTTGTCTTCCATAAAGGATGTAGATGATTTTGGCAATACAAATGAGTGAATTTTATGAGTCAAGTATTTTAAGAGGTTCAGCAAAGACAAGGAAGGACACACACAGAGAGAGTGGAAGAAGCTGCAGCAGATGTGCAGGAATCTGGGAGGCCCAGGGGCTTGTCGTGTGTCTGCCTGGTACCCAGGGTGGCTCTCCTGACAATCACCCTCTCACCTGCCCTGCCCCCCAGAAAATGATGAAGGACAACAACCTGGTGCGCCACCTGGACGCCTGTGAGACCATGGGCAACGCCACAGCCATCTGCTCAGACAAGACGGGCACGCTGACCACCAACCGCATGACGGTGGTACAGGCCTATGTCGGTGACGTCCACTACAAGGAGATTCCCGACCCCAGCTCCATCAATGCCAAGACCATGGAGCTGCTGGTCAACGCCATCTCCATCAACAGCGCGTACACCACCAAGATCCTGGTGAGCAAGAGAGCAGGTGCCAGCTATGTGTCCAGTGGGAGGAGTCTGCCACGGGTTCACATGAAAGTGCTGGGCAGCTGAGCAGTGTGACGGGCATCTCCACATCCTGCTGATGGTGCAACATAAGTGACTTGCTTGCTTTGTGTTTGTGTGGCATTGGTACATCTGGTGTTACCAGAAGAAAGACACTTGTGAGTCATGTCCAGGCCGCTTGCTATTTGGCACAGGGTTACTTCTGCTATGTGGCACATACCCCCAGGATAGCCCAGGTGCCCCAAATGGCAGTGTCCAGGACAATTCTGAAACCAGCACTCCCTACACCTGCGGGATGGTTTATGTTCAGCCTGCAGTCCCATGGGTGGATCGATGTGCTAGGCAGTCCTTCTATTACCAACGGGGCTCTCACACCCAACTGCAGTGCTTTGCATGGACAGCCTGCAGGAGCAGAGATGTGGGCTGACCAAGCATGTCCCCACCTGGGCTGGCTCCTGTCGGCTCTGTGTGGTCAGCTCACCTCCGGGAGGCTCACCTGGCCTTGTTCACACGGCTGTGTTGGGGTTCTGACAGGGAGTAGAAGCATGCATGGTCTTCCGAGGCCTGGCTCTACCTTGGCCCTTATGGCTCTGCACTGACCAGCGTGGGTCTGGAAGCCGGGCCTGGTTTGCAGAGTGGGATAGGAGACTGTGTTGGCTGGAGGGGATATGCTGTGATAGGCGAGGGCCTGGGCGGAAAGAGCCAGTGTTCACACCAGCACCTTAGGCTCTGTCACAGTGGTCATACATTTGGCTAAGAAGGAGGCTCCCTTGACTGGGATGGTGGTGAAGCTCAAGCTGCCTCATGATGGAAGAGTGTTTAGATGCAGAGAGACCGGAAGTTCCCCTTCCACGCATGCCCTGGCCTTGCCCCTGCCCCCACCTCTCCAACCAGCTGCACCCTCCACCTCCAGGTTTGGTGGGTGAGCACTGCCAGCGACTTTTTGGGAACAGGGAGGGGAGCATGAGTCAGCAACAAGAACCCAGGGCTGGAGGGGCTGGAGGTGGTGGGGGACAGGGAGGAGGCGATGGCAACTGTGCGCCTTCCCCAAGGCTAAGCAGCCTCCAGCATCGCCTGAGCCGTGGGCTGAGGAAGGCTGGATTGACAGCCGGCAGGAGGAGGCAGGTGATCAGAGAACACATGCGCACGGTGGTGGAGGACTTGGGGTGATGGTGATTTTGTCTTCTTGCCGAACAACTTTGTTTGGTTTTGGAATGGCGAGATGTCATTAATGATGTCATCCTGTGGACCAGGAAAAAAAGCAAGGTGACTCCCCAGCAGGCTGCTGGCCACAGGATTGCCGCTGTTTGGGGGCTGGGCTCGAGAGACGTCCACAGCACAGCCAGCACCTTCTTCCCAGGTGTCCCCAAGGCTGAGTCAGGCACAGAGCATGGGGCTCCCCAGTGCACCCTGGAAGAGGTGCAGATGCATAGGCTGTGGACAGCAGGACCTGAAGCTGGGGCTCTCAGTTTGCAATCCTGCCAGGCACCCAGGTTTCTTGAGGCACCTTGAGCCCCGGCATCCAGGGTCCTCTGTGCCTGATTTCCTGGGTCTTCCCTGAAAACATCCTGGCCACGTGGCTCCGGTCAGGGGAGCAGCAGAGCAGCAGGCAGTGGCTGAAGCTACACAGCAGAGCCGGGTAGCCTGGGTTCCAGTCACCCTCTTGTTGCCTGTGAACACGATTCTAGATGTCTCTGTGGGAAATGACAGATTGTGAATGTGAAATGAGACATCGAGCAGTCAGTCAGTGCTCAGCACCAGCCCATGATACAGATGTGAAATTACTAAGCGAGCAAGACTGTAGGGAGAGGGAGAGATGGATGGATGCATGCATGGGTGGGAGTTTGATGAATAAGTTGATGAATGAAAGTGAGATGAATGGGTGGGTGGATAGAATATGATAGACAGATGGATGGACAGATGGTGGATGGACAGATGTATGTATGTATGGGTGGGTGGATGTATGGATGATAGAAGGATGGATAGATGGATTGGTGGATCTATGTGTGTATGGGTGGGTGAATAGATGGATGGATGTGGATGAGTGAATTTATGTATGTTTGTATGTATGGGTGGATAGATGGGTGTGGCCAAGAGATTGCAGGGGTCTTATCTCAGATCAGGCCATGGATCAGGATGGGACGACTCTGTGGGTGTCCTGACCCCCAGCCTGGGAATCACTGGTTAAGAGCTTCACCACAGCTCACTCGGCAAACAGGCATGCAGTGGTGTGGGTGGCTCTGCAGGGGTCAGAATGCAGGGAGCAGCAGCCTGGAGGCCCTTCACGGGCAGGGTGGTGGAGGCTTCACCCCATCAGCTCTGAAAGCCACAGGGGCCTTTTCCTTTGCTTTCCCATCATCACGAAAGCTACATGAGTCACATTGTGTTTAGAAGTGGCTTCCTGCCTCAGAAGTCTCAGTGATCCTGCCTGGGGTCCACAGCCTGCCCGCTCTGTGTCTTCCCTGTGAACACAGGGACCTGTGCCGGGCCCTGCTTGCTGCTGCCTTGCATTTCCCCAAACCACACCAGGGCTGCGAGAAGCACCAGCTCACCTGCTATGTCTGCCCGAACCAACTCTGCAAACCAAAAACAGCCAAGCCGCCTTGCTTAGAGCGAGCAAGTGGACGCTGCAGTTAATGTGTGAATTATTAAATCGCAGATGCACTTTGGCTCACCTAAATGGTTGGAAAGTTTCTGGCGTGGTTCCAAAGATAAGGGTTGTTAGAGAAAGGACACCTGGGGCTCACAAAGTGGCTCTGGAGGGAGAACATGCCTGGTGGGACAGTTTTCTGAATAAATGTGGTGCCTGCTCTCCAGAAGACCCCCAGGGAGCCCCAGCATCCCTGCCGATGACGTACTCAGGGCGTGGGCAGGAGGCTGGACAGAGGAAGGGCAGGGGTCTCCGAAGCAGAGACCGCCCTGGACCTCTGTCTTGGGCTGTACACTCAGGGCTCAGTCTTCTGCCCAGACGAGCCCCTGGGTATTCTGAGTAGAGTTAAGTTAGGCTACCGCCAGCCCAGGAGTACTAGGAGTGTGGAAGGCTCTGGAAAGGGCTACAATGAGCATGAAGTAGCTGAGTGTTATACTCAGCACAGTTTAGTTTTGGTGCTTGGTTTACTTTTTTTTTTTTTTTTGCTTTTGTCTTGCAAGCACCATCTCTAGGCCAAGAGTTTAAAGCAAATCGCCCCTGACAGGGAATTGCTGTTTTTAACAAGAGCTGTCAGTTCCTGTATTGCTCCCCTCAGCCTACACACTCAAGCAGGCACACATAACACCTAGGCCACAGTCAGCAACGTGCCCCACGCAGAACACACAAACACCACCATTCACAACATGCAGAACACAGAAACACACACCACACACCCACATGCTACACACATCACACAGATGTGTGCCAGGGTTCCCATGTCCAGCTCAGCCTGCACAGCACCACTTGTACCCAGCCTCTTGGGAAAAAAAGAGCCCGTGGTTGCTGAGGCCTCCCCATCTGCCCAGGAGAACTGTGGCCTCACAGCCTCAGGAAAGAGGCCCTTAGGTGCTGATCCTGGAGCTCCGATTCAGCCAAGATTCCCTGCTCTCTGATGTTCAGCAATGCTGGTGACCTGCGGGGCGAGTGCTAAGGGGCAGCTTCTGGCTCTACCACCAACTGGATGGCTGCCAGAGACAGACAGTTCTCACAAAGGGTACACACACTGCTCTCAGTGCAGCTCACCCTGCCCTGGGGTGTGTGCTTATAAAATGGTGGCAAAATGCAGGCACTATCGCACTTACCACAGGAGCCAGCCTTGTAGCACAGTGGGTCAGCCTCCACACCAGCTCCATTGCTTCCAGTTCCCTGCTCACATGCCTGGGAAAGCAGAGGAGGATGGTCCTTACTACCCACATGGAAGACCCAGATGGAATTCCAGGCTGCTGGCTTCAGCCAGGCCCAGCCCTGGCTATTACAGCCATTTGGAGAGTGAAACAACAGGTGGAAAGGTGAAAGATATTTCTCTGTCTGTCTCTCCCTGTCTGTCTCCCTCTGTCAGTCGGCTCTTCAAGAAAGTAAACAAACAAACAAATAAATAAACAAAGCCTTTTATTAAACTTGACCGCCTGGGCCACCCTTAAGATACACTCAAGTGGCATTCAGTACATTCATTCTCCATTATTCATCTTATAGCTGTTTCCATCCTGCAAAGTGTGTAGATCTGCTCTTGGAGTCCCTGATTGAGTTATTCTGGGCGTGTGTCCAGAACTGAGTTTGATGGATTGCATAAATGAGAGCCGTGTTTCATTCTTGAGGAACCTGCCACACTGTGTTCCCCTGCATTCCTACTAAGAGCACACAGGCTCATCCCGTTCTTGCCCGTGTATGTTACTGTTTCCCATCCTGACTGTGTGAGTTGCAGAAGTTTTTCATAACTTGCAGCTCCTGAAGTCACCAGGTTTTCTTCTTGGCTCCGGCCACACATCCCAGCCTCTCAGAAGAGGAGCATGAATTGTCCTCAGCAGTTTACAGCTATGGCTGCACCTGGCACTCCTGCAGGGCTCAACACCTTGCAGGGGATGGGTAATATGCTGGGGGATGCCAAGAGAAGCTGGAGTCTGGATGGTTAGAACCACCCAGGCCGTCACAGGAAGTAAGCGTCTTCCTGGGCCTTACTGTTGCCTGCCCCTCACCCGGGGAGAGTCCCTTAAAGCCCTGGAGATAAAAAGGATCTTGGAAATTCTCCAACAAAAGCAAAGCCTCTGGGTTTGTCAGGATGAGAAGAAAAATTAAAAAGCCAACAGAGAAGAAGGGAGGGTGCCTGCTCCTTAGTAACATGTGTGGGCGACTTCAGAGCTCAGGTTCAAGGGAACAAATTGAATTATGGAGGCGGCAGTTCTGCTGCTTGCCACCACAGGTTGTTCAGAATTCTTTTAGAGGAGAATAGAAATGCTTCCCAGAGGGTGACAAAACGCTGCGTGTTCTGCGGGCCTGACTGCTCAGCTCCTCAGGCACATAGGGAAGCAGGCACTTTATTTAAGTCCTCCAAGCTGTCATTTTCTCTCGTTAGCAGAGAGGCTAGGGCACCTGCTGTGGAAATGCATAGAGCTCTAGAAATCGCCAGAAAGTGAGTCATACGGTGGTAAGGACATGCGACTTAAGAGAGTGAGCAGAAAACTCCTGCTTTGCCATGCAGGACCTCAGTGGGCTCAGGTGGCAGCATGTCACATCTCTGCCTCTGCAGACTTCCGCAATGTTCTCAGGTGGAGTGATGGGTAGGGTGTGATGCCTCGATGGAGGACAGGTGGATATAACGGCATACTGCACAGACAGAAGGCAGCTCCCAGTGTTTCTCTTCCCAGCAGCCAGTCTCATGCCACAGCAGACTGAGCCACGCCTTATCACACTGGGATCTCGTATTGGAGTGCTGGCTCAAGGCTCAGCTGCTCCATTGCTGCTGCACCTGGGAAGGCAGCAGAAGACGGCCCGAGTGCCTGGGACGCTGCATTCACACGGGAGACCTCGTTGGAGTTCTAGGCTTCTGGCTGCTGCCTGGCCCAGCCCTGGCTATTTTGGCCATTTGGAAAGTGAACATTGGGTAGAAACTCACTCTTTCTGTCCCTCATCATCACTTTGCCTTTCAAATAAACGGATACAGGTGTTTATTTGAGAATTTTTAAAAAGTAGAATGTATTTTCCCAAACTTTGGGCAGAGGAAGCTGCCTCAGAGACCCTGTGCTTCCAGTGAAGTCTCATCAGCACTGGCAAGCGAGGAGCCGGGACAGGTCAATGGCCCATGGAGCTGGCTCATGGGAGAACCACTCCCCTGCGGCCACTGCTGACCATCCCTAGCTAGGCCAACTGCAGGGACAAGGGCTGCCCTGGCCGTCTGGCTCGCTGAGCTGTGCCTGCAGAGCAGGGGATGTGGTCAGGCCCAGGGAACAAGGGCCCGTCCCATCCCTGAGCAGCAGCCCTCTCCAGCATCTCCCTGGGCGGCTCTCTGGGCCATATCCAGGGACACAGATGTCTCACCACTATCTCTTCCTCCTTGCCCATAAACCACCTCAACTTCCATCACTAAATGTTAATTTTTTAGTTGTCATTGAATTCATTTATTATTTACTCAGGAGAAGGAGGGACAGCTCCCATCTGCTGGTTCACTCCTGCAATGCCTGTGGCTGGATTGGGCTGACCTGGGACTAAACACAGAGGCTGGAAGCTGGTTCCAGTCCAGCTCTCCCACATCAGGAGCGGGGACCCAAGGGCTTGAGCCATCACCTGCCGCTCCCAGGATGAGCATCAGCAGGAAGCCAGAATCCAGGGAGGAGGTGGGGCTTGAACCCACGCACTCTGTGGCCATCCTAAACAGGGGCCCAACAGCTCCGGAGCAAAAGCCCCGCCTGTGTATTTGTTACACGGCGTGTGGCTGTCTGTGTGTGCATGTGCAGACGCACGGGGAAGGTGAGATTATTCAGCCACGAGCGGGTCCCAGCCGTGGCACCGTCTTGTTAACCTCCAGTCATGCATCAAACGGAGGGAAAACCTCGTGCTGTGTGCCAGGCTCTGTGTTGGGCCCTGGAACCCAGAGCAAACTGTGACTCGTCCTCCCAAGGCGGTCTGTGCCAGCAGAGGGGAAGGCACAGAGGCCAGAATCAGCTCAGCCCCGACAGCACAGGCTGTAACAGCTCAGCTCACACAGGTGGGGCCAGGAGAGGAAGTGGGAGGCACCAGGATCAGGCAACTGTGGTTAGTATCTTTAACAGGGACAGGCTGGAACCAGAGATGCACACACAAGTCTGACAGTGAACAGGAAGTGAACTGAGTTGCAGAATATGTCCCTGTTCTAAGAGGAAGTGGACAGACATGACGATGGGAGGCTAAAGTGCAGGAAACTGCCAATATTTGAGCAGCATTGCAGCTTCATTTGGCTCAAGCAAAGCCAGAGTCACAAGGGCCAGCCCAGCGGTTCCAGGGAATAGTATGCAAACATTAAAAAGACAGACTTTAGGCACACACAGCAGTCTGCCTGGATCTTGGGAGTGGGGGCTGATGCTGAGGGGACAGGCTGGTCCCCTAGCACTGCATCATATGTCTGAAGTGATGCTAGCGTGTGGTGGTGGAGAGCTTAGGGTGGCCACGACCAAGGAAGGGTAAGAAGGAAGGGTACCCCAGGGAGCCCTGTGCTGAGTCGTATCCTGCCTCTCCCCACAGCCCCCTGAGAAGGAAGGCGCCCTGCCCAGGCAGGTGGGCAATAAGACGGAGTGTGGCCTGCTAGGCTTCGTGCTGGATCTACGGCAAGACTATGAGCCGGTGCGCAGCCAGATGCCCGAGGAGAAGTTATACAAAGTGTACACCTTCAACTCGGTGCGCAAGTCCATGAGCACGGTCATCAAGCTGCCGGATGAGAGCTTCCGCATGTACAGCAAGGGTGCCTCGGAGATCGTGCTGAAAAAGTAAGGACTGCCCCGCCCCCACCCCTGGAGGCTCCGCCCCACACGTGGTCCCGCCCACAAGGCCCGCTTGCACACGTGGTCCAACCCATGAGGCACGCCCACACGCGTGGCTCCGCCCATGAGGCCCGCCCACACGCGTGGCTCCGCCCATGAGGCCCGCCCACACGCGTGGCCACGCCCGCCCGCGCCCCCGCCAGGGCAGAATCCTGCAGAGTCCGTCAGGACCTGAGGCGTTCTGAGAACTTGGCTGGACCTCCGCCTGCCCCTCCCCACCCCCAGGTGCTGCAAAATCCTCAACGGGGCGGGCGAGCCCCGGGTCTTCCGGCCCCGCGACCGGGACGAGATGGTCAAGAAGGTGATTGAGCCCATGGCGTGTGACGGGCTGCGCACCATCTGCGTGGCCTACAGGGACTTCCCCAGCAGCCCCGAGCCCGACTGGGACAACGAGAACCACATCCTCAGCGACCTCACCTGCATCTGTGTGGTGGGCATCGAGGACCCCGTCCGGCCTGAGGTAGATGGCAAGTGGAGTGACCCGGAGGGGCCAGGTGGGAGGCCAGTGGGGTGACCTGGGCCCCTGCCACTCTCCAACGGCCGGCACAAGCTGTGCTTGGTGTCCATGGGCCAGCAGGCCACCCCAGGGCGATCCCCTAACCTTGAGCGCAGCTGCCGGGAGCTCTCTGATCACGGGTCTGGGGGCTGCCTGTCTTAGAGGCCTCCTGCCCATGCCCACGGGTGCCAGGACCCAGAGTCCCCGGGAGCCAGTGTGTCAGGAGCAGGCCTGTGGCGTCCCCTCAGCACCTGTGGCTCACCCTGCACATGCGTGCTGTTTGTGAGTCCACAGATATACCTGGGCAGCCCCGTTGGCAGCCGTCATCACTTGCCTTTGTTGGGGCTCCCAGGGGCGCCCACAGTGGGGCTCGGGTCTGGGAGTTCGGGGCTGGGGGCTGTGGAGTGGGGTGGCAGGGTGATAGGGTGTGTGAGGCTGTGGGGTTATGGGGCAGGAGAGCTGGCTCAACCCCAACGGTGCCATGGGCTTTGTGTTCAGGCCAGCACGAAGGACTAGGCGTCCAGCAGGCCTGGGCGTTGCTCACTGTGCTGCTTGGGGCAGTTGTGCATCCTCGCTGAGCCTCCGCTGACTGGCACAGTGCACTGCAGCACCTCCTCTTCTAGTTCTTTCTAAATTGCTGGTGACTGCCCTCACCAGAGTGTCCCCCGGGCTCAGGGGCAACTCGAAACGGCAGGTGGGCCCAGGGTCCCTTGGTGCCTTCCGGCTCTGGTGCTCGCCCCCTCTGCGTCCTAGGGGACGTGCTGTGTCCCCCATCTCGCCCTGCCCCAATGTGTGTGTTTAGACACTCTCCAGACAGCAGGAAGTTCCTCAGGACCAGAGTAGTCAGGTGACGCAGACTCCAGTCCCACCTCCCGTTCCTTTGTCAGGAGGCCTTCCTTTTCCCCGTGGGAGAGGAGGGAACATGTTCTGTCCAACACACCAGGAAGGGACGGACCCAGCTGGGCTGTAGGGGGACACAGACCCGTGGAGAGAGGGGCCCCGGCCGGGCTGCTGGAGGGGACAGACCTGTGGAGAGAGGGGCCCCTGGCCGGGCTACAGGGGGGGACAGACCTGTGGAGAGAGGGGCCCCGGTGGGGCTGCAGGGGCAGATCTGTGAGGCAGCACCTGCTGATGAGGCCACGGACCTGGGAACTGAGGAAATGGCCCATGTGCTTTTTTAAATGCTGGTTTTCCAGGATGGACAGTTTGTGTGAAACCAGTGAGAGGATACAAAAACACACCATCACTCCCCAAGGCCACTTCCTTTCCTGCCTCACAGGCCCTCAGGGTGACCTCCTGTGATGGAGTGTCCATGCTGTCTCCTGGCTCTGAGCATGCCCCATTGTCCAGGTCCTCCATCACCACTGGTAACGCCGGAAAGTGGCCACTGCCGGAAAGTGGACTCTGCCTGTTTCCCCATGCCGCAGAGGGTGAACCCCTCCCTGACTTGCCCAGGGACCCCCACAGAAAGAACCCCAGAGAGGCAAGGATGTCAGGCTGTCGGTGGTGCCTGTGGCCCTCGAAGTCCTTAGCAGCCCTGTCCCCAAGAGCAGCAGACACAGCCACAACATGAAGCGCCCACTTGTAACCTGTTCCCCTTGTGACAGGGATCTAGGGAAATTATAGTGAGAGAAGCCTCATTTTTGAAAACCAGCAGTAATTTTATTCCTGTGGAAAAAACGCTTCCCCCAGGCCTGTGTCTGGAGGGTGGGGAGAGGGGGTCGAGCCTCCATCGTGCTGGCTCTTCAGTGGTCAGGACATTGTCAGTGAGCAGTGATGACAGAAGGACCTGCCTTCGCTTGGGTTTCCAACTCCAGAGCCTGTGCATCAGTTCCCTGCCTCCAGGCACAACCCAGGCCAGCCCAGAGCACTGCTGGGTAAGAAAAAAGACCCTGTGAGAACTAACTAGATGTGAGCAGTCAGCCTTGGAGAGCGTGAGCACCCTGTCTGGTGTGGAGGCGGGCCCAGCTGGGAGCCCCAGAGTCCCTCCCAGGTGGTAACAGGTGAGAGCTGTCCTGACCTTGGGCATGCCGGCACCCAGGGCTCCTCTGGCTACAGAACAGAGGGCACCTGGCTTCTAGGGGCACCTGCTGGGCACCTGACCCTGAGCGGGCTCAGAAGGGGCCTTCCACGCCACTGGGGCCACTAGAAGCATCCTTGCCCATTCCTGCTGTGAGTGGCTGCAGGAGCCAGAGAGGCCATCTGACCGTGGCTGGCCACTTCTCGGTCCTCACCCCACTGCAGGGCGACCATGCACAGGGATCTGTGTTTCTCTTGCGAGCCTGAGGGAGGCGCCCCTGCAGGGAAGGATCAGACCAGAGAGGTAGTGCGGTCACACACAAAATGTGTGCAAGGTCAGTCCTCCTTCCAAGACCTGGGGATGGAAGGGGGAGCAGCAGGTAGCTCCGTGGCCAGGTTCTGCGCAGCTGACCGCTTTGCTGTGCCTGCCCCAACATAGGCGAGGGTCTCTAGCCCATGAGGACTCTGCGCAGTTCAGTAGGTAGTGTCCCTGGAATCCTGGGTCTGGATCATTTCCAGGCCAGCACTGAGTGGTCCAGTCCTGTCCTGGTGCCTCTGGGCGTTCCCTAGGGGACACAGCTAGTGCCCCGAAGTGTTCAGCGCTGCTGAACTGTGAGGCCCAGCAGGGTAGGGGGTTCTGAGCTTTCATGGTTTAGGACGTGGTCACCTAGCCGTGATGACACACACACATGGTGGACACCCACAGCAGAAGACAACAGTTTGCTAAGGTGGAGGTGACAGCTGGCTGGCACCTGCCATGGGCTGCAGACAGGAGCCTGGGCACGCATGTGGTTGGCTGCTCATCTTCCATATTTATATATATTTTATTTTTAAATAATGATTACATGGTTTATCAGGGTGGGAAGGATCGAGGTTTAGGGAAAATTGGGTGAACTCATTGCTTCCAAATTTGCGATTTCCTTTTGTTGTTCCTGGGGGAAGGGGAGAGACAAAGGGGGAACCACTCATGACTTTCCACACGTTCCAGTACCAGGCATGAGGGGCTGCCAGCTCATATCAACCCAGACTCTCAGTGTGTACACTTTCTGAGGGTTCTGTCCAAGTGGCGTGGATAGTTGCCAGTTTCACTGATCCGAGGATGATGTCACCCTCCCAATGTCCGTTGGCTCCATGCACTGAGATTTCTTGCTGTCATCATTTGTTTGGGGTCGTTGCCCTATTCTGCTTTGGCACCAAATGTGCTGCCATATTTTCTATTTCAAAATAGTCCCTGTGTCCACTACTCCACCTTTTTCATTAAGTAGGACATGTTCTTGCAGGTGAGCCAAAGGGACTGGGCCAGGCATCTTAAGTATCACTAGATTCCCCCTCCCCTGAGCTCACAAACTTGGCACCCACCTAGTAGGCGGGCCCCAAGACCCGGGCCGGGCGACTCAAGTCCCACCGGATCCCCCACCCCTGGGGCTCACGAACCTAACATCCATCTATTAAGTGAGCTCCAGGACCCAGGACAGGAGACCCAAGCCCCAGATCCCCCACCCCTGGGGCTCGTAAACCCGACACCCACCTCACAGGTAGGCCCCAAGACCCAGGCAGGTAGCATGAACCCCCACCAAATCCCCACCCCTGGGGTTCATGAACCCAACACCCACCTAGAAGTAGACCTCTAGACCTAGGTCAGATGACCCGAGACCCGCTGGCTTCCCCACCCCTGGGGCTTACAAAACTGACACCTAGGCATCTAGTTGGCAAGCCTCGGGACCCGGTCCAGGAGACCCAAGCCCCACTGTATCCCCCAACGCTGGGGTTCACGAAACCAACACCCACCTAGAAGGTGGGCCCCAGGATCTGGGCCAAGCAACCCAAAACCCACCGGTTCCCCCATCCCTGGGGCTCAGGAACCCAGTCCCCACCACCCAGGTGGGCCCTAGGACCTGAGCCAAGCTGCCTGAGCCCTGTCAGATCCCCGTCCCTGGGACTCACGAACCTGGCCCCGCTGGGCCCAGGCTGGCATGACTCGCCTCACCTCAGCGTCCACACTTTTATTGCACAGACTGGCCTAGTTTAGTCTGCCCCTACTCCAGCTCCTGCTGGTGGGTGCTGCAGCCTACCCCAGCCCAGCCTGATTGCTGTCCTGGTCCTAATGCGAACTGGCTGGTATTACGGCCCAATCTGGCTCCTCCTGCCTCTTGCCCTTGTTCTCAGAACTACCAGTGGGTGTTCTGTGCTGGCCCAGACTGGTCTGTCCCCAGACCTGACCCACATGTGTGCCAGCGGGTACTGTAACCTGGCATGGTCTGGGCTGCTCCTTGCCTTGCTTCTTGCACTCACCTGCAGGGACTGCATCCCAGTGAAGGAGTTTCCCAAGCTTCTCCATCGAGTCTCCTTCTAGTGGCAGTTCTCGCACACACCAGTGGGTCGTGGCCCAGGCTGACTTTGTCTACTTCCTATCCTGACAAGATCACTTGCATGTTTCCTGAGGATTCTGCGACATCTCTCTGTGTGCATGTTCCTTTTCTGTCTTTTCATTCATTTTCATTTTATCTGAAAGGCAGAGACAGAGAAAGATCTTCCTCTTGCTGACTCTGCTTTCCAGATGCCCCCAAAGGCGAGAGCTGGCCAAAGCCAGAAGCCCACTCCAGCTCTCCTGCTGAGCGTTGGGGGCCCAGCACTTGGGCTGTTGCCTCCTAGGCTGTGCATTAGCAGGCAGCTAGAACCAGAAGTGGAGCTGGGGCTTGAACCTGGGCCCTCTGATAGGGACACCAGTGTCCTGAGCAGCATCTCGGCCATCATGCCCAAGACCTGCCCTTCCCTTTGCCAGAATAGCAGGTCCTGCAAGCACGCTGGGAAGGCATCACTTGATGCCCCTATAAGAAGATACCCGAGGCAGCTGATTTGATTCCAAGTCCAGTATGTTCCGGTGGCCCAAGTGAGGGAACAGGCAGGCCGTGGTGGCGTGCATGCCAAGGAAAGCATGACATCGGGAGCCACAAAGAGGAGAGCAGGGGGGCTGAACTGAAGCCCTTATGACAGTCTGCCCACGCCATAACTCAGGGTTATGCAAAACTAGCTTCTGAGGGCTCCCCAGGGACCCAACCACCTCCCACTGGACCCTGCCTTCTCAAGGCAGCACCACCTGCTGCTCACAGCACCCTGGGAACCACAGCTTTGGCACATGGGCCTTTGGGGACTCCACAGAAATACGCAGACCACAACAGTGACATAACTTGACCTCTATAAAAACCCTTTTTCTGAGTAAGGTCACTTCCATGGCCGCTGGGATAGGGAAAGTACCCTCAGGCCATATGTGTCCACACTGTCCCAGTAGCGGTCAGCAGACAGTGTAGGAGTGAGCTCCCTGTCCTCTGACAGGAATCCGGCTTCTAACTCAGCACTACCAGGTCTCAGGCTCCAGTGTGCTCAGTGTGCTCTGGTCCACTCACGATGCTCTGAACAGATGCACCTGGTTGGTGTATGATGTGTCACACACGGTGGGTTGATATGTGTGTATACTAAAGGTGGTGGCAGCTCTGAGCTCATGTTCATGTCCTTACTTGGGGAAATCCTCAGATCTGAATGGATACCCCGTGGGCCCAAACATGAGGCTCTCATTACAGGCAGAGACCCGGTCCTCCTCCTCTTGGGGAAGTAGCACCATCTTCATGAAACATAACTGTCACAGTATCTACATCTTGGAGCAGGTCCAAGTCACGTGCGTTCCCGCCCAGGCTGGTAGCTCCAGGGATGTTTATTTCCCAGTCAGGGTCACCAGTGGTTCCAGTTCAGGGAGAGCTGTGGTGGTCAAATGGTGGTGCCCGAGTCCACATCGAGGCTGAACCAAAGGATGCTGTAATTGATGAGCAGTGCCTGCCTGGGCACGGGAAGGGAACAGGGCCCATGTGCCCTTAGGCACTCCCGGTGATCCCGGAGCAACTGCCCATGAGCAAGACTCACAAGGAAGTCATCCAGACAGGTGGGGAGGGCCTGCCCAGGGAGTGCCCTCCTCTACCTCAGCTGCCCTCCTGTGCAGGTCCCAGAAGCCATCCGCAAGTGCCAGCGGGCAGGCATCACTGTCCGCATGGTCACCGGCGATAACATCAATACGGCCAGGGCCATCGCCATCAAGTGTGGCATCATCCACCCAGGGGAGGATTTCCTGTGCCTAGAGGGCAAGGAGTTCAACCGGAGGATCCGCAACGAGAAGGGGGAGGTATGGCACAGGGGCAAGCGTGGTGGGCAGTGGGGTGCTGCAGAACAGCTGTGCGGGCAGGCCTGGAGGCTGACTCCTCGGGACCTCAGGCCATCTCCCTCACCTCCTTCCCGTCCAGATCGAGCAGGAACGAATCGACAAAATCTGGCCAAAGCTGCGGGTGCTAGCTCGCTCCTCGCCCACGGACAAGCACACCTTGGTCAAAGGTCAGGCATGGGGGCCCACCAATGGCCGGCGGGGGGACAGGGAGGCTGTGAGGCTGCCCGTGCCTACAACCCCTGCAGCAGTCTGAGGGCTGGCTGGGACCCACAGAGCAGTTCGACTCGATTGATACGCATATGATGGGCACCCCATACCCCTGCGTCACTGGCTTACGCTCCTAGTCTGGCCCCAGAGTCCGTGAGTTTGAGACCCTCAGTCAGCTGGACTTGAGGCCCCCAAACAGCACTTATGACCAAGACCCCAGGGACTTGCCCTGCCAGAAGCCAGAATCTTCCTCTGTATCTCCCACTGGGTGGCGGGTGCTAGGCACGGCTGACATCACACAGCCTGCTTCATGTCCTGGCCCTACCACCCACCTGCCCGTCTGCTGTGTCCTTCACTCTAAGACTCAGTTTTCCTCTATGTAAAATGGCCATGATGGGACCAAGTTCTGATTGGGGTCATCCCAGAGACATCTCAAAGGTGGACAGAGATGGGCCTGGGCAGGAGTTCCCTGGCCCGCCCGCTTTCGGCCCCGCCCACACTGGGCTCTCTGACTGCTCCACGATGAGAAGGGTAGGAGAGTGGGGACCAGCTGGCTGCAGAGAACACATTCCACACATGCAGCCACGCAGCAGTAGGAACGTGGCTAGCACCTGGGGCAGGAAGTGAGAATGACTTCCAGGGTGGGTGGGTTTAGACATGGCTGTTAGCCTGGGGGTGCTGGGTCCAGCAGGGATGGGCCCAGGTAGGGGGTGCTGGGGGACTCTGGGAGCCAGCTCTGGGTGATGGCTTCCAGCTGCAGAGTAAGAAGGGCAAGGTTCAGGTGGGCACCCGATTCCTATGTTGTCTATGGGCCTCTCTTTCCAGCACCCAGCACCCTCTACACTTGCCCCACAGTAACACCAGCTACCTGCTCCTTCCCACCAGCACCCCCGGGCCATGGGTCCTATGTGATTAGGTCATTTGCTGAAGATTTGTTGGGAGTGAATGTCTGGAGACATAGCTGGAGAGAGATCAAAGCCAGGACAGCGGGCCCAGCCATGGCCTGCTCAGGCACAAGTGGTCACCATGGAGAAGAGGTGCTGGAGGCACCCATGGGTCTCATAGAGGTGGGGTTGGAGGGTAAAGTGCAGGGCAGTTAGACACAGTGCTGGTAGGTGAGCAGGTCTCCCAGGGTAGCCATTGTGCCCTGCAAGTGCCAGCAAGAGCCACCATAGGAGAGGTGGCCTGTTGGGGGTCAGAGAGGAGCCCCTCCTGCGGGTCAGGGCCGGCCCTGCTCCCCCTGTCCCACCAGTGCCGTCTGCTGCCCTTGCAGGCATCATCGACAGCACGCACACAGAGCAGCGGCAGGTAGTGGCCGTGACAGGAGACGGCACCAATGACGGCCCTGCACTGAAGAAGGCTGACGTGGGCTTCGCTATGGTAGGAGCGACTCCTGGGGCGGGCAGAGTCTGTGACTAATGGGGGGGACACTGGTTCACACCCAGCCCACCTGCATGCCCAGTCCCCAACCAGAGGGATAGGGGCGGGGCATGCTGAAGGCAGAAGTGGGGACAGAAAGAGGAGATTTCTGTGCAGTGTGGCTGAGGATGTGTAGGGGTGAGGACAGCGGCTCCATCCCTGTCCCCACAGGGCATTGCGGGCACAGATGTGGCCAAGGAGGCTTCTGACATCATCCTGACAGACGACAACTTCAGCAGCATCGTCAAAGCCGTGATGTGGGGGCGCAACGTGTATGACAGCATCTCCAAGTTCCTGCAGTTCCAGCTGACGGTCAACGTGGTGGCCGTGATCGTGGCCTTCACCGGCGCCTGCATCACCCAGGTGGGGTCCTAGAGTGAGGGAAGGGGCAACAGAGTCAGTGCTGGAAGAGGGGGGTACCCACCAGCAGAGCAGCTGTTGAAGGCCAGGCGCTTGGGTGTGGCCATAGTGCAGGGGACCAAGGAGATGAGATTCAGGGACTGTGTGTCTTTCCTGACGTCTCCCAGCAGAGAGGACATGGCAGACTTCACATTGTGCTGGCCTGACCCAGCACCATCCTGAGCATGGTGTAATAGGAGGGCAGGAAGCTACAGAGACCCTGGCTGGGGTACGGGACTTAGCACAGAGGGAGTCAGAGGCGCCAAGGGCTCTGTGCTGGTCACCTTCTCTGGGTGAGGGCACAGCCTATGGGTGTCTGCAGCTTCACCCCACACTTACCCCAGCCCCATCAGCTGCAAACTATATGATCCCCATTTTTTTTAAGATTTATTATTTATTTTTATTGAAAAGTCAGGCAAACAAGGAGAGACAGAGAGGAAAATCTTCCATCCGTTGATTCACTCTCCAAGCAGCTACGACTCCAGATGTGTTCAAGGTGATGACTTTAGCCACTGGGCTACTATACTGGGCCCAATCCCCATTTTTAAAAAAAAAAATTTGTTTGAGGGCCTGGCATGGTAGTCTAGCGGCTAAAGTCCTCACCTTGCACATGCCAGGATCCCATATGGGCACTGGTCCTAACTCCGGCAGCCCCATTTCGCATCCAGCTCCCCACTTATGGCCTGGGAAAGCAGTGGAGGATCCTGTATGCATATGGAAGACTTGAAGAAAGCTCCGGCTCCTGGCTTCTGATTGGCTCAGCTCCAGCCGTTGCAGGCACTTGGGGAGTGAATCAGCAGACAAAAAAATCTTCCTCTCTGTCTTTCCCCCCCTGTATGTCTGACTTTCCAATAAAAATAAATTTTTTAAATCTTTAAAAATCTTGTTTGAAAGTCGGAGTTGCAGAAAGGGAGATCTTCCATCTGGTGATGCATTCTTCCAGTGTCCACAATGGCCAGGGAGGGGCCAGGCTGACGTCAGGAGCTTCATCCGGGCCTCCCATGCAGGTGGCAAGGACCCGTGTGTGTGAACCGCCTTGTGCTGCCTTTCCAGGCACATCAGTAGGATCCAGGGACGTATCTTGCTGAGCTGAGCTGTAATAGCATATTGGGTTGGTGTTGGATGCAGGCTGGTAAGACAGATCTGGGTTTCCCCAGGGCCCAGTTTGATCTTCCTGTTAGGACACCTTGCTCTGAGTTTGATCCCATACAGAAACCTTCTGTCTTCAGGGAGAGAGACAGCACCCTCCCCTTTGCTGGCTGTGAGCCTGGAGGGGAGTAGTTCCCTGATAGTCCCCAGGTCCGCAGTGAGGGGAAGCTCATCCTGGGGAAAGGATCTTTTGATGGACAGGTGGGTGGGTGGGAATACAAATAGTGAGGGCCGTGTGGCTTCCAACTCATGACTCTCCCCTTATCCCCTCAGAGATTTCCACCCTTGATCCTAAGGTTTGCCGAAGGGTACAGATTCGCTACCTACCTCCTGATGATTAGGGACTCAGGCTTTGGCTATCTTGGGTCCGGAACCCCCTCCCTTTCCTGTCTAACAGGTCCGTCCCTCTCACAAGCCAGAGAATGTTGAGTTGGTGCCAGTGGCCACGTCCCCACATGGACCTCATTTCTCTGGAAAGCTGTAGAATTCCTTTTACCCTTTGAAGCCTTGTCAAAGATCCTTGGTTCCCTGAGGTCACCAGACTTCCCTCTGGTGTTCCTCTGCTTTGCACAAGAGTCTGCAAAGGAGGTGGCCCAACATGCGGTGTGTGCACCGAGGTCAGGGCACCCCCACGGGCTCTGGTCCCTGAGATCTGAGATCCTCACGTGTCCTAAGCCAACTAGATATGCAAGTACAGGCCCCCTGCCCAAGGCCGTCAGTGGGAGCAAGAGCAGATCTGATAAAGGCAGGGGTTCCTGGAAGGCTCGGGTGATACTGGCCTTTGGAACATGGAAGGGTCATAGGCAACAACAGCCCTGGACTGCATGCTTGTCCCAGCCTGGCCAGGAGGAGCCAAGATGTGTGTCCCCTCATCCCACGCAGCTACTGGGCCCTAGATCCTGGGCACTTGTCATTCCATTTCAGATGGCATTGTGAAGCAAGTGACCAACCCCTGACCTACACAGTAGTCCTGCCTCTGGTCCAGTCCCAGCCAGACCACGTGACCAGCAGTTCCCAGCCTGTAGACCCTGGTTCCCAGACTGTAGACCCTGGATGCGTGTTGCTGGCATTCTGGGCACCTCAGCCTGGCAGCCAGGCCTTCCCTGCAAAGCCTTCTCCCAGGGTCCACATGGTTCCCATGCCACAAGCCCTGGATGCTTATTGCTGCCATTCTGCTCAGCATGCTGGGGCAACAACTCAGATCCAACTGGTCTTCTCCCAAGGCCCATGTGGCTCCTGCTCCCAGGTGGGCACAGGCTGGCAACCAAGCCCTGCCCACAGGGCTCCTGGGCTATAGACTGGGTATATGCTGCCACCATTCTGGATGGCATGGCTGGGAGTCCAGCCCCAGCCCATGCAGTTCCTGGTCAGCAGAGGCAGGTGACCAGCCCAGGCCTGCCAGGCCCTTTCTAAAGGCCCATGCGGTTTTGCAGGTCGCGGGCCCTGGGTACTTGTCTGTACTGCTGCAGGTTCTATGGTTGGGCCATCAATCACGGCCTAACTGGCCCACTCCCAAAACTCATATGGCTCCTGCCGCAGCCATTCCAGGTGGACTGTGGCCAGACAACTAACCCTGATCTGCCGTGCTGTGAACTCCTAGGCCTCAACCCATGGGGGTCCCAGGGCCCTTGTGAGACCATGATTGGGTAATCAACTCCAGCCCCTCTCCCAAGGCCTATTCAGTTCCTGCTCACAGGGAGAGGGGAGGGCAGGGTAGAAGGAACCCCTTGTCTTGTAGGCTCCTGGGACCCCAGTCTGCCTGCTGCCCTCAGGAATCCAAAACCCCTGCTGGAGTAGAGAAGGTGGGCCCCCTTAGCACAGCTGATCCCTAGGGCCAGAGTCTCCCAGCCAGAACCTGAGCAGACATATCCCTGACCCCCAGGAGCCGGGCAGCACCCCAAGAGCTTCGTGCCCTGAGAATGTGCTCCTCTCCTGGGTAGGGCCCTCTGGGGTCTGTGGGTGAGCTGCTCCCTCTAGTGGCAGCCTAAGGACATGCTCTTCCAGCTTCTGGAGGTGCCAGCCAAGGGACCCAGGCCTGAGACCAAGGTAGTGGGAGGGCAGGTGGACTGACTCTGGGGCCTGTGTAAACAGAGCAGACCAAAGGACAGGAAGAATCAGGAACAGGAGGCACTGGAGCTGAGCCAGGCAGCCTGGGGCGGGGGCAGAGGGGGTAGGGGAGACCCCGGGAGCCCCTCTAAGGGGGGACAGCGGGGTGGGAGCAGCCAGGAGTGATGGGCTTCCTAGAGGGCAGAGGTCTGGCTGAAGAGGCCCCCAAGGTCAGGGAGGGCAGCGTGGAGATGAACTGGGCTGAGCAGGTCCCAGAGGGAGAAGGCAGCAGGTGGAGGAGCAGGGGCTGAGTGCAGAAACCCCGGAGAGAGGGAGCTGGAGGGGCCCCTCAAAGGGTGACCTCGGAGAGACACTTTGGAGACACAGGAACCCAAATGTGGTCCACAGAAGGAGGGCACATGTGGGTTCACTGCTTCAGGCAGTGTGGAAGATGGTCTGGGACCTGTGTGGACGGTACCAACAGTGTCACTATTGTGGCAGGTGGGCGGGCACGTGCCTGACCCTCCAGGGCTGCCATCCCTAGGAGCTGCCAGAGCCCACACCCATGTCGCTCTGAGCTGTGGACATACACATAGCTGTGATGAGAGGAGAAACTGCAGGCAGGGGTCATAGGCTGGTAGAGAATGGGCAGGTCTGGCCTTAGCTGGGAGATGTCCGTCCCTCTGGACAGAATCAGGAAAGGCAAGGGCCCCCAGGGACTCCACTTGTTCCTGGGGGGTATGGTTGAGTGGGTAATCTGGGCTCCTCCAAAGAAAACTTTGGGGAACCTGCTGTGTACCTGTCTACCCTGTGGGAGCATGTGCTCACACCCTGAGCCCTGCCCAGCCAGAGCCTAACACGCCCACCCTCAGTCCTGCCCAGTGCCTGGCAGGTAACAGTAACAGCCCCTCCTGGCCATGTCCCCAGGACTCACCCCTGAAGGCGGTACAGATGCTCTGGGTGAACCTCATCATGGACACGTTCGCATCCTTGGCTCTGGCCACCGAGCCGCCCACCGAGACCCTGCTGCTGCGGAAGCCATACGGCCGCAACAAGCCCCTCATCTCACGCACCATGATGAAGAACATCCTAGGCCACGCCGCCTACCAGCTCACCCTCATCTTCACCCTGCTCTTCGTGGGTGAGTCCCTGCCCACCTCGCCCCCAGCCTACTGACTCCACTCACATGTCTTCTGCTGCACCATGCCCAGCCAGGCCTCATCCCAAGAAGCAGCCTTTGGGGGATGTTCTGGGCACCTGCAGCTGTCCCGTGCTCCCAGGACCATCATCCAGCCAGCCTAGAGACACCTTTTACGAGCCATGTCCCTGACACCCGAGCTGGCCTATTACTATCATCAGAAGTCCACAACAGGGTTGACTAAAACACTGCCTACCATGACAACCCCTCTCCAGAGAAGGGGCTTGGTCAGCCCCACCACTGCCCAGAATACACCCACCCCATACTCAGCCACGTGCCCGTCCAGAGCACCCCTGCTCATCAGCCAGCCCCTTCCCCACCCAGGACACACCTGCCCCTCACCCGGCCCTTCCCCCACCCCGGACACACCTGCCCCTCACCCGGCCCTTCCCCCACCCAGGACACACCTGCCCCTCACCCGGCCCCACCCTCTTCCCCTGGCAGGCGAGAAGCTGTTCCAGATCGACAGCGGCAGGAACGCGCCGCTGCACTCGCCGCCCTCGGAGCACTACACCATCATCTTCAACACCTTCGTCATGATGCAGCTCTTCAACGAGATCAACGCCCGCAAGATCCACGGCGAGCGCAACGTCTTCGATGGCATCTTCCGGAACCCCATCTTCTGTACCATCGTGCTGGGCACCTTTGCCATCCAGGTAGGGTGGAGTGGGCGAGCGCTGGCTGAGTGGGGTGGGCTGAGGTGGGCTGGCCCACTGAGCCGTGGCGTCTCTGTCCCTCGCACCCTGTAGATAGTGATCGTGCAGTTTGGCGGGAAGCCCTTCAGCTGCTCCCCGCTGCAGCTGGACCAGTGGATGTGGTGCATCTTCATTGGTCTGGGAGAGCTCGTCTGGGGCCAGGTGAGTCCCCGGCAGGGGCAGGGAGCACAGCCCCATGCCAGGTCTACCCCCACGGGAGGCCGCAGGCCAGGGACAGTTCCTGGGGGTGCGCCAAGACTGGACACTCACTGTGCCTTTCCTGCACATCAGCTTTTGAAGTGTCAGTTGATTTCAGAAGCCAGTGTGGCCTTGCTGACATGCCTGGAGCAGAAGCTCATGACAACACTAACGTGATGAACACCGTGTCATAAAGCTATCCAGAGGCCCTGACTGCCAAGGCTTGTGGGTCAATGAGGGGCACACTCAGCATCCTCCACTTGGAAACCTGTAAGGGGGTCCTTCCAGCTCTGAGCCCAGAACACTCTCCTACACATCCCCTCCTTGTGTTTAGCCATGTTGCAGGTGCACAAGGACACACACACAGCCCAGAGGTCCCTGGTCCAGACCACAGCTCTGGGGATGTATACAGAGCTGGGCCAGGGCCAGGGGTGGGGAAGGCCTCATACTGCTGGGCTGACATCCAGGCTGGGGCACCCAGGGCTAGGAGGTCATCCCAGGCTAGACTAAGGATTCACAGGGACGTAGTACTCAAGATGGACAAAGGATGCGTCCCAGGAAATAGTCAGCTGGAGCTCACTGGGCAGTTCCATTCCCTGGGTTCCTTCAGGGCAAGTCTGCTCTGTCTACACCCCAGGGGAGCAAGCTCTCCGTGTGGAATCTGGGGGGAGCACAGGTCAGTGCCGAGGGATGCAGCGCCCCAACAGTGAGCGCTCGGGCTAGCCTGGTCCCAGTGTTCAGGAGACACAGGGGCTCCCTGAGGCCTCAGCCTTGGCTGAGCTTTTGGGGAATAGGAAAAGAAGGCAGCGACCTTCCCAGGCCATGAGCTCCTGTTCCCTGGCTTGGGTGGCCTCAGGATTCAGCCTGGGAACCTTGCAGGCCAGCCACAGGTCAGGCTCAGGCACAGCAGCATGGGCGGCCCCTTGCCTGGGCACACCCAGGCTCCGAGAGGCCACTGGCTGCCCCAGGTCCAGTCACCAGCACGGCCTGGGCCCCGTGCCCCTCCTGGCCTAAAACACCATGGTTTTCCATTCTGCCCTGCTCTGGACACACAGAGGGTGGGAGTGGCTAAGGCATGCCTGGGCGAGGGGAGGACTCTGAAGACTGGTCCTTCACAGGTCATCGCCACCATCCCAACAAGCAGGCTCAAGTTTCTGAAGGAGGCAGGCCGGCTCACACAGAAGGAAGAGATTGCCGAGGAAGAGCTCAACGAGGACGTGGAGGAGATCGACCATGCCGAGCGCGAGCTGCGTCGCGGCCAGATCCTCTGGTTCCGAGGCCTCAACCGGATCCAGACTCAGGTACCGGGGCCGGCGGGCGAGCCCAGGCCTGGCTGAAAGGACCATGTGCTCCAGCCACCCTTGGCCGGGCTCTGGCCCGAGGGATGGAGGCTACTGCTCTCCCAGGGCCACCACCCCATTCCTCACATACACCCTGGGAGCCACTGGGCACACCAAGTGGCCTATCCAAACAGCTAAGCCCGAGGAGGGATGCTGTGGGTCTCCCAAGGATTCCCCTGGGCGGGAGAGGTTGGGGTGGCCTGAGGGCTAAGGTGAGGAAGGGACTATGGCTCCCAGCAGTAGGGCAGGGCAAGGCTGGGCAGAAGCTATGAGCCAGGGCACCCCAAGGCAACCCAGGGCCCAGTGGTCAGTGGTGAATCGCAAATGCCCCACCTGCACACACACATCCTCTACCCGCTGAGGGGCCTCAAATACTGACCCAGCCCACCCAGGGTGAGGAGCCGCCTGGACACACACGTGGATGCCTGTGAACATACATGCCAAGTGTACAGAAATGTACAGATGCATGCCCACCTGCACACAGACACATTCACACCAAATACACACATCCCCGCATGCCACTTACATCCACACATACCTGCCATGCCAAATACACACATCCCTGCATGCCACTTACATCCACACATACCTGCCATGCCAAATACACAGGCACATGTGTGCGTGCCAGCTAGGTACACAGACACCCACGCATACCAAGTAGACACACCATCTGTGCCATGTGCCAACAGGGCACTACGAGCTGCTTGCAGATTACACCGCTACCTGGCCCCGGGTCTGAGGTGCTGGGATTTATAGGCGATGTCACAGCCAGGTGAGGAAGCCCACACTACCTGGAAAGGTGGAGCCAGGCATCCTATACACCAGCCCCACGCCCTGGGAAAATGTGACCAGCAGTGGCCCCCGAGCCTGACACCTCAGTGTGGCCCAGCACCTGGGCTCCATCCTGTGCAGCTGCAGCAGCTCACCTAGGGTATGCTATACCCACATCCTATCCCCTCCAAAATTGGCCTCACTGAGCTTTTAAGGCCTGTAAAAGGTGGCCAGAGTCTGCAGGCCTCTTTTTGTGCCTTGTAAGCATGTGACACTGAGGTACGGCTTCAGGCCTGACCAGCCATGGGCTCCCCACCACCCAGTCCCTCCTGTGCCAGGTCCCCATGCGTGGTGTCCTGGGGGACCCAAGCACCTGCCTCTAGGTGGGTGCTCATGTGAGCCAGGGGTTTTCCCAGCTGCAGATGGCCCTGAAATGTGGGCGACATCCCCCTTTAAGACAACAGACTGGACTCGGGCAGCTGGCCCAAGTGGCTGAGCTTGAGTTTAGGGCAACACCTTTTGCACCCCACGTGCTCCCAACTGCTCGGATTCCATACCTGGTTCCAAAGGGGGTTGAGCAGCCAGCCCGTCCCCTCTGGGGCCTGGAGCTGACAGAGGTGGTTCCAGGCCTTGGGATGTACCTGGTATTTTGTGTTTGGTGTAAGTGGTGTCATTGTCCGTCATTGTCGTCGCCGTGGCTGCGGCTGTCCTCGTGGCACTGTCAGTCATGCAGCTGCTGTGTGTTCCTCTCGCAACCTGTCTCGTTCTCTCCTCCGTTGCAGATTGAAGTAGTCAATACTTTCAAGAGCGGGGCCTCCTTCCAGGGGGCTCTGCGGAGACAGTCCTCGGTCACCAGCCAGAGCCAGGACGTAGCCAATCTGTCTAGCCCTAGTCGCGTGTCGTTGTCCAATGCTCTTTCCTCTCCGACCAGCCTTCCTTCTGCTGCAGCTGGGCGTGAGTGTGACTCCTTACCACCTCCGCCAGCCCCCGGGCCGGCAAGCGGGCAGGGGCTGGGGTGTGAGAGGACGTGGGGGGTGGCTCATCCCTGCCAGGCCTAGGGGCCACTGCAGATGACCCCAGCTGGCCAGGAGATGGGAGCCAGTCTCACAGTGGCAGTCAGGCTGTAGGCAGGTTCAGAAGGTCCCTAGTGACCAACAAGAGGCTCCCCATTGGTCAGGAGGGGTTCAGTGATCAGCTGGTCCCAACCCATAGTAGGGCCCCAGGGGATGGCCATTGAGGGGGCACAGGGTCCGGGGTGTCTTCGCCCCGGAATGGCCTGAGGGTCACAGTCAGCGGAAGTTTACTAGGAGTCAAAGAACTTCCTGGGGTCACAGTCCATCACAGAGGGGACATACCTTGACAGCTGAGCAAAAAGGTCACCACAGGTCAGAGGTTTCAGTCAGGGGTCCCAGGACACCAGGAGGCCCCACCCCAAGCCAAGCAGGCCCCACCCTGCACCTGCCTCCCACCTCCTCCCGCCACCCAGGGTATCAGTACCTGCAGCAGAGGCTGCCAGTCTGTTCAGCTTGACCTCAGCTGCCCAGCTGGGCTGGGGCAACAGGTCCATGGATTTGGTCTGAACTTGAGTGTGCTGCCTTTCCTCCCCTCCCCAGCCCTCGCCTGGCCACCTCACCACCCCACTCCTGACCTGGGGCCTTCCATCGCGGCGGCATCTTGATCTCTGGGGGACTCTTCGCTGTCCGCAGGCCTCCTGTGCCACCTGTGCCAGTCGGGCCTCCCCAGGGCTCCAAGCCTCATCTCTGTCACAATGCTCTTCCTCCCATGTCAGAACACCCTGTCCGTTAGGGTCAGAAGCCGGTGTGGGGCCAGAGGAGTGGGCACACACACACCGTGGAGCGTTGGGGTCAGGCTGCATGCTCTGGGCAGGAGACACTTTCCCCTCCCCCTCCTCAGCTGGGGATGCCCCATTAGCCACTCTGCCCCTCCCTCCCTTGGCATCACGTGGGCCCTGCCCTTACCAGAGATTTTCAGTGCAGTCGAGTTCCTTCTGGCTCTGCCACCCTTCCTGCGACTCCTACATGACCTGGCTGGGCCAGGCTTCAGGGCCCATACCTGGCTCTGTGTCCATCTTGGACCATTCTCTTGCGTGAGGCACCACCCTCACATGACCACTCACCGACCCCAACCCTTGGGTGCCCTGGCAGCCTGCAGAGTCCTCTCTAGTGCCAAGCCAGAGGAGCAGGCCTGCCCTTCCGGTGGCCTCATTTCCACCTTTGCCTTCCCATCCTCAGAGACCCAGACCTCAGAGACCCCTGCCCCACCAGTTAAGTCACTCATCCCCTGCCTCTACACACATCTCCCTCCAGGCCAGCCCAGCCCCTCTCCTAGGGGGACCCCAAGCATGGACTGGCCCCCACTAGGCACCTCAGCAGAGCCTTAAAGGGCTGTCTCCCTGGCCCCAGCCCACAACCCTCCCTGCTGGGGACCCTTGGAGCTGGGTAAAGCTCCACCTTTGGCTAGGCCTCAGGCCACCCTCAGAGTGTCCAGTTCCTGCCCACGGTGCCAATATCAGCCTGTGGAGTGCCTTGGGATCTTAGAAAGAGCCTAGCCTGCCTCCTCCCCATAGACACTGCTTCCCCAAGAGGTCAGCACAGCCCCGGCAAAGACCCTGACCCCTCATTTGAAACCTTTTAGCACTGTCACTTCCTCTGCTTTCCAGCACCCCCAAGAACTCTAGGGCCAATCTGTCCCTATTCTTCAGGGACCAGGCTGCCCCACCCACCTGGACAGTTTCCCGGCCAAGGAGGGCAATCCTACAGACCCAGCAGGGCTCAGGCCAGTGTCCCCTGCGCCAGGATAGACCACAAAAACCAGGGTCAGGGCAGGGAGTGCTGGGAACTAACCTGCTGACACCCACTCAGGACGCCAGGTCGAGCCAAGTCCCTGGACTCATCACATACCATTGCCACAGCCCCAGGGTGCATGGAGGCTATGGCGAGTGGGACAACGCATGTCCACCCTCCTGGCTTTTTCAGAAGTGTGATTGTTCCCTGCCCTAAAATTGCTGACACTGCACACTTAGACCCCGCTCCATGGGTCCACAGCCACAACCCCTCCCACAGCTCATGGCTGAAATGGGTAGAGGGGTGGGCTTCAGGAAGACCCCCACCTAGCTAAGAGCCCCCAACCTGCATGAGGACTGACTCCAGGGACCCTTATTTTCCCTCAGGCCCTCACTGCTTCTCAGAGCCCTGAGGGGTGGAGGATGGTCTGGGCCTGGGGAGCAGAGTGCCTTCAGCCACTGCCTTCCCCTGCTGTGCTCAGCAGGGCTGTGGCAGGCTCTGTGTTCATCTGCCCTGGGCAACTGTGGACGCTACCCCCAGCTAGACAGACAGGGCCCCTCTTCCCCCCATACCCCTCTGCATCTGTAGTTGCAAGGAGTGCTGGTGCCAGGACTGGGGCCCTTCTGGGGCGTGTAGGAGACAGGCAAGCAGCTTTGGTGACTTGGTTGGTGCAGCCGGGGATGGTTGAGGACGTGGCTTGCGTGGGGGGGCCCGGGCCTCTGCGTGAGGACGTGGCTTGCGTGGGGGGGCCCGGGCCTCTGTGCTATCTGAATATTGTATGTGTTTGTTTCCCCAGAGGGCTAGAGAACCCTGGACACAGAGTTCAGCAAGAGAGAGTGAAATTAAAAGAGGTTGTGAGTCTTTACCCTTGAGCCTGACATGAATGTGACTCAGTCCCAGACTCTTGGCTTCCTTGAAGCCGGGTAAACATTCGAGTATGTCGCGAGCCCTCAAAGTGGGGCCTGGTGTCCCTTCCTCACCCTCTGACCATGACCCCGGCCCTGTGCTGATGACACCAAAAAACCTTAACACCCCACGCCTGAGCCCCTTCCTGCTGCCCACCCCCAGCCCAGACCCCAGCCTTAGGGTTGGCAGGGAAAGGGGAGGGAGAGTTCCTTCCTGCCTCTCTGTTTCAGCGCAGAGAGAACTGGGTGGAGACTCGAGGTGGCCATTGGCGGGGTGTGCCCGCAGTCTCGTGCCCACAGTCTTGTCCAGAGCAGCTCGTTCTCTGTTGTCTCCATGCCAGGGGGAGGTGGGCCGGGGGGGGGGTCTCATCTCATTGTGTGTCATCCCCCTGCATTGTTGGTCACATGACAGGGTCCTGCCACCCCCACCCCCACCCTCACCGGTCCCAGCCAGCCCTTGAGAGCCCTCGGCTGGGCCGCTACAGCCGAGAGGGTTATATCCATCTTACGGCGAGGCCAACTGAGGCCTGCACCGCTTTTTTTGAGTGTTCACTTGAGAAGCTCAGAGTATGAGTAATCTCTATAGACTCATCAAGAGAGAAGCCAGGGAGGGGGAAAAGAATCAGAGCACCCTAAATGGGCACCATGGGAAGCCAGCACTAATGCACAGGGTAGCTGGCTCTTACCTGCCGCCTGCTGCCTCTCTTACTCAAAGCAGGATCCCAGCAGATGGGATCCTGAAGGTCCCACCCCACACCAATCCCCCACACTGCCGACCTGCACATGTGGAGGAGAAGGGACAGGGCACAGGGGACAGGGGAGTGAGTAGTCACGAACCAGCAGGCGCTGGCTGACGGCCCCCAGCTTGCAGCTGAATCCACCTCACCCTGTGTGCTGCCCTCGGGAAGGCAGACGAGCTCGCCCTGCACACTGGAAGGGCTCCCGTGGGAGCGTTCCTCACCCTCACAGAGGGTCCTTCCTTAGCAGCACAGGCTTGGCTGGGAGTTCAGGGCCTAGGACTCCCCCACAACCGTGTCGTCCAGTCTCCCGCCCCCTCCAGGCAGCGAGGCCCTGCTCATGGGCACGTGAGTGCCATCCTCCCTCCTCCACTTCTCACTGCACTCCGAGCAGAGGCTTGGGAGAGAGAGCAACCCATGCCTTTGGCCTGAGTCCCTTGAGACGCCACCCCAAGGACACCCCTGCACCCCAGGAGGCAAGGCAGCACAACCAGAGAAGTGGTGTGGCTCCCATGTAGTCCAGGCACCAGGAGGGGCAGAGCCAGGGCTCAGACCCAGGTCTTTCTGCCTCCGTGCCCAGCACTTTCCCCACCAGCCTGCAGGCTCAACAGCCAGCCTCCTTCTATTGGGGCAGAGCCGATGCTCCAGGATGGGAAGTCCCCCTGCAGACATGGCCCCCTTCCCACCTACAGCCCTCCCCCAGGACTGGGTCCGGCCACCTGATTCTGGTTCCAGCCTCATGTTCTGGTTTTGTGCTTTCAAAACACAAGGAAAGAGACCACCCCAGGATATGTGGGTCCGTAGAGCGAGCCCCCCTGACTGGCCAGGGCTTTGAGTCTATACTCGAGTGTTTACCTCCCAAATGCATGAAGGAAAGAAGCGTGGGTACCAGCGGCCTCTGTCCACACTGTCCAGGCTTCCGCGTGTCGCCGTGTGTCCGTCTGCGCGTGCTGTGTGCTTCCTCGCCTCGCGTGGCATGCTCCCACCCCGTGTCCTGTCTGCAGCTCTCTGCTTCCTGGCTGTCTCTGGCCTGCACTGGCTTGGGTTTGCCTTGCTGCCCTCAGTTTGATGTCCCCACTGTCAGCCCTCATGTGTCCTCTGTCACCCTGGCTCCCCCAGCCATCGCTCCTTCCTGTTCCCTGTCTGTGATGCTTAACCTGGTCCATGTCGTGTGTGTTTTTTTTTAACTGCGTGTGTTTTATTATTATTATCACTATTATTATTTAAGATGAGTTTTCTCAAACAGCCTGCCCTTTTTCCTCCCACCTGGCCCACCACCCCTTCTGCATGGTCAAAACTTGCTTTGAAGTTAACCAGGCTCAGTCTCTCCCTAGGTCTGGGGACCCTCGCCCCACCCCCCACCAGTGGACGACGCCCTTGTTAGCTGGTAGCTTTCGTCATCCCTCCCATGGGTGCTATGAGCCACCCCAGCTAACACACAGCCCATGGAAGTCCATGGTCTGAGCCCCCTCCATCACCCCCTCCCCACGTTGGGCTGCTGAGACTCCAGCCGCCTTCGGGCACCTCCTGACGTGGGTCCCTGAGCCCCCAGCGCCCGCTGGCCCCAGGGTGGCGCTTTTGAGCCCCCAGCGCCCGCTGGCCCCAGGGTGGCGCTGCTGATGCCCGCGCGTCCCTTGCAGATCCGCGTCGTGAAGGCGTTCCGTAGCTCTCTCTACGAAGGCCTGGAAAAGCCCGAGTCTCGAACCTCCATCCATAACTTCATGGCTCACCCTGAGTTCCGGATTGAAGATTCCCAGCCCCACATCCCCCTCATCGATGACACTGACCTGGAAGAAGACGCTGCGCTCAAGCAGAACTGCAGCCCGCCGTCCTCGCTCAACAAGAACAACAGCGCCATTGACAGCGGCATCAACCTGACCACCGACACGAGCAAATCAGCTACCTCTTCAAGTCCAGGGAGCCCCATCCACAGCCTGGAGACGTCGCTTTAGCTGAGGACCCTGTGGCTCCCTTCATGGCCCCTGTCCCCACCTGCCCGGGCACCCCAGCAGCAACAGCAACCACAGGAAACCAAATACGGGCGAGCTGGCCGACTCCCCTTCCCGCCCACAGACCCTTCCTCGGCTGCCATGCTGTTTGAACTCTCCCCACGGGCCTGCGCCACCTCGTCTCCCCGCGTGGATGTCCTGGACCCCTGGAGCCTCCCCTGGTTTGGTTTGGTGGGGGAGGCAGGCAGGGGAGCAGTTTTTTTCTGTTTGTTTTCTTGCGGGGAACTGCAGACTCTGAGACTTCACCCAACCCACTGGTCTGTGAGAGTTTGAAATGCTTGCACCGCATGGTCTCAGTTGTATTGATTAATTTAATAACTTTTTTCAAATCACAGAGCTTAAGTCACCTGATAGAGTCTGCACCACCGGAATCGAAGAACTCACTAGACACTCACGGGATCGTCTCCATTCCTTTGTATCTATATCAGCGTATACACCCCGCCGAGACTGTATACGTCCATATAGATGGATAGATATATATATATATATAAATATATATACATGGATATATAAAGTTTCTTTGCCGGCATGTTGCCTTGTTTCAGCTTAAATTGCTCTATTTTAACTTATTTATGTCCTAAAAGGAGAATGTAATTTGTTTACAAATCTGTAGATAGCGTCTCTGGCTGAGTGTGCGGTCCGGCTCAGTGGCCGGGGAAGCGGCTGGGGCCCCGCAGGCACCTGCCCCTGGATCGCAACCTCCTCCGTGTGTCACCACCCACAGCCTCGCTCAGAGCTTGCCTGCCTGCCAGTCCCGTTCCATGACGTCATGGCCGCCAGAGGCACCACCGAGAACCAGTCTCTAGAGGCCGGCAGCGTGCTCACGGAGTGCGAGGAGAAGAGGAGCTTCACCCAGGGTTTGTGGGGCCATCAGGAGACCGTGCCCCAGGGGTCCTGGCGGATACCCAAGGCAGATGGGGTGACCCGCACGGAGTGCTTCCCCCTCTGGCCGGTCACTTGGTGACAGGGCTTGCCGCCGCCATCTCTGCAGACGCCCTCCTACCCGTGCTGCTTAGAGCGGATGAGCCTGCCTACACGTGTGCTGGCGTGAAGCCAGTGTGATCTTTACACCAAACTCTTCCTGCAGTCACAGCACATGCTGGAGCCTTGGGACAGCAGGCCTCGCTTCCCCAGCCAGAAAGCCATCACGTGACCCCCCAAGGAACAGCAGGTGCGAAGAGGTGGTTCTCTGCCCCCTTCCCCCAAGATGACTTCAGACAACAGTCCTAGTAACCTAACCCCATTGCTAAGAGCTTGTCTCATTGTGTGTAGGCCTCCTAACCGCTCAGCACTTTGTGGGTCTCCACTTTTTTCATAAAGAGAACTTTTGTATTGAATACAGAGTTTGCTTTGAGACTTTTCAGCATTTCCGGTCTTTTTTCCATAAACTTGTACAGTGCAAAAGACATTTTGAATACCATGATCGACAATGTCCCATGCTTCCAGGAAAAACCAACACTTCCCTGCCGCGCTTGTGAAGCCCACCCCTCCCCCAGCCCCTTCTCCAGGCCCAGAGAGCCACTTGGGAACAGAGCCATAGTCCGCTGTGAGGCCCCGCGCGTGTAGGGGACGGCCAGGGTCGGGGTTCCCAGTCAGCCCCCCCCCCCCGCGCCCAATGAGATCTCTGCAGCAGGAGGCCCTTTGGAGCCAGAGAGCCACGGAGGAAGACAGCACTCCTGAATGTACCCTGCACAGCTACCGCACGCCCCCCATGGGTTTGGGCCCCACACCACCAAAGCCAGCCCACCGCGCCCCTCCGAGGCAGGAGCCACCTGCACCAGGCCAACGTGGGGTAGCCTCGGAATGCGGTGTTTTCTTCAGCGTCTCCTTCAGAGTCACCCATCTTTCCCCTTCTTGGTTCTGTCACGTGTTTGTGACACCAGGACAGTGGAGTTCGCATGTGCCACGCTCCCGGCTCACCCACCCGCCCACCCAGAGCCAGGATGCAAGGCAAGCCAGAAGGGTTGACAGAAGCCACTGAGGATGCCCGGCATGTGTGCTGGTCTACACACACACGTACACACGCGATGATCGGTGTGTCAAGTCACCACAGTACAGGAAGCTTGCACTCGGCATCCTGTGTCTAGCAGCATGGGGCACGTTTGGCAGTTTGCCCCACTAGGGGGCAAACAATGTATGGCATCTGTTTTTATGGCTTTTTTTTTTATCTAGACAATAATTGTAAATAAAGAACTCACCGTCTCTATGCAGTGCTTCTGCTTTCGCTGGCGGAGTCTTCGGGCTCCCGCAGCATGGTTCTGGGGTTTCTGTGGCTTAAAAAAAAAAGGAAGGAAGAACCATCAGTTAGATCCCAGCAAACACCTACTCTGTGATATGTTTTTCTAGCTGCTTAGCTGCTCTCCTGTCCGCACTGAGCTCTGAGGTCCCGCCTAGCACACAGGGATGGGCAGGGAACCCAGCGGCAAGTCCCAGGACTTGGGTCATCCACCTGCCTTTGGAGGCCCCAGGCCCCCTGTCCGCCCCTCCCCCCATCCCTCCATCCAGAGAATCAAACCCCAAGACCAGCACTAGGAGTCTGAGTCTGTCACCTGGGCACCCTTCTCATGGAAGAGCCCCCTCATCCTGGCATCCTCTGCTGATCTCTTCCCTAAGTGACCCTGTCCCTATGTGTCTCCCCGACACCAGCTTCCCAAGTTGAATTCAAGTTACCATAAGTGGAGGATGGACAAGTCTCTTCCACTCTTCTTTTGCAAAATTGGTTGTTCTCCCACACCTGCTTTCCCACCCCAACTTCTCCGTGCCACCATCTTCTTGCCATTGCAGGGTCGTGGGCAGAGTGCCCTGTCAAGGACAGTGCCAGCCTGGTGCTCTTCCCACCATCCCACCTACCTTCCAGCTCCCTCCCCCCACCCACCAGTTATCTCAGTCTGCCACCTTGGCTGTCCTGGGGTACATCCTCCAACAGCCCTGATCCAGATGAGAAAGAGGGACACCCCCTCTCCAAGACCTGGCACTGGGAGATGACAAGAGATCACGTGCGGTCCACTTGGCGCCTCTTCAGGACAAACCCCAGCTCCGGGCTCCTCGGGCTTTAGGGTTTTTTCCTGCATTTTTCTGTTTTCGTCTGTTCCAACACCCTCAGGGGCAGAAGTTGCTGGCCTGGGCCTTCTCAGCACCCTCCTGTTCTCCCCATACCTGCTGTGTGTGCAGGAGGCGGATGGCCTGGGTGCAGTCTTAATGGGCCTCCCACCATCCCAATATCTCCTCGATCATAGCACCTCAAATCCTACCACGAGACAGGCTTGCAGTTCAGGGGGGCGTTTCTCCGAGGTTGGAGCAAGCCAAGGCCACAATCAGCATCAGGAAGGGCCCACGTCTTTCCCCCAGTTCACAGCAAAACCTTCCTAGTGTTGGGTCAAAGAGGAGGCAGGGGCCCAGGAAGGTGGGGCCCGGCCTCAAGAAGCAGATGTTTGGGGGGGCCTTGGGCACACCCCACAGCTCCTTGGCTATGCTGGACATCTGTGGTGCTCCTGCTCCAGGTCTGGCCACACAGCTCACCCTGGTGTGAATGGACTGGACAGTAGAGTCGCAAGGCAATGCTGCTGCCTCCCGCGGGGATGTGGGGGGCCGGGCTGGGAACTGACTGTGTTCTTGATTGTACCCCTCTCCATTTCTCTGTATCTCTGGCTGTGCTATTTGTAACCACTGGGACTTGTCTGCCTTTTCTACACTATACTGAACAATAGCAATAAACACACGCGCGCAGGCGCAGACTCGCGCCCATCCCACGCTTCTTTGCACCCCACGCCCACCCCCACAGGAGGTCAGAGCTCAGGGGGGGCCCTTTGGCCTCCTCCTTACATGCCCCACCCTGCCCCCAGGCTCACCCCTGTGAACAGCCACTGCTGGTTCCAAGTGGGTTTAACTGCCTTTGATGAAAAGAGGAAGGCTGGGGGAGCCGGGAGGAAGCCTGGAGAAGGAGGAGGAGATGGGGCTGGGAGGTGAGGAGCACAAACTAGAAGAAGCTGAGAGGGGCCTGCTGTGGGGTCTGGGAGTAAATGGAGGGGGGCAAGGAGGCCCTATGCAACTCCCAGATACAATTCCGCAAGCTAGAGTTCATTTCACCTCAATGTTCACTTCCAAAGGAGACACTGCAGGCTGGCACCCATACTTGGAAAACCCAGAGTCTGCAATGTCCCAAAGGTTGTGGCACTGACACAATGCCACAAGTGGAAAGTTCCACTCCCAAAAGCTTTACCTGAAGCCCAGTGTTAGCTTTTTTAGCCACAAACCCAAAAGCCAGTCGTAGTAAGTCACTCAAAGAGATATTTATTTCAGCCGGGCTGGAGGGAGGGAGTGGAGGTAGCCATGGGGTAGGGAGCAAGCAAGAGCAGAAAAAGCAGAAGCAAGAACACAGGAGGAGGGGGAGGGAGAACAAAGAGGCACCTTTATAGCCTCGAGGTGGGCATGAGGAGTGGGGGGGTCCAGGATCGGCAGGTGCAGCTGTGGGTGGACACCAGGGCTAGATCCTCAGGGGATTGGTGGAGCAGTTTTACCTGACGGTCACTAAGTTTACTCAGGCAAGTGGGCCTTAAGAGGGCTGACACCTAGTGCTGGGCAAACAGGCATTCAAGCTGGCACTGAGTCCAGGGTGGCAGGATCAGGGCCTCTGTTGGCGTCACTCCTCACACCCAGTTATTCGACGCTATATGAAATGACTTCCCAGCTCTGTATCCACAATTGGGTCCCTGTGCAAAGATTGCCAAATCTGAAAGATCCTAACTCTGAACGCATGTAAGATCCCCGACATTTCAGACAACGGCTGATCCACCTGCCTCAGTGAGAGAGGGAGATGGCGTGGAGGCTTAGGTTCCATTAACATCCCTTTCCTGGTGCACTCTGTGGGGTCTGAGGACCCCCTACCCTCTCCAGTTAGGGATCTGGCGCCCAGGACAGCGACTTAGCCCCTGTCCCATGTCACCTGCCTCTGATGTCTTGAGAAGACCTTAGGGACGGGGGAGCCCACGGCGGGGTAAATTGCGAGTCGCGTCCTCATGGGGCCGGCTCTCGGGATCCTAGGGCATCAGACTGAGGGGACAGTAGGGAGCCTCCAGGTCCCTATGGCTTCAGACAAAGAGGCACCAGGGCTAGTCTGTCCTCCTCTACAGGAAGGCCTCGCGCGCCCAGCACCGCGGGGCAGACCTTTCTGTCATTTAGGAGACTCAGGGAAAAACAGGGACTTTTTGAAAAGCCGGGATGGGCTGGGGAAGGAAGACCCACAGCGTTCCTTCGGGGTCGCCATGGCAACCGGAGCCCCGCCCCTTCCGAGAGGGCGACGCGGAAGGGCCGGAACCTTTGTGCTCGGCAAGCGTGTGGCTGCCCGGAAGCTGCCGAGCACGGACCGGAGGCTCGTCCACCCGGCACCGGAAGTGAGCTGCGTGGAGGCGCCGCCGGGAGTTGCCACGTCCGAGGCCGGTTGCGCCGCAGCCATGGTGAGCCCAAGGGGTTGGGGTTGCCCAGCCGCCTTCGGGCCGTCCTCACGGGCCTCCTGGGTACCTGCCCGAGGGCCGGTCGGCTCCCCGGCTCCGCTTGGAGCCGGGGCGAGGGGAGCGCTGGCCCTGGCCGGGCGGGAACCCCGCGGGCGCCGCTGGCCTCTGCCCTGGACGCCCGCCCTGCCCAGGCCAGCGTGAGGGCCGAGGGGGGTGAGAGTGTCCAGCCGGGCCGGCCTGGCCGCCCTCCCGCGGCCGGTAGCGGGGAGCCCGCCGTGCCCGGGGCCGCTGCCTCCTTGAGCGGCGGGTGCCCAGGTGATGCGGCTGTCGGTGTTCACGCTTGGGCAGCCTCGGTGCACCTGCGGCGGCCCCGGGCCTCGCTCCCGAGGGGAAGGCGAGGCGAGGCGTCGTGCCTGGTGCGGGACCAGCGGAGCGGGGTCCTGGGAAGCCGGGGACCTGCAGCCGTCTCGGTTCACCTGCCTGCCTCCCGCACGGACGGCTGGGACCCCGGTCCGGGCCCCGCTCCTGGGGGCGTGGGGACCCGAGCTGCCCTTGCAGGGTGCTGGCCCTGGCGGTGGGTCCCCACTCCACACTGGAAGGCCGCCGGCCCTGGGGGTCGCCCCGGGGCCCCTCCTCCTGGGGAGCCAGGCCTGCTTGCTGGCCTCGTCCCTGCTCGGTTCCCCTCCCCACTGGCAGCCGAGCCCCTCTGGCCCCTGCGGGGCGCTCTTCCTGCTCGCTGCTCTGGGCTGAGGACTGCCTCGGACGCCTCTGAGCCCTCCGTGGGGTGTCCGCCCACTGAGAACTTGGACCTGTCGCTGCAGTTGTTGAGAGCTGCCTGTCTCTGGTTGTAGGTGTCAGTAATCAACACCGTGGACACCTCGCACGAGGACATGATTGTAAGTACTCCCTCAGGCTTCTCCGAGGGCAGCATGCGCTGTGGGGTCGCCGTTCTAGATCGCGCCGTGGTGCAGTGGTGAAGCTGGTCCACCTCCCAGTGGTGTCCCCCGAGTGGGCAGGGCCCTGGCAGCGCAGCACCCACTGCAGGGGTGCAGGTTGGGGGTTGGGAGGTGGTCTCCTTGCCTGGCTTCCTCCGGCCGCAGCCAGGGCTGTTAGAAGAGGGAAGGACGGTGACTTGGTGCAGAAGCACAGCTGGGGGGGGGCGGACAGTGGAGCAGCCCGGAGCTACTGGACCAGAGCTCCGTGCCCAGGGTGTGTCCCGAGAGGCCCAGCTCGGGGTTAAAGTCTCCTGCAGGAAAAGCACACACTCTCCTCTCCGCATGGCCCAGCAGCACAGGCCGGCCAGGGCAGGCCCGGGTCACAGCTGGACTCGGTCCTGAGTGGCTCAGCTGGAAGGGTCCCAGGGCCAGGGGCTCCGAGACTCCCTGGCCAGTGTGCATTTCGTCAGGGACAGTGCGCAGGTGGCAGGTGGCACCTGCTCGCGTGGGTGCAGCTCGAGGCTGGGCAGGGCTGAGCGGCAGGTGAGCATAGTTGCTTACTCTGCGTGGGCCACCTGCTGAGGGCTCGGCGGGGCCGCTTGCCTTCCCATGGTCTCTGGGGCAGGTGCTGTCGCTCAGCCCACTTAGAGCGAGCTGAAGCTCCAGTCAGAGCTGAGGAGGAAGGAGTCTGTCCTGGTGGAGCTGGCCCTCCCCGGGGCCCCGACAATCCTGCAGGGAAACCAAGGCCTGACAGGGGGCCTGCTTTCCCTGTGGTGGGAAAGGGGTGTTGAGGCAGATGGATTGGGGCGTCCACAGGAATGACAGGTGGTAGTTCTGAACCCTAAGGTGGCCGGGGCAGTGGCCCGCGCACCTCCAAGAGACGAGGAGCTGTGGGCAGGCCCAGCCTTAGGTCTGGGTGGTCAGTGGGCATCGCAAAGTGGTAGCAGCAGTGTGGCAGGCATTCTCTGGGTCGTGGGCCCCCCATCAGGAGCATGACAGGGCCACGGCTCCTGGGATCGGGGACCCAGATACCCGGCTGGGGTGCTCTGTCTGGGCTATGGCAGATCGCGGAGCACCTGGAGACCCCATGGGCTGGCTGCTGCCCGGGTGTGTGCGGGGTCTGTTCCCCCTCAGCTGGCTGCTGCCCGGGTGTGTGTGGGGCCTGTGTCCCGCTGGACTGGCTGCTCCTGCGGCCATGGCTTGTTGTGCTGTATGAAAAAGTCTCTCAGAGCAGTCGTGGGTGAGGTCAGCTGTCGGCAGGCCCACGCGACCCCGACCTGTCTCCCACAGCACGATGCTCAGATGGATTACTATGGCACGCGCCTGGCCACCTGCTCCTCTGACAGGTCCGTTAAGATCTTTGACGTGCGCAACGGGGGACAGATCCTCGTGGCTGACCTCAGAGGGTGAGTGTCAGGTGGGCCAGGGGCTTGAGGGGCACCGGAAGGTGTGGGAAAGTCCAGAGTGCAGACACCTGCTGGTTGTGCTCAGCAGTGAGCAAGATTGGGTCCTTAGTTGATGTCCCCAGGCTCGATACTTTGTGGGGTCCGGTTAGAGAAGCTGTGCCCAAACATAGACGTGGACTGGTGGCGCAGGACCTTTCTTGTGGGCCGGGGCTGCCTCCTGCCTGCCAGGTCGTGGCACTGCCCCTGGTGTGACACATGCGGTGTAGCAGCTGCTGCCACGGGGACCAGTAGCAAACGCTGCTGTGTGCATGTGCCTCGGGAGCATGGCTGGCACGGCTGTGGAAGCTGGTGAAGTGACCATTCCCCTGGCAATGCTCGTCTGCCTGTGGCCGGGGATAGAGGTTCAGGAATTTTTACAGATACATGTTGGCCTCTGATGGCCCTGAGGCAGTGGGCTCGCCCTTGGCCACGTCTCTGCTGCCTTTGCTCGCTGCAGCGGCCAGTCCCTCACCAGGCCTGCCTGGGTGCCAGGAGCCCCAGGCTTTGGCAGGTAGGGCTGAGGAGTGCAGGGGGTGGGAACAGTCTGCCCATATTTTTGTGGCTGGCATTTAGCGTCTCCTTCACGGATGGGACAGGCTAGAGACCCTCGTGTTGGCCTTTGCTGCGCCTGGTCCCCTGCAGAGTCGCAGCAGCTGTGTCCTGTGCCCGTGGCTGCCCTGCCCGCTTGACTACTTTGTCACTTCCTTGCTAATTGAGACGTGTGGGTGTGTGCCTCGGGCGTGACGGTCCACTGCCCTGGATCCCCGTGAGCCCAGGGCCCCGTGTGCCGTGCTCTGAGAGGGTCCTGCACTGACAGCCTGATGCGCATGCGTGTGGGATAAGCTAGAACATGGTCAGTGTGGGCCCGTCTCCCATGGGCCCGGGAGACGGGCCTCTTCCAGGTGAGGCCAGTGCCTGTCGGCCCGCCAGCCAGTTTCCTGAGTGTCCCTCGGTGTGTGTGCACACGCTTGTGGATGTATGATTCACGTTTTTTGCTGTTTTTAAAGATTTATTTATTTTTATTGGAAAGTCAGATTTACAGAGAAGGGTGTACAGGACGATCTCTCATCCGCTCTTTCACTGCCCAAGTGGCCTCAACAGCTAGAGCTGAGCCGAGCCGAAGCCAGGAGTCGGGAGCTTCTTCTGGGTCTCCCACAGGGGTGCAGGGAGCCGGATGGGAAGTGGAGCAGCCGGGACATGAACTAACGCCCAAAGGGATCCCGGAGTGTGCAAGGCGAGGACTTTAGCTACTAGGCTACTGTGCCAGGCCCAAGATTTATGTTTTTAATTTTCAGACAGAATGTTGAATGACAAAGATTTATTGTTGCTGCCATGGGTTGAACATGATTCAGAAATCTTTTTATTATGAAAGGCAGATTTTACAGTGCATAGTTCACAAGTGTAGGCGCTGGAAGACGAGAGGGACCCCGAGCCCGCCCTGCCGGCGCCGTCAGCCGCTCCCGTGGCTGCCTCTCCTTGATGCTGACAGATGTGCAGGTTCGACGCCGTGGGTCGCTGGCCCGGTTCTCCACTCCCCTGCTCCGACTCGGACAAGCTGTGCCTTTAACCTTTCTGTTGGCAGCTAAAAGTAGGACTCAGCTTGTTCAAAACCCCCGCACGAGCTGCCGTCTCGCAGCTCACAGGGCAGGCTTCCCCAGCGCGGGAGGCAGCCTTGACCTTCGGCGTCCTGAGCCACTGGCCTTGGAGCTGCCCTTCATTCCTCTGCTCACAGTGTCCCTGTTGCCCACCAGCTTGATGCCTGAGTACCTCTCGTACTGGCCACGCCTGCCGCTCCCTGAGTCAGAGCAGTCGGGGGACAGCCCTGCCTTCTGTCACCCTGCGCTCTGCGTGCCCCCCTCACCTGGCCTGTCGCTGCCCCCACTCCCTGCCGGCTCTCCCTCCCTCCACACAGGGCGCTGGCCTCCCTTACCTGCCAGGCTGACAGCCTGCAAAGAATGCACCCACCAGTCCCGCTTCCAGCTTGTCTCTTTTCTCTGTTTTACGTTTCTCCATCGCACTTAGTGGGCTTTTGTTTATTAGGTTTTTGTGTTTATTGTGGGCTTTCTGGAGATTGCGGGTTGGGGCGCTTGAGGGAGGAGACATCCGCCTGCACCTCTGGGTCCTGCTGGAGTCAGGGCCCCACACCTGGCGCAGCTGGCGCAGTGTGCTGCCTGCTCGGGTCGTGCAGTCCTGGACAGGAAGCGGCACGCACGGACCTGGCTCCGCTGCCTCCGTTACCTGCTGACGACTGGGCCAGGTTCTGCTTTGTGGACACGGAGGGAGCTCCGGGCATGTGGCCTGGGAGCTAGCAGTGTTGTGCCTGCACGCCCGGGACTGCCCCAGGAAAGCAGCCGTTCCAACGGGGTGAAACCCCAGAGCCCTGCTCCTGGCCTGAAGGTGAGGGTGGACACACGTGGCAACCATCCCCGGCTTAGAGAGGTTCCTGTTCAGAGCCTGGCAGCAAGCAAAGGAAGCCAGCACAGGAGACCTGGGACCGCAGGCTTGTTGAGGGGTTAAGGTAGTGGAAAGACAGGGCCTCCCCAGGAAAGTGGCTGCAGAGGTGGGTGAGGGACTCCGTCTGCGGGTGTTCCTGGGCCCGAGGTATGCCCGCTGCGTGTGCTTCACGAGTGGAACTCCCGCGGGCCAGGTGCCCTCTATTGCCCTCTCCACGGGCTGGGTCCCCTCTGTGACGCCCTCCTTTGGATGTTGTCTGCTGTGTGAGGTGCTGTGGGCTCCTCGGGCGTACTTAGACGGCCTCGGCCCTATCCCTGCAGACATGAAGGGCCCGTGTGGCAGGTGGCCTGGGCCCACCCCATGTATGGCAACATCCTGGCATCCTGCTCCTATGATCGCAAAGTCATCATCTGGAAGGAGGAGAATGGCACCTGGGAGAAGACACATGAGCACTTGGGCCACGACTCCTCAGGTACTGGGGAGGAGTGCCTGCTGGAGAGGGTCCCATCCCTTCCTGGGGAGGGCCTCCATCCTCAGGCGGGGCCTGCTGTGCTGTGGGACACAGTGGCAGTGGAGGTGACACTTGCATCTCTGGGATGTGTCTGGCTGCCTACTCAACACACCCTCTCCCTCCTCCCTCCACAGTGAACTCGGTGTGCTGGGCCCCGCACGACTATGGCCTCATCCTGGCCTGCGGGAGCTCAGATGGGGCCATCTCACTGCTCTCCTACACTGGGGAAGGCCAGTGGGAAGTGAAGAAGATCAACAACGCGCACACGGTGAGTCCAGGCGCCGCCCTGCCGCAGGCGAGAGGGGCAGGCGGGTGGGGCGGGGCAGCCAGTGGCAGCCAGAGCTGGAACTTTGTCTTAACTTTTGAAAAATTGAAAGCACAGCGTGCGCACACAAGGTAGTGTGGCTCGCCAGCTCACAGGGAAGCCCCTGCCCCGGGTAGCCACTGCTCCACTCCCGGACTCTGACTTGGCCTCTGTTGACCCATCATGTTCCTGGAGTCAGACCTCGTACAGGCCATGTGCCCGATATCTCCCTGGCATCACGGGCTTAAGGCTCAGCCAGGTCGTGACCGGGATGGACACTGTGTTCCCTCCTGAGTCTTGAGCATTCATATTCCGGGCTCCTAGACATCTGCATGTGTGGTGGTCGTGGAGCCGTGGACGCTTCTGTGTGCAGCTGTGTGGTCATGCACGTTCTGTGTCTGGCTGTGGAGGCTACCCACAGTCGTCACGCTGCCTGCCACCGACGCTGTGAGAAGTGTCTCCCATTGCAGCCAGGTGCTCCCTCGCGGTGCTGTGATTTGCATTTCCCTGGTGCCTGCCAGGACTGGTCCTGTCTCCTGTGCTCACTGGCCATGGTGTCCACCTGTGGTGTCAGGAGGAGCAGGAACCTGCAGGGCCTCTCAGGAACGGGCAGAGGGGGCCCCAGGCCGTGAGGATGCACCCAAGGCCCCTGCGTCCTGGACCAGGAGCCCCCTCCCTACTTCCTGCCAGTGTACACCCTGATGGCAGGAGGGGTGGCTCGGGGAGTTGGGCACTTTTCCGTGGCAAGCCCCAAACGGAAGAAGCTGTCATCCCAGTGTCTCAGGTCGGGTGTGCCTCTCTCTCAGGCCTGAGACTGCAGAAGGTGCGAGCTTGTGTACTGTGGACAAATGTGTGGATGCTGGGAGTGGCACTGCAGGGCAGGGGGCATCTGGGGAGCAGTGTGTTGCTGATGAGTGTCCAGGTTCTGCACACCGCCGCAGGGCAGTCCTGGGACGCGGTGGGTCCAGAGTGGGCAGCGGTAGCGGGCGAAGGCATGCATGTGACAGGGAGCCTTCTCTGCTGTCTCCCAGGGAAGGGTGGGGTGTCCCTGACGGGGAAGTGAGTCCAAGGAGGGAGTGTCAGCCCGCCATCACGGCCGCCTCTCTTCGTCTCAAGACCTCTTAGGGCTCTGTCTTGGCTAGATGCGCCCTGCAGTGGCCACAGTGACAGCAGTGACAGCCATCAACCTGGTAATGTTTGGTTATTTTTGTTGGAAAGACAAATCAGGTTTAGAGAGGAAACACATCTTCCGTCCGATGATTCACTCCACAAGCAGCCACAACAGCTGGAGCTGAGCCAATCTAAAGGCAGGAGCCAGAAGCCTCTTCCGGGTCTCCCACACGGGTGCAGGTCCCAAGGCTTTGGGCCGTCCTCTGCTACTTTGAGGCCACAAGCAGGGAGCTGGATGGGAAGTGGAATGGCCGGGACACAAATTGGCGCCCATATGGGATTCTGGCACCTTCAAGATGAGGACTTAGCCCCTGAGGCATTGCGCCAGGCCCTGTTGATCGATTCCCAAGGCACAGTGACAGAATGTGAAAATGCATTGTGGTGCGGCAGGTGTAGCCACTGCCTGTCCTGTTATGGTCCAGCTTTCCGCTCTGCATCCTGGGCATCAGTGAAGGTGCCACGTGCTTGGGTCCCAGCAAGTGTGGGAGATGCAGGTGGAATTCTGGGCTCTGGCCTAAGCCTGGTCCAGCCCCCGCTAGTTCAAATAGACAAAAATAAAACCGTACGTGTAGTTAGGACAGGGTAGGTACCTGGAAATGCTTTAGAAACATGCTTTGAATCTTTAAGGCAGAGTGGGAGTTGTGGGGGGAGATATTCCAAGTACTGGTTCATTCTCCAAAGAATTGTAGCACCTGGGACTGGGCCAGGCCAAAACCAGGAGCCGCTTCCGGGCTTCCCACGGGGGACCGAAGCACTTGAACCAGCACCCACGTGGTACCAGCACCGAGGGCAGCAACAGCGGATCGTTTACTCCACTGAGGCTAAAACACATCTACCAGTCACAGTGTCAAGGCAAACAAGCGTGAAACGAGGTGAAAGAAAAGCCGGCTCCACAAGGAGCTGCCCTGCGTGCCATGAACACTGGGACAGGAAGTGCAGGGGGCGAGTCAGGTGCTGGTCACTGTGGGGGACAGACTGTGTGTCAGGAAAACCACATGTGGAATTCCAGGTCTGAGTGAAACCACCACTTAACAAGGAATCAGATGTTTAAGATGGGTATGTATAGGTAAGTATATTTGAGATGCAGAGTCCATCTTCCATCTGCTGGTTCACTCCCCAGATGGCCCCGCAGCCAGAAGCTCTGTTGGGGACCTAAGTGTCTGAGCCACCGTCCACTGGCTCCCAGTACTCCAGCAGGAACTAGATGGGAAGCGGCACAACCAGGGCTTGAACCAGTGCTCCAGCAAGGCATGTTGGCATCACAAGCTGCTGCCTACCCCTGCCACAGTGCCAGTCCCACTAGGATGCACTATTAGGTGGCTAATCCTAGATGTAGGCCCGGCAAGATGGCTCAGTAGCTAAGTTCTCCCCTTGCAACTGGCTGGATCCCATATGAACATCAGTTTGTGTCTGGCTGTTCCTCTTCCCATCCAGCTCCCGGCTTGTGGCCCGGGGAAGCAGTCGAGGACGGCCCAAATCCTTGGGACCCTGCACCCACGTGGGAGACCAGGAAGAGGCTCCTGGCTCCTGGTCGGCTCAGCTCCAGCTGTTGCAGCCATCTGGGGAGTGAACCAGCAGATGGAAGATCTTTCCATAAATTTGATCTGCCTTTCCAACAAAAAATAAATACTAGAAAAAAAATTGTTGGGATAGGAAGAGACTCGTGGCCAGGGTTCCGTTAGTTGCAGGAGAGGAAAGGGCCGTGCAGCCTGCAGGAACGGTGCAGAGTTAGGGCGTGACCAGCAGTGCTTGCCACAGAGCCTTGGAGTCAGCCATTCTGTTTCCTGTGGCTTGTGGAACTTTGGGGCCGCAGTGTGCCCCCACCATCGATCCTGAGAGCTCCCCGTCCCTTCCTTGAGTGAGAGCTGTGGAAAGAGGAGGCTGTGATGGCCTGTGAGGCCAGCGCTGTGTCCTGCTGCCGGAGAAGCGGGGGATCGGCTTAGCACAGGAATAAAATGCCAGGACGCAGTCGTGCCAGCAGAGGGCGCGGAGAGCAGACAGCGCCGAGGCGCGGCAGGAGCGCCTGGAGTTTTGCAGGGGGGCATGTGCTCAGGTTTTTCCGTTAGTAGGACTTCTGTTCTGGACTTGGCGGGGGGGTGGGGTGCTGCTCTGGCTTTCTCCTGGGGTGGGGGTAGCACACAGGCAGCACTTTGAGGGGGACAGCGAGTCTGGACGTGTCCTTGTTGGACCATGTCGAGGTAAGCTGAGCAGGGCTGCTGGTGCCCATCAGTGGCCTGACAACCCAGCCCTGGGTCCTGGCAAGGGTGACCACTCATGGGGGCCCCTGTGCCTCCCCCAGATCGGCTGCAATGCTGTCAGCTGGGCACCCGCTGTCGTTCCGGGAAGCCTCATAGACCAGCCCTCGGGGCAGAAACCCAGTTACATCAAGAAGTTTGCCTCGGGAGGATGCGACAACCTCATCAAGCTGTGGAGGTGAGTGTGCGCCCGTCCGTGCTGCTGCTTAGAGCCCTGTGTCCAGCGCTGTCAACGTGACTCCTGCAGCTGCGCACTGCACCAGGCTAGGGCTCAGTGTGTCTGCGGTCCCCGACAGGGAGGATGAGGATGGCCAGTGGAAGGAGGAGCAGAAGCTGGAGGCGCACAGCGACTGGGTCCGTGACGTGGCCTGGGCCCCCTCCATCGGGCTGCCCACCAGCACCATTGCCAGCTGCTCTCAGGTAGCCCTGCCCCACCCCTGGGACAGTCCTCTTGGGAGGTGGCCTGCCCCCGCTGAGGCAGGGATGGCCGTCCTGGGCTGGGAACAGAGGGGTCCAGAGCAGGTTAGAGGGAGTGACAAGTTCCCTGACAGGTCAGAGGGCAAGGTGGGGCCCTGGGAGATTTACCTTTCATAGATTGAACTTAGGAGACAAGCAAGCTCGAATGGTTAAAGTTTTTTTATTCACAAGCATGACACGTGGGATGGAGATACAGGCAATGGCTTAACCCACTGCTCTCAGCAGCCCCAAGCTCCGTTTTGAGAATGGGAGCCCGGGGAAAACCTGAGAAAACTGCAGGGAGTGTCTGTAGCTAAGTGGGAACTCTTCCCTCGGTAAGGGACTGGGTGGCGGGGAGCCCCATGTGGTCACCCCTTGCTGCTTGCCTTCCCAGGATGGCCGCGTATTCATCTGGACGTGCGACGATGCCTCAGGCAGCACCTGGTCTGCCAAGTTGCTACACAAGTTCAACGATGTCGTGTGGCACGTGAGCTGGTCCATCACTGCCAACATCCTTGCAGTCTCAGGGGGAGACAATAAGGTATGACCCCCTCCGTACACCATGCACTCAGCAGGAAGCACGTGAGACCCCTAAACAGCGGGTAGAGGGTACCCCCAAATCACTCGTGTGCTGCATGAGTAACAGGCAGCTGCAGGGGGACAAGGGTCCCATGTGTGAAGCAGAGCTGCGACTCAGGGACCTGTGAAGTCCCGGGCCGCCCACCTATGCATGGGGGTGGCACAGACGCGCTCGGGACCAGAGGCTTTGCCTGCCGTCCAGAGCGCACGCTGGGGGCTGTGTGGTCAGCTTTGCTCTGTGGGAGACGCTGAGTCTCTGTGGTGCAGGTCCTCCCTGGGTTCCTAGGAGCTGCTCAGCTTCACCCTCACATGGCAGCTCTGGGCTCTGCAGGGAGAAGGTGCCACTGGCTGTGCTCTTCCAGGGAACCGAGAGAAACCTGGGAGGGGAGGAGAGTCGGGGCTGGGAGTGACTGTGCTACCTTGCAGGTGACACTGTGGAAGGAGTCGGTGGATGGGCAGTGGGTGTGCATCAGTGACGTCAACAAGGGCCAGGGGTCTGTGTCCTCGTCCGTCTCGGAGGGCCAGCAGAACGAGCAGTAAGAGGACAGGCTTCCGGGCTCAGCTGAGCGACGCTGGCGAGGAGAGCACCGAGCGCCCCGAGCCTCTTCCCGGGGTAGGGGCGTCTGTCCACCGTGCGTGGCTGCGGCTGGCGACCTGCCCTGTGACAGCCTTCACACAATGGGAACTGCAGAAGATCTTCAAAGCAGTTATTTTAACTATTTTGGGCCATTTTTTATGTAACTTTGGGTTCAGACATTATTTGGGGTTGTTTCCAGTGTAATAAAATCATATTGCTTCTAATCGTGCTGCCCCCCAACTCCACGGCCAGAGCAGTTCCACTGGGCCGTGCGCAGGTAAGCAGGGACTCCTCCGGAGCGTCTGGCTGGAGCCCACGGGAGGGAGGGAGAACTGCGGCTCCCACATCCAAGCCTTCCCGGAATGTGAAATTGCTCCCTGCTACTAAGGAGGCAAAGCGCAGGCCCAGGAAGGCGCCCTGTCCTGCTGCCTGCCTCACCAGGCTCTGCCCAGGCAGAGCAGGGCTGTGCCCAGCAGGCTGACTGCCAGCACCGGGCCAGGCGAAGCTGCTCCAGCGGCTGGACGTGGCGGAGGAAGCACACAGAGCTGAGCAGCAGTGCCGGCCCCACAGAGCACACCGGTCCCACCCCCGTGCTGCGTGCATTACAGTAAACCAACGGAGGGCTGCTTCCTGGCTTCAGGAGGTGAATTAAGCAAAAAAAAATCAAACTGATCAGGAAGCACAAAGACCCCCAAATGACACACAGGACCTCACAGGCCGCTTCTAACAGACTTGTGAGGGAGGGGCTGTGCCGCCTGCAGTGCCAGCATCCCCGGGGCACTGCCTCCAGCTCCTCTCTGGTTCCCTGCTAATACACCTGGAAAAACTAACACAAGACAGTGGAGTTCTTGGCTCAGCCTGGCCACTGTGGCCATCTGGGAAGTGACCCAGCAGTTACCTCCTCATCTCTGAGAATTAAAATTCTTGGAACCCATGTAGCATTGCCTATGACACATTTGTCCTGAAGTCTGAAAACACAACATGACACGCGCAGTTGGACAGAGGACCCAGACAGGCTGAACAGGCACACCCAGCCGACCGCCAACACCAGCAAGAGGAGCCTCTCCGTAAACTGCTGGGAGATGTGGCTGTCCACGTGCGGAGCACTGTGCCCTAGAGGAAAATAAACTTACCAAGTGCCCACACTGCACCAGGATCACAATGCCGAGTCCTAACCTTGTGAGCAAGACCAGACAGGTTCTGTCAAAGCTCTGGACAAGGAAGAAGACGGTGAGGAGGCACACAGCACGGGCGGACTCATGGGCAAAGGCCATGGACCTGCTGAGTCTGTTACTGATGTTGAGAGAACTTGCAGACAGTGGAAACGCCCCAAGAAACTACTAGCCTCCCAAGTACATAACCAAAGGGACGGAGTCGGCGTGTCAGCCTCCCACGCAGGTGGACTGCAGCGAGAGACGGGGCTGTCCTACATGCCCTGCCCGTCAGCAGGCCAGAAAAGTGTTACTGTCACATGGATGAACTGGAAGACAACACACGAACACCAAAACAGCACCATGGTGTAAGGTGTTAAGCCTTTGGCTGCAGTGCCAACATCACACATGTGCACCTGCTTCCTTCACTTCCCTTCCAGCTCCCCCTAGTGTGCCTAGGAAGGCAGTAGAGGGTGCCCTAAGTCCTCGGGTCCCTGCATCCCTTTGGGAGACCTGAAAGGAGCCTCCAGGCTCATGACTTCTGACCAGTGAGTGTGGTTCTAGCTGTTGGCAGCCGTTTGGGATGATGAAGCAGTGGATGGAAGATCTGCCTTTCACACGAAAACAACAACAAAATCACCTGCAATGCCAGCATCCCATGTGGACACCAGTTTGACTAATCCACTCCCTGCTTGTGGCCTGGGAAAGCAGCTCAAGATGGCCCAAAGCCTTGGAACCCTGCACCCATGTGGGAGACCTGGAGGAGGTTCCTGGCTCCTAATTGGCTCAGAAGTGGCCATTGCAGCCACTTGGGACTGAATCAGTGGATCAAAGATCTGTCTCTCCTCCTCTCTGTAAATTTGACTTTGCAATAAAAAATAAGTCGCTAAAACTTTTTATCAGGCAGATCTGATCTACGGAGAGGAGATCTTCCATCCACCAGTTCACTCCCCAAGTTGTGGCTGCAATAGCAAGAGCTGAGCCAGTCTGAAGACAGGTTCCTGCAGTCTACCGCTGGGTGCAGTGTCCCGAGGCTTCTAAGACGAAGGCTCCTGGTCACGCGCTTGACCTACCAATTAAGATGATCTTGAGACAATCACCACAATAGTTGATGCTTGGAAATGGAAATGGGCCACTCCTGGGGTGATGAAAACGCCCACAATGCTCCGTACAGCAGGCTGCAGGAAAGGAAAGGCGCATGCCATGTCGCTGCCCCAAGCCCAGCACCAAGTGAGGACAAGACCAGGGAGGGTGAGGAGGCAGCAGCCACATCTTCCACTCCTCTCCAAAAACAAACCAACTCACTGTGCAAAAGGAAACTCGCTGTGCTGAGGTGGTCCCTTAACCCCCCAGTGTGAGCACTTGTGAAGCAGCAGGGGGAGGACCAACTGCCTTCCCACCCAGACAAAGGGGGACAGAGCAGGCTGCACAGCCCCAGAGGCCTCAGCCTCCTGCCAAGAGGAGCAGGTTCCAAAACAAGGGAAGGGAGCCAGGGCCCTGGAAACGACCTCCGGAGTGTGCTGCGGGGCCTGTGGAAGGGCCAGGCTGGCCATGTCATCCTCTGCATGCACAGTAAGTCCCAGAAGGATCAGGCTGAGCCCCAGGTCAGGGGGTGCTGGGCAGAGACCAACACCCACACCCAGCATCTCCCTCCGCGTCTCCTAACCAGGAAGAACAAACACCAGACCCCAAGCAGCAGCAGCCACGGGACTGAGGACAATGATCTGAGAGAGCCACTGTGACACGGGCGCACGGGGTGGGCGAGTGCCCAGCCTGAATTCCTACCTCCACTATCTAACTCGGCTTCCTCGCAACACACCTGGGAGGCAGCAAATGTTTTAAACATTAAATGGGATATATATAAATTGGCGAAAAACATTTGAAAGGCGTGTTCAGGGTTGGCTGTCGTGGTGCTGCACTTTAAGCTGCTGCTTACAACGTAGACATCCTGTATCCCAGTGCCAGGACCCTTCCTGCCCCAGCTGCTGTGCCACTGCAGTCCAGCTGCCTTCCAAGAGCTCCCCCCACACCAGCCCAGGCAGGAGGGCAATCCCAGAGGACATGCGCATCTCCATGGGGAGGGGAAGGGGTAGCTCCAGAATGGCAAACGGGAGACTGCTTTTTCTTTTACAATGTGCGATGGCCACGTCACAAGTACTCTGCAGCCATCACACCCCAGCAGGACCAACCAGGCCACACAGATGCTCCCCAAAGTGGACACAGACAGGAAGTGAGCCAGGGAATGTGTACAGACAGAAAGGACCCCAGCAAGGTGGGGGCCTGTGTAACGGGCACCGTGCTGGAGGAGCCGGAAGCCCAAGGCTCCGTGGGACGTCCCTGCAGCAGCAGAGCCCACGCAGGCAGGCCACTTTCGCTGCTGTCCCAGGCTCGTTAACAGGGAGCTTGGACATAAGGAAAGCAGCCAGGACCAGATCTCACACTCCTGGGAATTACAGTGGGTGCTTAACCTGTTGCAACAGCAGAGCCTGGCCCCGTGGGGCCGCTGCTGTTTTTGTAGTTCAACATTTCCGTGGTATCTAATTGTGAAGTTATTTCCAAATGTTTCCTAAGAGTGGTTTTCAAAGAGCAGATGACAGCCACCAGGAAAGCGGAGTCCCACACCTTCCCGGTGTCTGATCATCTGTCCCGCATCCCCAGCGTCCCGACCATGACATTCACCATCACTGCCACCACCGCAGTGACAAAACTCCAACCTCACCCCAGAGGAGAAATTGAGGCGACGTGTTCTCCACCCCCTCTGGAGCCATCAGCCGTGCCCCCGATCCCACGCCCTCCTGGGCATTTCCCACCACACCCCTGTCCTCCGTGAGTCCAGTCAGGTGCACGATCCCGCGAACAGGGCAGCTGTCCATCCACGTGGGGCCTTGGCATGGTGCAGCCCCAACTCCACAGGCATCTGGACAGTGAACCAACACACGGAGATCCGTGTCTCAGCCTTGAGTTACACACTGTGGGAGAGAGAGGGATCATGGAGACGTTCAGGATAGATGCTGCTGCTGGCGAGGACTGCTCACCTGAAACGCCCGACGTGGGGCGCAGGAGGAACACCCACCTTTTCTGTCGGAAGCAGGCTTCGTACCGGCGAAGATGACTCACCTTGGAGCTGCGTCCCACAAAGCCTCTTGGGCCTGCAGCAGCAACCTGCTCTGGAAGGCCCCACAGGCTCAAGCAGCCCTCACACTGAGAGCCGAGAAGAGAGTCATGCAGGCAGGCACACTTGTGGGTAGGAATGTAGAGGGAATTTTTCCAGAATGCGGAACCTGGGTGTATTTTGAGCCTGAAGGTAAGAAGCTGTTGGAAAGACTAGCTAGCAAGGGGCCTTAAGTGCTGGGGCCACAGCCGCAGTCGAGCAGCAGGGCGGGCAAGATCCTGGGAGCAGTGAAGATTAGAGGGGTCTCCTGGTCAGGGGAGCAGGCACCAGTTCTCACTGTGAGACGCCATTTCCAGCAGGCCAAATCACCCCACAGGACAGCCCCCACGGGACAGCCCCCACGGGACAGCCCCCACGGGTGCCGGCTGGGAAGCAGCGGAAGTCGGCCCACCTACTCCTTGTTCCCACCACGGCCTGGTCTGGCGCCCACTGTGATTAGTAGGGAATGAGCCACTGGATAGAAGCGCTCTCCCTCTCTGCCCCATTTCAGACAGTTCTTGAAAGATCTAATTTTTTTGTTTTTGAAAGGCAGAATTAAAGCAAGGGAAGGCAGAGGTTTTACCAGCTCCCCCTCAAATGCCCACAATGGCAGGGCTGGGCCAGCCACAGCCAGGAGCTTCTTGCAGCTCTCCCACATGGTGCGGGGACCCAAGCACGTGGGACCTTTTCCAGTTTTCACAGGTGCATTAGCAGGGAGCTGGCTTTTAAGTGGAGCAGCTGGAGGTTGAGCTGACACCCATATGTGCCAGCATCACAGGACGCAAGCTTAATGCACTATGCCACCCTTCCAAATAATTTTGTAAGTTTAATATCTAAATCTCTACATCAACTCCTTGGTGAACTGACAGATGTGGGGTGCGACGGGGTCCTGTCTTCACTGGCTTCCTTGGGTGTTTTTCATCGTGGTTCTTAGTAACTGTTACACAACAGGCTCTGTAGAGCGGTAGCCCCGTGCTGCCACTGCAAAGTGCTGACCTGAACTACAAGGCCAGAACAAGGGGACGAGAAATCCCCAAGGGCCCAGGGAACAATGCCCAGCTGCCTGGTCACACTCCAGTGGAGCCAAACCCACTGAATGCCAGCGGGAAAGCCAATTATTTGTTTTGCCATGACCTACCTGTAGCAGTGGATCTGGGAGGCCAAGCTACAGGGAGCAGCAGAAGGAAGGAACAAGCCAACAGCAGCAGGCCAAGGATGGCACACTAAGCCACAGCTGCAAGGACAAGAAAGGAGACAGGGCAGCAGCACAGCACGGGGTTAAGCTGTCACCTGCCAACACTGGGTCCCGCCCAACTCCCTGCTGAGGCTCGGGAAAGCAGGGAAGTTGGCTCCAATGCTTGGGCCCCTGCACCCACATGGGAGACCAGGATGGCGTTCCAGGCTTGGCCCAGTGCCAGCCTTTGTGATCATTTGAGAAGTGGCAAGTCTCCTTTTCATCTTAAAACAGAGGGTGGGAAGATAGCGCAACAGAAGACTGGCAACAGCAGACCAAGCCCAACAGAGGACAGGGCCAAGGCTGTGCAGCCACCTCGAGAGCTGCCAACTGAGGCAGCGGCCGTCACCTGAGAACACACGGCCAGGTCCGAGTCGCTTGGTTCTGGTAGTGAGTGTCCCCACCCACAGGGCTGAGTGGACAATGAGAGCCTTCCTGGAGTATGCCCCCACTGCCGCTGCCACCCTGGGACTCCATGGCATGCAACAAGGAGGTTTCCAACTCCCGAGACCTTTCTGTTCCCAAAAGATAACAAGGCTGGCAGTAGTGTTTGCCAGCTGCCAGGTTATCCAAGATCAGGCCCAGTATGGCCGCCAGGGCAGTGAACCCAAGTTGCAGGTGGCTTCATAGCTCTGTGGGTGCCTGGTCACCAAGGTGGGGGTGGCCTTCAGGACTGCTCACCTGCTCCAAGCACCTCGCTGCCCTCCCACCCTCCACCCTTGACTCCCTGGGCCCCGGACTTAAGAGGTCTAAAGCCAGAGGATGGCTGTTGGGTCTAGGGTAAGTGCTAACCAGCACCCAGGACAGGCTCATGTCTTGCGGGACCAGCACCTCAGGGAGCTTCCAATGGGAAGGGCCCAGTTGTAGTTAAGGAGCTTCCATCCAGCCCAGCCTGCACTGCCCTGCCCCAAACCCCCTGCAGACTGACTGAACACTGTCCCATCTTCCCATCTGGCTCTCCCAGCCCATCCTGGGAAGGACACACACATCTTGGAAGCCTCCCACAGGTCCCTGCCCGAGAGTAAGGAGATGGTGTGGCCTTGGGGGCTGGCCTCAGGGCCATCTGGCTTTCCATCAAACTACGGGCTCAGGCTCTCAGCTGAGTGGCTGCAGAGCCACTGGGGCTTCCAGGTAGACAACTCCCATGACCCTGAGGAGCAAGTGTGGCCCTCCCAGGACGCAAGACCTGGACGGCTGGTGACCAGAAGCACAGAGCTTGACAGCTGCTCCCAAGTCCTGCAGCCTCAGTCGTGGGCCACCACCACGGCCAGCTCAGCACCTGTATACTGCCACCTCACTGTGCTGGGGCCACATGGGCCATCAGCGGCCTCAGGTTGGTCAATGCAAGAGGACTTGCACCCACCACACTCAATCTGTGACCACCCTCAGGGACAAAGGCGTCTATCAAGCTTGACCTAAAGCCATGGAGACAGAGAGGGGCTTTGCCTGGTTGCCAGAACAGGCCAGCGGGCAGCCTTGGAGATGGCTGAAGGACAGCCCTGGCTCCAGCCTCCCCCTCACTTTCTGCTCAGGGCAGTCACGGTCAGCAGTGCATTCCTCGGCTGTTGAGATGCAATGCCCCGTCCAGAGCACGCACGTCATGAGCCCCAGGCACAGGAAGCAGTGGCGTGCCACAGAGACCTGGTACACAGGGTGGCAACTCCAGGCCCTTGGGGGCCTCTGGGATACCTCAAGCAGCTGTCCCAGCAGCACCAGCCCGAGGGCGTCTGACCTCCACGCTGGGCCTCTGCACAGGGGCCAGGAACATTTTAGCTCCTCAGGAATGTAAACGCACCACGCAGAACTGGCCACCTCTGGGACGAGAGCAGGGTGTAAAGCAAACAGCAGGCTGCCTATATAAGAGCTGGGCAAAACCCCGGAGCCACACCTCCACTAGGAGCCCAAGGTAGGCACGCTGCTGTGGGGTGTGTGGAGGTTCACAGCAGAGGCTGGCAGGGTGCCTGGGAGGGGGCGCAGCTCAGGACACAGCAAAGCTTGCACCCCAGGCAGAGCCGGTTCAGCTGCACCAATCCTTGCTCAACACTTGCATGGAGGCCCAGGGCTTGGGACAAACCAGGGGACACTCACCCCCATGCCGCATCCCGGCTCCAGCTGCTCTGACCTGGGGTAGCCCCTCTACCCAGCAGTCATGAACCTTGCCATCTGAGTGGACTCAGGCTTAGACAGGGTGGGGTGGGGGGTTGGCAGGTGCCTAGAGACCCTCTCTGCCCTCAGCCGACACCATGCTCTCCGCGCGGACCACCTGCAGCCTGCTGCTCCTCAGCCTGCTCTGGGTGGACGTGGCCATGGCCGGCTCCAGCTTCCTGAGTCCCGAGCACCAGAAAGCACAGGTGAGGTCCCAGCCAGACCCCCGCTCAGCATGCCCAAGGTCTCCAAGGGCCACGGGACCCCTACCCTAAAGAGACCCTCTCCCTCCCCACTCTGGCAGAGGAAGGAGGCCAAAAAGCCGCCAGCGAAGCTGCAGCCCCGAGCGCTGGGAAGCCAGGACGACGGGGCAGAGGACGAGCTACAGATCCAGGTTAGTGCTGCTGCTCACACACGTGTTAGCAGCAGTGAAAGGAGCAAGGTGGGGTGTCGGGAGTGGAGGGGGGCCAGGGTCTCTACCCAAAGACAGAAGCATCTAGAAGTCACTCGGTGCTGGTAGACACCACATCCTGGGCCAAGAGGAAGACAGCAAGAGTGTGGCAGGCTGGTTCCTGCTGTGGTCAGTCGTGTCCCAAGCAAGAACTTCAGGATATGGCCGAGGGGGAGGGTGCATTTGGTGTAGCAGTTAGTGCACTGGCGTCCCACCCATTAAACATACCAGGAGCCAAGCCGTGAGTGACAGAGGCTCATGCCAGGCCCCAGCCTCCTCGTCACAGCCTGGTGACCAGCAGGTGTGCGTAAGACCTGGGGACATCTGCCTGCTTATCGCACCCCTCCCCATGGCTCCCGAAGCCTGCTTGCTCTGATTCTGTAACAGCAGGGCTGCTGCAGCTTCCCTGAACCTGCCAGACCCAGGGAGCAAGTGCTAGTGCGTGGATGGCCCCCTGGCCTCCAGCGTGAGACCTGAGACCAGTGATTTCCAGGCCTAGCCCCCTGGGGGACACTGCCCCATGGCTTCGCCCAGGACCAGACACCTGAGTGGTGCCAGATGAGGGGTGTGCCCGGCTGCCACCCCATGAAGTCAGAGCTGCAACCCCCCAGGCCAAGGTCAGCAAGGAGGCACATGGCCCAGCAGAGTCACCCTGCCACCCCAACTGGCTTGTTGAATACTTCCCGGGGCAGTTGCTTGGTCCAATTTGCCCAGGACACCTGCTGGGAAGCCAGCTGCCCCTGTGAAGCACAGCAGGAAGAGGACGCAAGCTGCAGGGGAAGTGGAGGGACGGGAGCCCTGCACGCCCACTACCTCCACAGCGTCCAGCAGCTCCTCAGAGCCTGCTGCCCGTCTCCAAGGGCCTGGGGAGAAGGTTGCAGCCCATGACACGGGGTGGCGCTCAGTGTCCACCAAGGCCCTGTGCATCTGTGAAGGCAAGGGTGGGGTGCAGAGGCCCCAGGGTGCCTGCCTCATTGAGGAAGGGGGCTGGGTGGTCTGGGAACGACATATAGGAGGAAAGGGGCGGGGAACCAGCAGCTGTGTGCTCTGTACATTTGCCCAGAGCACCTGTAAGGACAGGAGAGGGACGGTGACCAGGACCTGCTCTTGTCTGCCCTTTTTGGCACAAGGCAGGGCCCAAGCTGCCAAGGAAGACCAAAGCAGCCCGGGGTAGGGAAAGGGCTCTGGGCATCAGGCCCAAGAGGCTCCCCCCTGGCCCCGAGATGCCACTCGGAGTCCCTGGAGATGGGGGCTGTGGCGTCTGACCCACTGGGTCCCCTGTCCCTCCCTCTAGTTCAGCGCCCCCTTTGATGTGGGGATCCAGCTGTCGGGGGCTCAGTACCAACAGCACGGCCAGGCACTGAGCAAGATCCTGCAGGACATCCTTCAAGAAGAGACCAAAGGTGAGCCTGCATTCACTCCTGCTTGGCTGCGTCCCAGCCCCTGCCATCTTCCAAGCCCAGCCTCAGTCTCCCTAGTAATAAGGTGGGCGTTAACAGTCCCGTGGAGTTCAGGGCATCTGGGGTTAAGTCACATTTAGGAGCGTGTGAACGCCTGCACATACTCAAGCAAGCATGGTCAGCTAATCCTAGCTTCCATTTCATACAGTGCCTTCTGAGCAGGCTCCTTGGCCAAGGGCACTGGGCTGCCCTTCCTCGCTATTTGAAAGGCAGGACTGAGACAGGGCATCCCACCATTCACGCCACCGCAACAGGCAAGGTTGGAAGGCCAGGAGCTGTAGCTTGTTCTCCCCAAATGGTGGCAGGAACCAAGCTACCGGGCTACCTGGGTCTCTGGGCACTGCCCCTCACAGAGCGCCCCAGCAGGACACTTGAACCAAGCACCTGCTTCGAGGTGACACTGCACAGCCACTGCACCAGAGGCCCTGTGGCAGGTGTCAGTCCAGACCTGAATCCTTTCCTGTCTTAAGACACCACCCAGCTTCCAGTCCAGGCCTGACTGTTTTAAGAATTAGGGACTGAGTTACTGGGTGGAAGATCTCTCTCTGACAAACAACCAACCAACCCAGCACCTAAAAGCAATCTGCCAAGCCAGGAAATGGATAAAGGTGCCCCCCTACTGCACAGGGAACCCTGACTAGCCTGGCCCTGGGGCCACTTCCCAGCCCCAGACACATCCTCCACACCGCCCCTGAGCAAGGACAGCTGTCTTACATGGGGCAGGAGGGCAGACCAGAATCCTGAACTACCTTCTTGCTTTTCAGAGACCTCAGCTGACCAGTGATGCTTGTATGCCCAGCCCATCCTGTGCCCGGCTTCCCCTGGCTTCAAGATGCTTGTGCAACACCCATCTGCTGTCCCAGCTTGAAGGCAAATAAACGTTCAGGCTTTCAAACCTGATGGCCAGTGTTTCAGTAAACAATGCCCTTCTTATATAAGACAGAAGAAGACAGAAAACCAGAGCAATTGCTAGTCTATGACCGACAGGCACAGGAAAGGCCCTGCAGCCTGGCAGATGTACACAGGACTGGCTGAGGGCAGGTGACCCCAGGGGCTGGTGGGAACTTGGCCACATCTGAGCACGCTGATGGCTACAAAATGGAAAAATGAGGTGACAGCAAGCCCAAAGACTGGGCTGACGTGAGACCAGAGCCCAACGGTACCCTCTGATCCTCCTCCTGCGCTTAGCAAAGCACATGCCCCAGGTTCAGTGGGCAAGGCCTCACTTCATGTCCCCCCAGCAATATCTAAGACAAGTCTTGACCCTCAGTGCCCCCAAAGGACTTGCTGGGAAGACAGTCTTGCCAGGGGGACGGTCACTCCGTCACACACCTCAGTGTAAACCACCGAAGGAGCGCTCCAGGTGCAGCTGTCGCCGGCTCACTCCCCTAGACAGCCACAGCAGTGTGGGTTGGGCCATCTGCTGCTCAGTGTCCCAGGCCATTAGCAGGGAGCTGGTTGGAAATACAACAGCTGGAACTCAAACTACTGCTCATATGGGACAGCAGCTTTGCAAGCAGTAGCTTAACTAGCTATGCCACACTGTTGGCCACTAGAACTTGTTAACAACGCAAAATGCAGGTTACGTCACAGCCTGTGATGCCAATGGTGGGACCCTCAGGGCCCGGTTACAACACTGCTGGCCAGGGGTAGTCCTCAATAAAGCTGGGAACTCAGGGAAAAGGCATTCCATTTCCTCTGTCCCTTTCTTCCCCCAATGTCTCCAGTCCCAGCTCCGCGGCCAATCTTACATCTGTCCGTTGGGCAAATGACACACTTCACACACCTCGATCTCAGACAGTCAGACATTGCCCACCAGCACAGGAGCCACTCAGAATAAGCCGCCGCTAGCTGATCGTATGGTTGTGAGAACATGGCAGAGTGTACTTAACACAGGCCATGGCTGTGCCTCAGTTCAACTCCACCATCGAGATACGCACACACGTGGCTGGTGGGCATGAGATGGAAGAGGCTGCTGCCTGCAGAACTCACTTTTTCTATACAAAACCCAGTGACAGACACTTGTCACCTGCCCCATGTGACAGGCAGCACATGCCACCACCAGTGTCACCACACAGCCCAGCAATACTTGCATGTGACCATGGTGACATCACCAAAAGCCAGAAGCCTAGAGCTCCCTGGGGGGAGGGGGGGATGCGACACCCTCACGTTGCCTTTGCCCGAGAACATCCTCTCTCAAAGCCTCCTGAGAGCCCACTCCAGCTGCCCACGGTCACCCCTTAGCACCTGTTCTGCACTTGGCACTCCCCAGAGCAGTCAGCAGGCATGATGTAAAGCCAGGACCTTGGATGAAGATGGGCACATGGAAGTGCTGGGTCGGCTACCATGGGCAGTACCCACTTTCTGTACACACAACTGCATTGAGGACCCTGGGCACAGGGCAAGCAGTCATCACTACCGTCTGTCTGTCACCGAGCACCACCATTTACTCCTGCTGGGCACCAGACCAGACGCTCTTAATGCTCACAGGCACCAAGGTAACTAATCCAGTGCCACCACAAGCCCATCTAAGAAAGAAAAACCAGAGAAATTAATCAACATGCCCAGATCACAGAGCACAATGGCCAACAGGCAGGCCAGGGGCAGTGCCCAGGGTCGCGCTGTCTCATCCCACCACCTGGGGAACCCTGAGGACTGCTTCCATTCCGACCCATTCATCTTCCTTCATGACACGCTGGCTGGCCTTTGTGATAGGGTAAGGTGATCAAGGTCATAGTGGTAGGGGAAAAACTAACAACCCACAGCCAACCTCCCAGCATCCCTCTGCGCTCCCTCACCCCTCCATGCCACCTGCTGACCCACTGCCTGCAGCCCTGTGGGCAGGTGTGCACAGGACAGACCCTCCTCACAGAAAAGCCCACTGAAGTGTTTTCTGACCACACAGGTGCCTGCTCCATGACCATGATTGCTCTGGAAGGTGACCCCTCAAGAACACATGCTCCGGAGGAGATCCACATGCAGCTGGATGCCTTGATGGGCCCCCCTTCCGAGCACACTGACGGACAATGCCAGGGCCCAGCTGCTTGCTGGTCAGCATGCTTGTGAGCCAAGGTTCATCTGTTCCATCACTGCCTTTCACAAAACCCAACAGCAGGGGATGGCGCACTAGTTCAACTAGATAATCCTTCACCTCCAAACGCAGCATCCCATAGGGTGCTGATCTGTATCCCAGCTGCTCCACTTCCCACCCAGTTCCCTGTTTCTGGCCTGGGGAGGCAGCAAAAAAAGGTCCAATGCCTTGGGACCCTGAACCCATGTGGGAGACCTGGAAGAAACTCTGGGGCTTCAGATTGGCTCAGCTCAAACTGTTGCAGCCATTTTGGGAGAGCACCAGCAGATGAAGGATCTTTGTCTCTCCTTCTCTTTGTATATCTGCCTTTCCAACAAAAATAAATCAATCTTCGCAAAACAACAATGAAAGTGAAAACTGCCAATGACCAGAGGAGTAGGTCCTAAACTGAACACCTTCAGCCACATAACCAGTACAAGTGCGCAAGAGCGCACTCCACACAGACAGAGCCAGACAGACGACACAGGGGAAACCCACCAGGCTGTGGGTCCACGGAGCCTCACAACCACTGCATCTAACACTGGATTGGCCAAGCACCCTCATCTTCCAGCCCTCACACTTAGAACCAACACCCAGGCAACAGCAGCAGGCTCATGGCCTACAGCCCTGAGCCATCTCACCCATCAACACCCCTGCTTTCCTGCCTCCTACTGCAGCACTCTGGAAAAACACACAGAAAACACAAACAGGCCGGCAGGCGGAGCCTGACAGGGTGGTTGCGACCATCACAGCACCCTTCAGTCACCATGTGCCCTCAATTCACAGTGAGCCATCAGTGAGGGTCCCAGACAGTGATCCCAGGAGGTGTCATCTACTCAGGTCACCGCCCACAGGGAGAGGGCGTGGATGGCCAGGGGCAGAATGCGCAGTTGGCCAGCACCAGAACTGCACGATAGTGTCTCTTGGAGAAGCCACGCACACAAGGACGGCACGGGAGCTAGCTAAAAGATCCATCGCTTTTATTTCCACAAAGAGGCAGCCCACAGGAGTGGGGTGACAGGCATTTCTGAAGCCAGCAATGGGGGTCACACCAGCTACCTCGAGACTGAGCCCACACAGCCAGGCTTCACCACATTTCGGGAAGGGGAACCCCAAACCCGGGGAAGAGTAGATAGCACCTGTGCGCCTCATCCGTGGCCACTCGGTCAGCACTGGTGCCGTGTCCACAGCCGGCAGGGCTGCCACACATGACATGTGCAGACAGCCAGCATGGTGATGTGTGCTTAGCAAGCCCCCAACTCTTTAGCTGCTTCCCCACACTGGCATGTCTGAGGCACAGATGAAGTCACCGCACAGCTGACCTTAGAAGACAGATGTGGATCAAGGCCAATTCAAGGCCAGGGACCGTGTACCATGGCAAGAAGGAAATACCAGATACAGAAAACTAAACCGGCGGCATTCAGCTTGCAAGGTTCAGATGTGCCTTTCACAAACACCCAGAGGGACACCCTGAAGTCAGAACTGGGGAGGAGGCTGCCAGTGGCCCAACTGTCTCACTGCAGGAAACTGCAGTGAAAGAGCCTGTGGACCAAGTGCAGCCTTCTCCCACTCTACCCTTGACCTCCACGACCCTGGGCTCTGCAGTGACCATGCTCAACGAGGCACCGGCCGGGAGCTAAGTGCAGCTCTGGCCTGAGATGACACGCATGTCCCTGAGTGGAAGGGGCTCTGACTTCTACAACACGTCAGGCTCCAAAGGGGGACAGCTGCGACCCTGTGCCGACTGACCTTCCTGGCGGCGAGCTATGCAAGAGACTGCGATGGGCAAACAAACAGTAGGGGGCAGAAACAGCGGCGAGGACTCGTGGCACACCATGGAGTATGAATGGGTAACTTCGCTCTTTCGTCCCAACAAGGCCTGTTACTCATCTCCCCACCTGTCCTGGATATCTATCCATCAAGACTTAGGAGGGACAACAGGCACGCCCCGACACCACACGTGGGTGACAGCTCGAGTCCTTCCCATTGTGCAGACACTGGAGTTGACGTTGAAACAGTGAGAGCCAAAATGAGTTTATCTTGAGAAGTGAGAACAACTTCATTAGTGGCAAGAAAACCAACCTCGGAGAGTCTGCAGGGTGCGGCCCAGCACTTCCCACGGGGAGCTGAGCTGAGGACGAGGCGGGCACGGGGAAGAGGTCAGGCACGCGTGCTGTACCCCTTGGCACACTCTTCCTCCTTCACCAGCATCCGGTGCCTTCTGGGCAGGCAAGCAGGCCCCGCCCCCATTCTCAGCTTCAAACAGAGCCTTACGATGAAGTCCAGTGGAAACTGTCCCGGCTGCTTCGCTCCAGCTCTGCAGACCCGTCCTCGAGCCAGGTCACGGGGACACAGCGAGGTTTATGCTCAGCCTGCTGCTCAGGCCACTGTCGCCCTGCAGGGTTTGCAGAAAAAAGCAAGTTCATTCCTGACAGGCTGGCCTTGAGCCCTCTCCCTTCCCCCCACAACTCCCCAGGGCCACAAGTCACCCTCCATTCAGAAAAGCAGCCACACACTCATTCCACCCCAACTTTCGGGACTGCAAACACGGACTTCACAACCTTGTCGTGGGGACTCCCAGTGGCGTTCTGCTGCTCAGAGGTTGTACAGGCGACTGGTGTTTTCCCGCAGAGTGGCCAGGGTGTGTGACAGCGACTCCTCTTTGACCCTGGCGATCTCACGCACTGTGTGCAGGGCCAGGCCAGGGTGGGCATACTGGCAAAGGCTTCTGGGGACCTGGAAGACATCGAATGTGCCCCACATGGCTGTGCCTTCCAGACCCTGCCCTAACACTGAACCCCACCCTGTCCCTTCCCCAAAAGGAGCTCATCGGGGCTGCCCTGTAGAGACCCCTTTACCTGCACGCGCAGGGAGTCCCAGTCGTGGGGCTCTGGGTGAGCAGGGTCCCACGTTCCGTGGACTGCCCTCTACGGGCGGGGGCTCTGCACTGCCTGGAAGAGAGCGGTTACCCTTCAGCTTCCCAGCCCCAGTGCCGGTCCTGCCCAGCGGCAGCAAGGACTCGGCACACAGCCCATGGAGGGGCCCGGAAGGCCTCGGGGCTCTGGCCCTGACAAGCTCTTGAGGTCGGATGGCTGCCCCCACTCCCTGCCTCTCTTCTCTGTCTCCACCCAGCCCAACCGCAGGCCTACCTGGCGTGGCAGGAAATAGGGAGCATCCGTCTCCACGATGATTCTGTCCAGCGGGATCTGCCTCACAGCCGACCGGGCCTCCCAGGCAGAGGAGTAGGTGAGGACAGCAGTGAAGCCCACGGACATGTTGGGGAAGTGCTTCAGCAGGGGCTCGATGACCGGGTAGCTGCCAGTGAAGCAGTGCCTAGGGAGAGCACAGCAGGTCAGGGCCGGCGCTCGGTCCCCCTGCAGCCCCGACTCCTGTGTCTGTCTCAGAAATGCAAAGATGGCACAGCACAGACCAGAGCTGACACCACCCGACTCAATCCAGCACAACCCAGAGAGGCAACACTCTCCCAGGGCTCAGTCCTGTACAGGCACCTGCAAAAGTCACCCCTAAGCATGGTCAGCAGCCACACAGGGCCAGGCCAGCTGTGACTGACAGGCAGAGGCAGAAGCTCTAGCTGCTCTACGACTGCAATGACAGCACGGTAACAATCACATCGCACTGCTGGAACAACCGGAAGGAAACGCAGGACGACAACACCAGGCAGTGGGACCACGGAGACTCGCGTGATCTGATACTTTCCTCGGTGTGGAACCCATGCTGTAAGCCCCAGGCTTTCTCAGCCACAGCACCCCCCAGGCTCACAGCCCACACCAACTGGCCACAGTACACTTAAATACAGGCCCCAAAATGGGTAAGCACGGGTCTGCCATGGGTTAAGATGCCCAAATCCGCCGGAGCATGGGTTCGAGACAGGCCTTACAGTCTAGCTTTCTGACAATACAATTTAACAGGAAGCAGGTGAAGGTTCAAGGACGCAGTCCTATGCTACCCAGCTAGGTGACCTGGATGAGCTCCGGGCTTCAATTTGGCCAACTGTTGTCAACCGTAGGCATTCAGGGATTAACCAGCTGAAGATCTGTGCAAGCATGGTGTGTGTGTGTATATATATGTATGTGTGTGTGAGAGAGATAGATACTCTTTCTTCTAAGCAGAAGAAAATATATTAAAGGGCCCAGCATGGTAGCCTAGTGGCTAAACTCCTCTCCTTGCACGTGTCAGCATCCCAAGTGGGAGTGGGTTCTAATCCCAGTGGCCCCACTTCCCATCCAGCTTCTTGCTGTGGCCTGGGAAATCAGCTAAGGATGGCCCAAAGCCTTAGGACCCTGCATCTGAGTGGGAGACTTAGAGGGAGCTCCTGGCGCCAGACTGGCTCAGCTCCACCCACTGTGGCCAGTTGGGGAATTAATCAATGGATTAATCAATGGATCTTCCTTTCTGTCTCTCCTCCTCTCCGTATATCTGACTTTCTTTTTTTCTTTTTTTTTTAAAGATTTATTTTTATTATTATTTTTTTATTGGAAAGGCGGATATACAGAGAGGAGAGACAGGAAGATCTTCCGTCCAATGATTCACTCCCCAAGTGAGCCGCAACGGCCGATGCTATGCCGATCCGAAGCCAGGAGCCTCTTCCGGGTCTCCCACGCGGGTGCAGGGTCCCAAAGCTTTGGGCCGTCCTCGACTGCTTTCCCGGGCCACAGGCAGGGCGCTGGAAGGGAAGCAGGGCTGCCGGGATTAGAACCGGCGCCCATATGGGATCCCGGGCGTGCAAGGCGAGGACTTAACCACTTGCGCCACCGTGCCGGGCCCCGTATATCTGACTTTCCAAATACATAAATAAACAAAAATTTTAAGGTTTTTTATTTAAAATATAAAGTGAGCCCAGCCAGTTTTTCAAACCCAGCTCCCCGCTAATACACTTGGGAAAACAGAAGATGATCCTAGTACTTAGGTCCCTGCTACACATACACGACTCCCAGAGAGAGGGGCCGGTGCAATGGCTCAGTGGCTAAATCCTCACCAGGCCAGAGCCAAGATCCCACAGAGGTGCTAATTTACGTCCTGACTGTTCCCATCCAGCTCCCTATTTGTGGTCTGGGAAAGCAGTAGAGGACGGCCCAAAGTCTTGGGACCCTGCACCCATGTGGGAGACCAGGAAGAAGTTCCTGGCTCCTGATTTGGGGATCAGCACAGCTCCAGCCATAGCCGCCACTTAGGGAGTGAATTATCAGACGGAAGATCTTCCTCTCTGTCTCTCCTCTTCTCTATAGATCTTACTTTCCAATACAAATAAATAAATCTTTAAATAAAATAAACTCAACTTGAAATGGGTAAGAAAGGAACCAAACCAACTACCCATAATGAAGAGCCTCCTCATGGTGGGTGGTACCTCATAGCAGGTGTCAAAGGCTGCACTCTGCTCAGGCACCCCAAGGCATGCAGCACCCCCCATCTCTGTTATTGGACAAGACCATTTTCACAGGAAGCCCTCACCCATCCAAAGGGGTACCCACACAGCCACCTCAGCCCCAGATTCCATTCCCCGCAGCACTTGCTGACCCACTGGCCCCCAGCAGCTGTTGCTGGGGCTGCAAGGGCCAGTCTGCTGCTCACTCCTTACAGACAGGTCATGTGGCAGGGGCTTAATACACCTAGATGAAGAACCCCCGATGACGCTCAAAAAAAAGGCATCTTTGACTTCCTCCACTAACTGGGAGGACGAGGCTTTTAGACTCAAACAAGCCAAGTCTCTTCAGGCCATGATCTGTGGCCTAAGCCATAGAACCCCACCGCATCCCCTCCAAGTTCATAACCCTCACTTCCACGAACAGCCTACTCCAACAAGCCACCTGGAACGGGGCTCAGGAGCCCCGGCTTGCTCACAGATAATTTAGGGTACTAGGCTCAACAACATGAAATTACCGTTTTCTACATCCCCAAGTATAAAGTGTCACAAGCTTCATGTGGTTCACCCTTAGACTTCTCCCTGTGTTTGCACAAGTCTTCCTTTCTAACGTCCTGGACAGAGGGCAGAGGCCCCTGGCCTGCCCGTGATGCTCCCGCCTTCTAACCTATGGATCTTGTAGTCGGAGGGCACAAATCTCTTCATGACATCCAGCAGGTCCTCATCAGCTTCCCGGCAGTGGATCACCAACGGCTTCCTCAGGGCCACAGCCAGCTGCAGCTGCCTCTCAAACACCTGCAAGGAGACGAAGAGCGACATCGGCCCGTCAGTGGCACTTCCATCACCCTACTGTTTCCAACTCGCTGCCTTTATTTACTTGAAAGGCAGAGTGACAGAGGGGGACAGAGAGGGAGACAGGGAGAAGCTCAGAAAGGTCTTCCACACACTGATTCCCTCCCTCGAGATGGTGACAACCCCAGGACTGGCTAGGTGGGGACCTGGAGCCTGGAACTCCAGCTGGCCAGATCTCTGACAGGAGCAGGCATCACTGCTGCTTTCCAGGCACATTCCCAGGGAGCTGAAGTGGAAACAGAACAGCCAGAATGAGAACCACCAGATACAGGATGATAACGCCCCAAGTGGCGGCTTAACTCTGGGGGCCCCAACACCTGCCCCTTCAATTCTTTACTTTTCAACAACATGAATCAAAAACAATGGCAGGCTCGGCGCAGCAGCCTAGCGGCTAAAGTCCTCGCCTGAAATGCACCAGTTCTAGTCCCGGCAGTTCCACGTCCACTTCCCATCCAGCTCCCTGCTTGTGGCCTGGGAAAGCAGTTGAGGACGGCCCATGGGAGACCTGTAAAGAAGTTCCTGGTTCCTGGCTTCGGATCAATGCAGCACTGGCCGTAGTCGTCACTTAGGGAGTGAATCACTGGATGGAATATCTTCCTCTCTGTCTCTCCTCCTCTCTATATCTGACTTTGCAATAAAAATAAATAAATCTTAAAAAACAAACAAAAAAAAAAACAATGGCTACCACTTGCCAGCTGTTTCCTGCAGAGCCAGGTCCAAGTCTGAGGTGGGCACCGCACCCCTGGGCAGGCCAGGCCCCGTGCAGTAAGAGCAGGGATCTACAGGCACTGCTGTACAGCTCAGGCATCTGCAGCTCAGCACTCACTCACTCTGGATTCAGATTCAAGTACAGGTCATCTACACAGTAACCCCACACGATGTTCATGTGACATACAGCAACAATGGTCAAAGTTCAGGTCCCCATCTCTGCATCCTAAAGGTAGTCAACTTGCAGACCTCTCTGTGCGGGGCGGGGGCGGGCCCATGTACACCCAGACACAGCCCCACCCAGCGCCATGCCCAGCTCTGAGATGCTCCCATCTTCACTGCAATGGTGAATACTGTGTTAACTTTCATGTAACCAAAACTAGATATTGTTCCAGGCCAGAATCCCACCCTAGTTCTTTTCCCACCTTTTCTATCTCTAGCCCCATTCTATCCTTCAGCAGTCACACACACACAAACATACACACACTGTGTAAAGCAGGCCTACTCTCCCCTAACAACACCAGGTCTAGAACTAAGAACAAAAAGCATCAGTTCCTCAAGCAAGCAAGACCAAGCATGAGCAGTTTTTCAAATGTGGAACGCGAGCTGCATCTGCATCTTTAGCATCAACGAGCAGCAGCCACTCTGAGAATGACGCTTGCAGGCAGAAGGCTACCTGCCACCTGCCACCTCCTCTGAGACTAGCAGCACTAAACCACCACCAGTTCTGTCATGGCTTCTAGCTAACTCATGCCTTCAACTCTAGGATCTCAATTTGGGTAAGGGTTGTCACAAAGCTGGCCTTAACTCCATTCTACACTGACCCTCAGATACCTGGGTAGCAGGCATTATACCATTCAAACTGGAAATTTGTAACCTTTAGAAGGGCTAAGCCAACAACTATAGTTTTAGGAGAGTATTACAAAGCTGCTAGATGTATTTTTCAAACTATAGCTAACGCAAGTTCCATGGTTACAGATAATATTCCATTATATTAATTTTCACAAGGCAGATGTTACTTTATTCTCATCCATGAGACAGAACTGCCCCCACCCCTTGGGTAGTGACCCCCAGATGCCTGGTAAAAGCCAAGCAGGCTGAGCCAGAAGCCTGAACTCATGCCAGCTCTCCCATGCAGGAGGGAGGGACACAAGATCCTGACTCATCACTGCTGCTTCTAAGGGCTTGCATTAGCAGGAAGTTGGACCAACTTGAACCAGGTCCTCCCTACAAGATACAGATGAACCCATGAGCACCTAATATGTGGAACAAACCCACACCCCATTTTTTAAAAATGCCCTAATTTCTTGTCTTCAGCTAGCACACAGATACGACCATATAGCCTTGATTCTATAATAGGTACTTATAGGACAGGCCACTGAACATCCCGATTTTCTATGGAACGACAACACTTTCTGTTAAGTTCACTCAAACTTCAAAAATGCCCCCCTCCCCAGGAAGCCAGCTGAGCGCCAGGGAAGTTACAGCCCAGCATAATCGCTCTACTCTGCACAGCTCATGCTACCTCAGTAACTCGGAACACAGGAGGGGGCACACACACAGGCCATTCCCCTAGGCTCTGGGACACGGAGACCAAGGGACCATGACCATCACTGGCTGAGTGCAGCCGAAGCCAGCCAGCCACCCACTCAGGACTAAGCCTTAGGAGCTAAGGAGCAAGCACAATGTCCACAGCACTTTACTGCTCTCCTGGTGGGTCACTCTGCTTTTCTCACACATCCCAGGTCCTTTTTTCCTTTTTTTTTTTTAAAGATTTATTTTAATTTTTTTTTTTAATTGCAAAGTCAGATCTACAGAGGAAGAGACAGAGAGGAAGATCTTCCATCTAATGATTCACTGCCTCAAGTGACTGCAACAGCCAGTGCTGCACCGATCCGAAGCCAGGAGCCAGGAACTTTCACCTTTCTAAGGAGCCCATCTGGTCAGCAACGGCCCCTGCAGCAACTTTCACCCTTCCCCGGGCAAGCCGGAAGCAGGAACATCAACATCTGGCTTACCACTCCATGGTCTCTTCCCAGGAACACCTGAACAGCCAGGAGTCCTGGGCTCTGCAGGTCCGTCTTTCTCAACTCACCGTTTTCTAGCCAATGCCCCATCTCACCAAACCCAACACCAGCTGCAGGACAGTCACCCTGCCCCTGTCCCCCACATGAAGATCTGAGATCTGGGAGCCCAGAGAGGGACAGCGTCACTGAGAAGTAGGCAGCACCAAGCAGGCATTCAGGAACAGCACCACACTCTTGGATGCTAAAGTATGCCCGAAGGCCCAAGACTGCATCTTCAGCTCACACTGCTAAAAACCCACTTTTGCAATGTGTTCAGATTTGGTTTCTTTAACTACTTCTGGCCAGCTAGTAAATGACCACCTCAAACCAGATGGGTCTGAGGCAGCAGCTGAGTAGAAACCGAAGCCTCCTCTGCCCACCAGTCCACACACCCACTCCCGACAGCCAGCTCAGCCTGGCAGGGAAGGGGTGTGGCAAATCTTCCTGTCCTTCCAGCTCCCCCCAAATCAGATCCTTTGGCTGCCATCCTACCCACGCTACGGGAGAAAGCTGTGATCACAGAGACACTCCAGGTTTCTGCCCATGCGGGCAGTCACTGTACACACACATGCACTTCCCAAGCACACAGACCCCCTACCTTGTGCTGCTGCGGGACCGGCGTGGTGCACTTGTAGGAGTAGTCCAACCCCATCTCCCCAAAGGCTACGGCCTTAGGGTGCCGCAAGGCTTGCAGGAGATTCCTCTCCTGGCTCTCGGTGTAGTAGCGTGCGAAGTGAGGGTGGCAGCCAAAGGCCCCCCAGACCAGGTCCTCCTTCAGCAGCTCCTCCCACAGGCAGTCTGTCAGTGTTCGGGGGTCACAGAAGTCAGAGATGCAGCCCCGGAATTCCTTGGGGAAGGAGCTACTGTAGATCTTCCTGAACTTGGTAAAGGTCCCTCTGAAGGACAGCTTGGAATAGAGCATGTCCAAGTGACAGTGGGTGTCAATAAAGCCCTCCTCCGGGCTGGCCTCCCGGCAGCTCCTGGGCTCGGAGCCAGCAGCACGCCCGCGAGCATGGCGCGGCGGGGTCTCCTCTCGGAACGTTCTTTTCTCTCGCCCCACCTCTTGTGAGCTTCTGGAGAAGCGGAATGCACGCGAGTTCTGGGATTGTCCTTCCTCAACGACCACCGGGTCCCTGGCAGTGGTGTGGAAGCTGAGCGGCGGAGAGCTGGGTGGACACTCGCTCGGGAGGCTGCGGCCGCTCTGTCCAGCCTGGGCCAGGTCACTGCTGCCACCTGCAGCCGAAGAGCTTGGGGGCTTGGGGCTGCTGGCCCAGTAGCGGGCATAGTCACACCAAGGGCTGCTATACAGATGAGCTGGGTACATGACGTAGTCGGGGGTATAGGAGGAAGGCTCTGGAGCAGTGGAGTATTTTGGCATGATGGGCTCCTCCTGAGAGAACCTGACGGTGGGGATCTCGTCCACGTCAGACCAGTCACTGCCTGAGGAGGGGTGCTCCATCACCACCTCCCGACCTTTGGGCTGCAAGAGAGAAAACAGGGCAATGTGTTAGCCAAGCCAGGACTCAGCCGGCTCCCTGGAGAAGCTCATGCACTCACCTTCTCAACTGGCTCCCTTACAATTTCCCGACACGCCCCGCAGCAAGCCAGTTATGGTGAGAGCCGTGACAAGCTGTCACAGGGGGCTCAGGGACTGCCCTCGCTGCACCATAGCAACATCTGCTTGCCTTGCAAGAACTTTCCAGCACCTTCTCTCAGCCAATGGCACCAACACGCACAGCCCCCAGCTGTCCAAGTTCTAGCATGTATCTACCACATCAACAGACTACTGACCACAGAGGTGAGTCTGTGAGCCTCACCTTGAGGCTGGGCCACCAAGCGACTCCCTGTGACAAGAAGGCAGCAGAAGCAAAGCTGTGCTATCACCAAAGCTGGATGGGAACAGTCCCACAGCCCTCGCCTGGCTCTCCACGCCTGCTCACCGTGGGGGAGGTGGGCCCCCAGAAGGCCCTGACTGGGAAGACCAGGGGCAGGTACACAGCCTGCCACCCAGCCCGGCACCCAGCTGTCACAGGTGTCAGCTCTCCACTCCATGAGCAAACACTTTGGACGTCCAGCCCTGAACACAAGACTATCATCACAGCTCTCATCACCGGCACCAGAGCAGACCACACGAGATGCTCAACACCTCTCAGCGTGGACCTTCTGAAGCCCTGGCCCCCAACGTGGTGCACTCATACTGTTCTTAAGCCACCTGCCAGCAACAGGAACTGAACATCTACGCAATGCATTACAGAACCAACTGAGCACGGCTGGAAGTCACGCCTACAGATCTGCACGGACGGCTCCTCCCAAGCACACAGCGCACATCCTCAACACAGCTCTACAGTGTGCCCACCGCTGCATTCTGCACAGATCTACCCAGCCCCTCTCGCTGGCAATCAGTGACCACAGCAGGCCCAGGAAATAAAAAAAAGACCACAGGGACTCACGTAAATATGGAGCAAAAACAAGTGTGAGAACCATGACTACAAAGATCCTGCAGAGAACACAAGGGAAAATGAACACTATGAAAAAACTAGCATAGGACGCAGCGCGGTGGCCTAGTGGCCAAAGTCCTTGCCTTGAACGCGCCGGGATCCCATATGGGTGCCAGTTCTAATCCCAGCAGCTCCACTTCACACCCAACTCCCTGCTTGTAGTCTGAGAAGGCAGTTGAGGACGGCCCAAAGCCTGGGACCCTGCACCCACATAGGAGACCTAGAGGAAGTTCCTGGCTCCTGGCTTCAAATGGGCACAGCACTGGCTGTTGTGGTCACTTGGGGAGTGAATCACCGGACGGAAGATCTTCCTGTCTCTCCTCTCTGTGTATCTGCCTTTCCAATAAAAATAAACAAATCTTTAAATATATATATATATATATTTATAAAAAGCAGAGATCACTTTTTAAAAACAAATTCTCAAAAAACTCTTAGTAGTGGTCATTCAGAAGAAGGGGTAGACAGGATATAAAAGCTGGTCTTACTAAATTCCTCTCATTTTTACACCACAGGAAAATATTTAAAACCAACCTAAAAAATTGGACATGGGGCCAGTGTGGAGGCAAAGCAGGGTAAAGCCACTGCCCTCTATGGCAGCACACACTACTTTGTGCCCTGGCTGGCCCACTTCCCATCAGCTCTCTGGTAATAGCCTGGTAAAGCAGCGAAAGATGGCCCAAGCATCTGGGATCCTCCCCGCGCCCGGAAGATGCAGATGAAGCTGCTGGCTTTGACACGGCCCACCCCTGGCAGTTGCAACCACCTGGGGAGTCAATCAGCAGGCGGAAGATCATTTTCACCTTTTAGCTCTGACTGGAAAACAGATGAAACGACACACACTCACTCTCTTGGAGGTAACCACATCATAGCAATCTCAGAAATAAAATAAGTAAAAATTTCCAGGAAAACAAGGTGACATGATCTCCATGAGCAGCTGCATCCTATACCAAGTACCCGAGTTTCACTCCTGATTCTACTTCCAATTTCAGCTTCCTGGGGAGGTAGTCAGTGACAGTTCAAGCAGCTGGGTCCCCACCACCCATGCAAGAGAACCAGAATGAAATCCAGGTCCCTGTCTTAGATTTAGCCCCAGCCCATGCTATTACTGACATTTGAGGAGTGAATGGAAGATCTCTTAAAAAAGGCTCGGTGCAAGGTGCAATATCCAAGTGGTGGAAATCCTTGCTTTGCAGGCCCCCGAATCCCCTATGGGCGGCTCCACTTCCCATCCAGCTCCCTGCTTGTGGCCTGGAAAAGCAATAGAGTACAGTCTAAAGCCTTGGGACCCTGTACCCATGTGAGACCCAGAAGAAGCTGCTGGCTCCTGATTGGCTCAGCTCCAGCTGTTGTAGTTGCTTGGGGAGTGAACCAACGAATGGAAGACGTCTGTCTCTCTGCAGATCTGACTTTCCAATAATCAATTAACCCTTCAGGTCAGGAAATAAAAGACCACAGGGACTAAGAGAACAGGCTTGTCTAGAAACTGAACAATTCTGCTTGGGATCCTGCTCCAAATTAAAACACTGAAGAAATAAAGGAGATCAAGACACTGGTTGGTCACTGATGTTAAAGGTTATGGGTTCAGGACCCTGACTTCATAATTTAAAAAAAAAAAGAACTATTTAAAAAATGCTTAAATGTAAATAAATCTTTAAAAAAAAAGATTATGGTTCATGGGTGGTAATAAAATCATGGTGTCATCTTTCAAGATACTGTATGTTTTATTTTTTAAATAACTATATATTATTGGAAAGGCAAATCAGATTTAGAGAGGAAAGATCTTCCACCCACTGGTTCAGTCTCCAAATGGACACAACAGCCGGAGCTGAGCCCACCCAAAACCAGGAGCTCTTCCAGGTCTCCCACACAGACGCAGGGTCCCAAGGCTTTGGGTCATCCTTGACTGCTTTCCCAGGCCACAAGCAGGCAGCTGGATGGAATATGGAGTAGTTGGGACACAAACAGGCACCCATGTGGGATCCCAGCATGAACAAGGCAAGGATTTAGCCCTGAGCCATCACTTTTCACCCAGCTTTCTCCAGACCCCAGATGCTCTACATCCAACACTCATTTGCCTGCCCACTATACCCAACACAGGCAACCTATGTGCTCACTGACAAACAGGAGCTTCCTGTCCATTTGGAAAAGTTCATGAATTCTAGGTCCCAAAAAGATGAAGATCTACACCCATCAGCTACCACAGGCACCGTGTGTTCAGCACAGAAATCCAAACTAAGGATGTGAGATTTCCATCCACATCAGGTCCTTCCCACGGAAACAATCTTCTAAAAGTTAAGGGGACTGATCCAAAAGGACATAAACCTACAAGGAAAAAGCCTTCAGAATGAACAGCAAGCCCATCATGGGATTCCAGGAGGAGCCAAAGTGCTCTTGGCTAAGTGGACCAGAGAATCAAAACCCAAGGCACCTGTGAGAAAAGCCTAGAAACAGGCCAGGGCTCCAGACCGAGAGAATGGCCTTTTCAGACCTCTAGTGACAAAGTCGCAATGAAAGTCCAGAAGTTAAGACAGCAGGATGGAAGGCCAGCTTCCACATGAGCCAATGGGTCTGTCTCACCCCACCCAGCAAAGTGGGATGAAGGGCACTGTGGACGTTCAGGGCACACTCACACTTCGCTGAGGGGCAACCCACAGCCAACAGGGCCCAGGCTCCTCTCTCAGCCTCTTTCCAGGAGAACATATTAGCCGCAGGAAAGCTGCAGGCCCACCCGAAGCCATCACTCTCATCTGAAGCCAACAGCCTGCCCTGTCATCCTTGCACACATGCCTCCCAGGGAGCGTCTCCACTCTGCATCTCTAAACACAAGCAGAGCCAAGGAACCATCAGACAGAAGGTAAACACAAACCTGTAACCAAGATTGAGACAGGGCAGGATCACAGCTCCCAAATGAAGGATGCAAGAATGGAACACACACTCACAAAAGCCAGTGTTCTTAGAACTGGGTGTCAACAGGGAAAACAAACAGCAGTGAAAAGCCCACACAGCCACCTGAACAACTCCCGAGGCAGAAAGGAAACACCAGAAAAGCCACACTAAAGGCACAATTAATGAGACACAGAAACCAGGGCAAAATCCCACTCCTCTGTCCACATCCTGAAAGCAAAACCAAAGTATCTGAAACAAGAGCAAAAGGCTACTTAAAGCAAACGGAGAACACACATTTTAATGCAGAGCGAGTGTCTACATCCCCACACTCCCGTGTCCCGCCCTGGAGCACCTGGGCTCCCTGCTCCAGCTCCTGCTAAAGCACACCCTGGATGCAGCCACATCAGTGCTGGCTCAGGGAATGGGGTTCTTGCCAACCACATGGGCTATCTGGGCGAGTCCCTGGCTCCCAGTTTTGGTTCCACCCAGCCCTGGCCACTGCAGGCATTTAGTGAATCAACCAACAGACAGCATCCCTGCCTCGCTCTCTCAGCCGCTCAAGTAAAAAGGAGAAAACTTCCCACAACTGCTGAGCATGTGTGTTTAGACTCCTAGGGAATACCCGACGTGCTGCATAAAGGACAGAATCTCAAGAAACTGCAGGCCTCTGGACTCCTGAGAAGAAACAAGCATTCAAGTACCAAGGATCAGGAATCTGCTTCAGACATCTCCTCAAGAACCCAAGGACAAACAGAGAGCAAGGCCTTTAAATTCCTACAGAAAACCAGTGTCCAAACTGCGATTCCAGAACCAGCCTGACCTGAAACCAAGGCTGCGGGTAGAGGCGACCTCAGCAACACGTTTTCTTACTCTTCTTAAACATTTATTTGTATTTGAAAGGGGGTTTTACAGAGAGAAAAAGAGAACTAAATATCTTCCATCCAAACTAGTACATGCCCCAACAGCCAGAGCTGAGCCAATCCAAAACCAGGAGCCAGAAGCCTCCTCTGGGTCTTAGGCCATTCTCCATTGCCCTTTGAGGCAATAAACAGGACACTGGATCAGAAGTAGAGCAGCTGGGACACAACCAGTGCTTGCAGGTGGGGGGTTAGCCTGGGGAGCCACCATGCCGGCCCCAGTCACATTTTCAAAAATGCCACGTCTGCACCTTTTTCAGGAAGCTAAAAGAAAAGGTATTCTACCCAGGCAAGAGAGTAAGGCCAGGGGAAGAACATAGGAGAGGGGCATCAGGCATCATCAGCAGGCCCAAGAGCAAGCAAGCGGGCAGGGTAGGCCAGGCAGAGTGAACAGGCCGGGTAGTGCAGACAGGCCAGCCCAGGAAAAAGGCAGAGCTCACAGGCCCCCACAACAATTACATGGCTGCCTACTGCAGTCTGAGGTGATTTAATAAAATTCAAGAAATCTTTAAAGCAATTTTCTCAAGAAATCTGCGTTTTACAACAAGGACACACAATCAGAGCCTATTGAGTGAGCCCACTGTAAACGTGGTAATCCTTCGTACATTCAACTCCAAGGCAAACAGACCCCCTCACAGTCAGAGAGGCTGCGCAAAGCGGTCCAGCTGGGACTGGCAGGCACACCCAGCATCACCCTCACTTTCCAGACAACACAGCCCAGAAACTTGGCAGTGGGAGTCCAGACACAGCACAGAGGGATCTGGAAACAGAGGCCAGCCCTCCAGGCCTCAGAGCAGAGACTGGAGGAACAGTCCAGGGAGGCACCCTCTCCCATGACAACCTTGTGAAGACACACTTTCCCTCTCGTCCGCTTACTTCCCTTTGTCCACCTGCCTGGGCTGACCACCTAGGCCAGAGGCCCCCTTGTGGAAAGAGCCAGAACAATTCTAACCTTGTGCCTCCTTTCTCCCATTCCTAACAACCAGAAGGGACTAGCACAGCGGCCACCTCAGACCATAAGACAGATCCCAAGCGGGGGGCAACCCAGCAGCACAGACACAGGGTCCTGCACATCACAGCCATTCTTCCTAAGCCAAATTTCTGCTTTGGGTAAGCCACTTACATTTCAGTCTGGTGGTGTGTTTTTGTGGGGGAGAGGCGGGGTTAAGACTCAATTATTTATTTCTTCATTTTAAAGGCAGAGTCAGAGACCCTGCACCTGGCTTGGGAGACCAGTAAGAAGCACCGGCTCCTGATCGGCTCAGCTTCAGCTGCTGGGACCACTTGCTCAGTGAACTAGTGGATGGGAAATCTGTCTCTCCCTCCTCTCTGTAACCACAGCCACCCTGCACATCACTTACCTTGTGCACTTCCACACGCGAGTCGGTGTCATCCCAAAACCGCAGGGGAGCAGAGGGCTCATCAACGGCTGTCCTTTGGTGGCCAAGCGGCTCCTTGCCTGGTGACTCCGCAGGGTCAATGACCACTCTCCGGCCACAGAAGCTGCTCTCCTGCTGCTCCAGCTCCGCCTCTTCCTCCACAGCCAATCCTTTGTCCTCCGGAGGAGTGGGCACCGAGACACTCCTGGCTGGCTCTTCTGCCCGACATGGCCGCTCTTCCGGGCTCTCCTTTGCCCTTGCCTGTGCAACAGCGTCCCCCTTCCGCCGGGGCACTGACTTCCCCAGGATGCCCTGGAGCGCCTTCAGATAGATCATGGTGGAGCCCTGATCCCGAGGCCTCTCCCGCCTGCGTCTCTGGACCTTGTCTGGCTCCTCAGTCGCATCCTTCTGACCTTCAGCCTCAGCTGCAAATTCAGAGTTCGGGGAGTCTCTGGAACTGCCTCTGGAGTCAACCTGCAGGAGAAAGCAACCGAGGAAATCGTCCCAAGGCAGTCACACCTGCGGCACTTCAATGGTTCCCGTGTCCAAAACCCACGGCAGCCCTCCCTCCCCACTGAGAAGTACCCCTGTAAAACAGGGGGAGCAGTCATTCCTTTCTTGGCCTCCTCTTGCCTTGGGCCCAACAGACCCTGACCCCAGAGGGCTCGCGCCTAGAAGGCAAAGCACTGACACCCCAGCAGCTCACAACAGATCCCAAAAGGGGTCTCAGTCACCAATGCCACACCCAAAGGACCCAGAGACGCACCTCCCTCACAGCCCGAGACCAGTGAGGTCAGTCCTCCTCCCAACTTCCTTAGAGGCAGAGGGAAGGCTCGTGCTGCTCTTCCCAGGGAAGAGCACTGGCCAAGACTCCCCAAGAACCAGCGCATGGCAGTGGTGCTCCAGGCTCCCCGCGACCCTGCCGGAGCGTCACTTCCTCACTCTTGCACAAGTAAACACAGTGGTCAGGATTCCTAACACGCGGGAGGGCAGCAGCAGAAGGCCCAAATACTTGGGTTCCTGCAATCCAGTGCAAACCAAAATGGAGTTCTAGCCACTCACACAGGGAACCTGCTCTTGTGTCCATGCTACACAATTAAGACAACAGAATGCTTCCTGTGTATGTTATGTATTTGTGCAGCAAGAAAAGGTAAGCTTTCCACAGCAGCGATCTTCGCAGAGACACAGGGATGGTCACTCTTACACACGTCCTGTACCACTTCAAGTCTGCTTAACCCCAGAAGCATGTAGTATTTCTGCTTCCAAAAAAACTGACCGGCCCACTGCAATGGCCTAGTGGCCAAATCCTAACCTTGCACCTACCAGGATCCGATATGGAACATACAGCCATTTGGGGAGAATCCATCTTCCTCTGTATCTCCTCTCTCTCTCTCTCTATATATATATATATCTGACTTTCCAATAAAAATAGAAAAATCTGTATCTTAAAGAAAAATCCTGGGGCCTGGCGCTGTGGCCTAGCACCTAAAGTCCTTGCCTTCCACACACCAGGATCCCATATGTGCAACGGTTCGTACCCCGGCAGCCCTGCTTCCAATCTAGTAAGTGAAGCAGGACAGTGAAACACCCCCTAAGGGTCAGGGCACGCCAACTGCAAAGGAGGAAAAGGAGCAGGGAGGCTGCAGTTTCAGGTAGAGTTCTGGGTTGGAGTCAGACATTTTCACTTGAATTAACCCTGGCAGGCTACCACGAGCTCTTTGCCCACCCCGCGGTGTGGACTTCATAGCTGCTGAAAACACAAAGGTGAGAATACCCCCGCTCACGTTTCATGTGCACTTACAATTTATAGTCTCCGCAGCTGTCAACCGCCTCCACAGAGAAACTGCAGGGGCTGGCACTCTGTACAATGGGTTAAGCCTCTGCCGATAATGCCTGCATCTCAGATGGGCACCAGTTTAACTCCCAGGTGCTCCACTTATTTTAAGATTTATTTTTATTGGAAAGGCAGATCAGATTTACAGAGAGAAGGAGATACAGAAAGGAAAAAAAATTCATCTGCTGGTTCACTCGCCAAGTGGCTGCAATGGCCAAAACTAAGCCGTTCTAAGAACTAAGCAGTTCTTCAAGATGGCCTCGGTGTGTGGGCCTGTGCGCCCCCTGGGGAGACCTGAGTGAGACTCCTGGCTCCCCTGGCTCTGGCCTGCTCCAGTCCCCGCAGTACAGCTGTCTGTGGAGGGAGCCACTGGACCTACTGCCCCACTCCCCAGCTCTTGCCTCTCAAGTCAAAAGAAATTTGAAGAAGACAGATTGAGACTGGTGCTGTGGATTAGTGCACTAAGCCGCTCCCTACAGTGCTGGCATTCCTTATGAGCACTGGTTGTGATCCAGCTCCCCACTCATACAGCTGGGGAAGCAGCAGAGAAAGTGCTTGGGCCCCTGCACTCTGGTGGGAGACCCGGAAGAAGTTCCTGGCTTCAGACAAACCCAGTTCAGGATGCTGAGGCCATCTGGGGAGTGAACCAGCAGATAGAAGCATCGACTCTCTGCCTCTACAACTCTGCCTTTCAAATAAATGTCTTAACAAAAAAAAACCCAAAAAAACAAAACAAAACAAAACAAAAAACTCTTTAAGTGTAAGTCAACTTCTTAGATAAATTTCTTGGTGTCATGAGAGGGAGGGTGCTCTGAGAACCCACGGTCTCCAGGACTCCTGGTCCTACTGAAACAGAGCCCCTTGGCCTTAAAGAGAGAAGGCTGAGCTCCCCACAGCTTTCGGGCGACACCTGCAGCCCAGCACGCCTCTAATGAAGGCAGACCACCTGCTCCTCCCCGCCCCTCCAATGGTCAGTGAAGCTCAGGGTAATTAACTGCCATTATTTTACTGACTTCTTATCACAACAGATAATGACAAGATTAAACAGTATGAGCCAAGTTCCATATTTACCCGGGCTCCACGTTCAGTTTTTTTTTATTATTATTACTTTTGATTCCATCCATCTACCAATTCACTCCACAAATGCTCTCAACACCCAGGCTTGGAACTTAACCTGGATCTCCTACACAGGAGTACCGGGGCTACCACCTGCTGCCTCAGAGCACCACCAGCCCCGTGCTGAACACGGATGCAACCCAGGTGCTCGATCCCAAGCAGCCTCAAATGCCTGCCCTACCCATCAAGGACTTCAAACTCACCAACTGGGGGGGGGGGAGTGCTGTGGCACAGCACGTGTTCTAGCTCTGGCTGCTCCACTTTAGACCCAGCTCCCTGCAAACACCTGCAGTCCTGCCCCATGCGGGAGACCTCAAAGAAGTCCTGGCTTCAGCCTGGTCAAATCCTGGGTGTTGTGGCCACCTGGGGAGTGACCAGCAGATGGAAGATCTATCACTCTCTGTAACTCTTTCAAATGAAGAGTAATTAAAAAAGCAAAAAACGAAAAAGATGTGGCCAACAGTGGAGTTCAGATTGTGTGGTCCACAACAAAAATACTTCAGCTGGCCAGAGAGTCTCCCAAGGTAAACAGTCCTATACAGGCAACCATTTCAACAACCCCCGGAAAGGATCAAACACCCACCCTTTCCTAAGGGCCCGCAGCAGGGGCAGGAGGTGGAGCAGTGACGCCAGCAGCCCCTAAGGGCGCCAGTTCAGTTCTTGTCTGGGCCACTCCACCTCTGACCCAGCCCTCAGCTTGTGGCATGGGAAACACCCGCACAGACACCTGGCCGACGTGCTCAGCTCCAGCCGTCAAAGCCACTTGGATAGTGAACCAGCAAATCTGTCTCTCCTCCCGTCTGTAAGCCTGCCTTTCCAATAAAAACAAATGTTGAAAAAGGTATTTTCTCCAGGACAGCCCCCTTCGGCACATTTCTCCTGCCCTACTCCACGCGCAGGCACCATTCCACGTTTTTCTCAGTCTCCCAGGCGGGTGCGGGACCCCTAGGCGTTCCTCAGCTCTTCCATCCGCTGGTTCACACTCCGCTCCCCGCCTCTGACCGGGGTGGGGCTGGAACGCCCGACCAGGGTGTGGGGTCCCTCCCAACACCGCCCCCTCCTCACTTCCCAAGGCCTGCCGTCCCACGAGAGGCCAGCCCAGACGCTAGGGTGCTGGTTTTGTTACTGAAAAATCGCAAGCTTCTAGTCGGCTGCCCGCACAGTAACCTGGACAAAACCGGCCTGAATCAGTGCCCACCGACAAACCACAACCCGCTCCGGCGGGCAAAAACTCAACCACCCGAGACCCTTACTTTGACGCAAAAACCACACCAAAACACCACATCCCTCGGTTCGGATTCCGAGTGGCGCCAAGCCCAGGAGACAACGGACAGGACCCACTTCCAGGAGGGTCCTGCGGCGCGTGGGCTCGCCCACGTGTTCCCGAGACACCCCGCCCGGCCGGCCCGCACACACCTGCACACACTCGCAGGTGCTGCCGAGCTCCCGCATCAGGCTCTCTCCAACACCTCGAGGCCTCGTGGCTGAGACGGCGAGGGCAGCCGGCACCCGCCAACACTCACACACACACACCCCGACGCCCCTGCACGCCGGCCCCTCGGGACGCCCGCAGCACCTACCCTGAGCCTGCAGGCCTCCGCGTGCCGGGAGGCCATGTCTTCCAGCGAGGGGCTGGCGCGGCAGCCTCGCGCGCCCGGAATCAGGCAGCCCGGGGCGGCTCCGCCCACAGCCGGGCCCGAGGAGTGGGAGGAGGAAGAGGAGGAGGAACGGCGGCGGCGGCGGCGGGAAGAGCCCCGGGGCGGCGGGCGGCCCGCATCGTCCTCCCGCGGGGCCTTCAGGCGCTGGGGGCTGCGGGCCGGCCGGCCGGAGGCGGCCACATGGCCGGGCTCCCGGAGGCAGCTGCGCTTGCTGGGCCCGCCTTCCGAGGGGCTGCCGCTCCAGCGGTACTTGACCTTGCGCCGCTCCGACGCCATGGGCACCTGCGAGGGGGCGAGAAAACGCGAGGGCCGTGGGTCCGACCGCGCCCTCCTCCGCCAGGCCCGGCCGAGCCCGGGGCACGGGGCTGGGCGGGCGCCGGCTCCACACACCTTTCTCGGTTCCGTCCGCTGCCCATCCCAGAGCGCGGCGGGGCAGCGCGGCCGGGCGAGTCAGTCCCACGGCCCGAGACGCCCCGCCGCGCCGGCCGCGGGCCCGCGTCCTCCGGGGACGCCGCACATAGCGGCGGGCGCGCGGCCCCGAAGCCCCGGCCGCGCCTCGGGGAGCCGCCCGGACCCTCCTCCGCCGCGACCCCCGGCAGCAGGCCGCCCGTCCTCCGCCGTCCGCTCAGCCCCCGCTCCCGCCCGAGCTGCCGCCGCCCCGGCGTCCGCCACCCGGAACCAGCCCTGAGGGCCGCGGCCCGGCGCGCGCCGGAGGCGGGGCCTGCGCCGGAGGCGGGGCCTGCGCCGGACGCGCGGCGCGCTCTGCTGCTGTCGGCAGGGGCGGGGCTCCGCCGGGCGGACAGGCTTGGGGGCGGGACGCCGAGCCTGCCGAGCTCGCCCATTGGCTGGCGGGCTGGAGGGGCGGAGCCACGGAACGTGGGTTCTAGAAGCGCGAAGTGGAGGCGGGCCTGTCTGGGGACCGGTGTAGGGGCACCCCTCCTGGACGGCGGCTCGGCCTGGCGACTTCCTCTCAAGCCGCTCAGTCGGTTCTCCAACCCACTGCAACTCCATTTTCTGACCTCTTCGTTACCGCGAATACTGCAGTTACCGCCTCCGTGTGAAGCTTTAGATGGCTCTTTCCTGTCTCTTGTGTAAAGAACTGGATCCTGGGCCCGGCGCGGTGGCCTAGCAGTTACAGTCCTCACCTTGAAAGAGTCAGGATCCCATATGGGCACCAGTTCTAATCCCAGCAGCTCCACTTCCCATCCAGCTCCCTGCTTGTGACCTGGGAAGGCAGTAGAGGACAGCCCAAATCCTTGGGACCCTGCACCCACATGGGAGACCTGGAGGAAGTTCCTGGCTCCTGGCTTTGGATCTGCGCAGCTCTGGCCATTGCAGTCACTAGGGGAGTGAGTCATGGGATGGAAGATCTTCCTCTCTGTATATCTGACTTTGCAATAAAAAAAAAAAAAAAAAATGGCTCCTAGGGGAACCTCTGTGCTTAACTTTGCAAGGAATCACCAAACTGCCTTCCAAAGCGCATGCACCATTTTAGTGGAATACTCGCAATTTCTCCACCCAACTGACCATTTCTTGTCTTTTTATAATTTGTATTAAAATGTGTCTCACTGTGGCCTAGTGGCTAAACTCCTCACCTTGAAAGAGCCGGGATCCCCTATGGGTGCTGGTTCTAGCGGCCCCAGTTCCCTTGCAGCTCCCTGCTGGTGGCCTGGGAAAGCGGTGGACTGCCGAGATCCTTGGGGCCCTGCCCCCATGTGGGAGACTGAGAAGTTCCTGGCTCTGGCCTGGCCCATCCCCAACTAGTATGTCAATTGGGGAGTGAATCAACAGATGGAAAATTCTCTCCATCTCTCCTCTCTAACTCTTTCAAATAATGTAAATAAACTTAAAAAAAAAAAAGATCCAAGTAGAGAAAAATGTTTACCACATGCAATTTTTTTTTGCTAAAAAGATGACATCTGGCACTCCTTTGGGGTCCCCAGAAAGGCAGAGCAATGGAGGAACGCACGGGCAATGTCTGCCCTGATGAGTGCGCAAGTCTGTGACTCTCAGACTCCCGGCGGCCCACTGGCTCTCCCAGGACATCCTGAGCTGCAGTCCAGGAACCCAGGTGTTCAGAGAACCAGCATCCTGTTTGTCGCTGAAGCTCTGGAAAGGCAGGCATGGAGCTCGCCACAAGCCAGGTCCTGCTGGGGCACACTCTTAGGGAATCCCCACAACCACCGCAAAAGACCTAGAGTGTCTTAGAGTTCAGAGCCGTGTGGGGGACACCTCTGGAGCTGCCAGGGTTCCGGTCCCTGTCCATGGACAGTGTAAGGGCTGTTAATTGCTGTCAACAGAAAGAGCCCTGTCCCTTGCCCTGACCACACTAGGAAACATGTTTCCAGATTGGCCAGGACCTGGAACTGGTCCTGGCTTTTTGCCGCCCTACGACCACCCCTCAGGGAGGCAGAGGGCCCTCTCTGAACAAACTACCAGAACACACAAGTCACTACAAAGCTATCTGTTGACTTTACAAACATATCTTTATTTAAAAAATTATAGAATTATTTTTAAATAGGACATTTTTCCAGGTGAATTAAAGAATGCTTCATAAAGATTTACAATCTGACTTTTCAAAAATATCCTCTCTGTAGAAACATGAAATGTATGGCAGAAATATACAGGCCTTCTTCCTTGTTTTCTAGAACAGGACAAGTGCATGAGCAAAGTGCTTCTTGGAGCGCCCCCCCAACAAGCCGGGGGGAGCAGGAGCAGCTAGCTCCTCACTGAGAGGTCCCAGGAACGAAGTGATTGATTCAGTCAGCAGCAGGCTCACGTGAGGCTGGTGGAACTGGTTCTCCCAACTCCCCATCTGGCCATAAATAACACACTTAAAGCAGAAACTGCACCAAACGCACGGGCATCCGTGCAGTGTGCAGACGGAGCTGGGCTGTGCTCAGTAAATACCTGCAGGTTGCGAGGTTCCCCACAGGAAGCGAAGAGGCTCCGAGCCTGAGCCCGATGTCTGGCATCAGGACTACCTGAGCCCTTAGGAGGGCACTGGGACCTGCACGGGGCGCATCTGGACAGTCTTACAGAGTGCGCAAGTCTGCAGGTGCTTGTTGGCGACTATGACTCAGATGTCAGCTTCTGAGAACCCCGTGGGCTTTACAGGACTTCCCATCAGCAGTCCTGTGGAGAGAGCTCCTGGGTGATGGCAGCTGCTGGGCAGATGATCATACAGCACCCCCAGTTCCCACCTCACTCTCCCAGAGCCCACTCTGGCCATCAGGCCTTGTCACCAAAAGCTGAGGCCTCCTTGTCCCCAAGGTCACTCTCACAGGGGTGATGTCTGGTGTCCATGTCACTTGACCTGCCGCAGATTCTGCCCGCAGCCCCTTTTTGTGCTTTGCTGATCTTCCTTCAGTGGGGGTGGGGTCCGTGGCCTGGCCCCATCATCAGGGGCCAAAAAGTTCAACACTGTCCAGCTTCTCAGCCTTGTAGAGCAAGATGTTCTCCATCAGCTTCCTTTTGGCCTCGTTGATCTCGATTTTCCATGAAGTCTCTGTATCTGATGTTCCGGGGAAAGAGAACAACGGAAATAAGGATCGTAGCCATCTCCTTGCTGCTCAGCGCCCCCGTCACCCCAGGTCTCAGCGTCAGGCCCTGGGGATGGTGCATTGTCACAGCACTGCCTGAGCAGGGGGAACCTGGGACCGCCCCCATCTTCCAGCATGGAGGGGCCATTCCGCTCCTGTCCTACTTACAGCCCCTCTGGCTCCTCTTCTCCCCTTCCACAGGCGTGGACCCTCCCTGGGACGGTCCCTGAGCCATGTTTCCTAGTGGTGGGGCATGTGGCTGCCAAGGTTTTCCTGGGGTACCTGGCAAAGACGGGGTAGACCACTCGGCCTCCCAGGCTCTGGGAGACACTGGGTCCCAAGCATGACAGGGACTTGAAGGAAGGGGTGACAAGTTGTACTGGGGCAGGCCCATTGGGCTGGCTGCTGGAGAAGGAGCTGGTGAAGGAAGGGCAAGAGTGAGTCAGGGGGCACATGGGGAGGTTGTCTTGCTGTCCCAGCAGAGGACAGCAGCCAAATCAGGCCCTAGGAGGAAAGGGAGACTGGAAGAAACAGATGGCACTCAGGGCAGATGGCAGGGAGGCAGCAAGGAGGATCCCAGGGCTCTTGGGGCAGCCGGCAGGGACGGGGCTGGGTGAGAGCACCACGGCAGAGGGGCTCAAACGGTAGGACACAAGATGAGTGGGCCTGCACATGCTTACCATCTTCGGCAGGCTCCAGGGGCGCCTCGGCCCCCACAGAGGCTCCTCCTGGGCTCTCTGCAGGCAGGGCTGAGGCTGCAACCTGCAGGATGTCTACAGCCCCGGTGGAGCAAGAGACATCAAGGTTGGGATTATCCACGTCGTCTGTTTCCTCTGGGGTGTTAGAGGAGGGCTCTGTACCCTCAGAGCCAAGCTGCTTTTCCACAGCACCCACTGAGTCATGCATCTTGGGAAATAGAGGCAAGAGTGTATATCAAAAACCCTGAGCGGGGCCTGGCACGGTAAAGTCCTAGCCTTGCACACTCCGGGATCCCATATGGGCAACAGTTTTAATCCCAGCAGCTCCATTTCCCATCCAGCTCCCTGCTTGTGGCCTGGGAAAGCAGTCGAGGACGGCCCAAAGCCTTGGGACCCTGCACCCACATGGGAAACCCAGAAGAAGTTCCTGGCTCCTGGCTTCAGATCAGCTTAGCTCCAGCCATTTTGGCTGCTTGGGGAGTGAATCATCAGATGGAAGATCTTTCTCTCTGTCTCTCTATATATCGAACTTTCAAAAAAAAAAAAAAAAAAACCCACACAAGAGCACCCTGATGGGCCAGCAGCAGGTAAAGCCACTGCCCACCACACCAGCATCCCACATGGGTGCTGGCTCAAGTCCCAGCTGCTGGTTTTTGCTGATGCAAATTCCTGCTAATGCAGCAGAGGATAGGTGCTGCTGGCTTCAGTCTGGCCCAGCCCCAGCCACTTGGGCCACTTGGGGAGTGAACCAGCACATGCAAGATCTCGCTTTCTCACTCTCTAACTCTGCCTTTCAACTAAAAAAAAAACATCTTTCCATGGAAAGAGAGCAACTCGCCCCCGACCCCAGCCCTGAACACAGATGGCAGGGCATCACTTGAGATGGGCCAACCCAATGCTTCCTTCCCCTGACCACTACCTGTGACGATAGCCCAAGGTTGGGCACATGACCCAAGCAGGCCAACTGGAATCCTTTCTTTTCCCCTCCGATGGCAGAACCAGGTGCCCCACTATACACTCAACCCAATGCCCACTGGGGCCCTCCTCCCACGCCATGGTGCTGAGGTACTTTGGGCTCTAGGCCTCCTCATAGCTCCGGTCTCATGTAGCTACTGTGCTCCCACTCTGCTCTCTGCCAAGCACCACCTCCTGGGAAGGCCTTCAGCACCCCAACCTGGCACCCACAGCAGGTCTCTGCTTTCATCAACAGATAACTCTGCGATCATTAGATAACTACTGAACAAATGACCCCCCG